GTGTTGAGGACGTTGGTGAGAATGTCGCGAATGCTCGGGGCAGACTCTTGGTACTGGTCGTAAGCAGGTAATTGAGGGGCGAACGTGAGACGATTGGTCAAGGACAGAATCTCCTTGTTGGGCTGAACAACTGTGACTTTGATGTTGAAGGGCGCAATCTCGTATGCGAGTGAGTCGCAAAAGCCTTCGAGAGCCCAAGTGGCAGCTGTGTATATTGACATGCCTGGCGTGCCAATGTGGCCGCCAGTACTTGTGAGAACGATTATATGTCCTGTATGCTGAGACCGGAGCTGGGGAAGAGCAGATTTGATAAAGTTGACCTGGGAGAAAAAGACAGACTCGAATTGGTCGCGAACGAGGTTCTGTGTAAATGGGGTTGTTGATAGTTCCTCTACCGTCCCAACGACAGCTTCAGAGCAATTGAGTTAGTAAAATTTGACGATCTTCAAAGCTTCCGACTCACCATCAGATTTGCAGCATAGTAAAATATCAATCCGTCCAAAAACTTGAACAGCTTCTGCGACAGCAGCACCACAGCTTCCCATGGAAGCACCGTCACATCGAATACCGCGAATGCGATCCTTCCACCCCTCGCGATCCTTTCTCGAGCTCTTACACTCATTCACAAGCTCGCGAAACTCGGCACTGCGGTCCTCATGATCGATTTCGTAGGGTGGTAGACATGCAACAACGTAGTCGCCATGTGAAAGAAGCAGTCGGATGAGCCGGACGGCTAAGGGGGACAGAGCTGAAGTGAGAAGCCATGTTCGCGGCGAGTTGTGCGTGGCTGTAGAAGGGTTCGAGTCAGCGTCGGCCATTATAATGGCGTGTACATGATTTTATATGGGCAGTAGTAGTCGATTGAAGATTCCCAAGCTCTTTTTTGGGGCGCAGAGGTAGTTCCCTTTTCGCTTGGCTCTTTCCAATGTCTTTGATTATGTAACTCAGAGACTGAAAATTGAAAACATCCCAAGACTTGCCCGTTTCGGCGAGAAGAAGAAGAATTGGTCGTGAATTGTTTAGATTCGTGCCAAGGTTTGGAAATTAAAGAGATGCGGGAGCAAGCAATTGTGGAGTAACAGTTTAAGAGCTTAACTGTAAGCAATAGCTGAGCTGAGCTGAGCTGAGCTTCTTTCCCTTCTAGAAGGGAAATTACATCATTCGTGATGATAAAGGAAGAGCTTAACCACCCAACAACTCAACCAAAATGCTTGACAAGAATAAAACAAATCATGACAAATAATGATAGATAAGACTTAAGATAAACAGGGTTTTGAAAAACTTGTTCAATGCTTAAAACGGAATAATACGCCGAGGGAGGACCAAGCTGAGGATGGATCGGGATGGGAAAGGAGCCTGACAAGAGCCCACTTGGAAGAGAAAACGAAAAAAAAAAAAAAAAAAAAAAAATAATGAGAATAACAATCTGGGGTAAACTTACGAAAGGAGGGGTTCGGTATTGATCCAGAATTATGTCGTGGGGTAGCGGTGAATGCCATTTTTGGCTGTTATGAGTTGGCCGCTTTGGCCGCTTTGGCCGCAGAAACTATTGATTGGAAAAGGTTTATCGTGACTTTGACCTTGTCGATCGATGGTACAAGTTGCTTCAAATACAGGCTCGATTCTCTTGTCGGTCTGTAAAATATGAACGGTTCCTTTAGGGATAATTGGGGGTCTTTCTCTTCAACTCTTTCGTTTCTGTTTGGCAACTGAGTGCACACTTGTCAGGCGGGTGACCCTTCAGAAGCACAGCAACTGCTTATACGACTAAAAAGACCGACACATATAAGAGTCCCGGTCGGTAACTAGTTAGTACAGTGAATGCGGCGCTCAAATTTTGAGCAAATTGGTCGTCAACTGCCAGTTAACCGTATAAGTGAAAGTGTGGACCACAACTTCGATCAGGCTGAAGACTAAGGCACAGCTATTATGCACCTAGGGTTTCGAGTATGGCCGATTGGGCAGGTCGCCGACATTCAATCAGCACTTGTGTATATGCAAGCTGCAGTGGTGTGGAGTTTTGAGAGACAGAGACAGAGAAAGAGCTTGTAGTAGTTGTAGAAGGATTGGGGTGTACGTGTATGTGCGAAGCATTCGATTCGTATAAACGATGATGGGCTGAGACAAGGCAAGACAATACCATGAATACATATACAATTGCACTGCACCAGGCACATACACAACAGTAAAGTATTCAAGTCAAGCCGTTGGTTGGGCCCTTGTGAGCTTGACCCTGGTCGTGATGAGATGGGGGCCTATCCAGTTTAACAGAAATAACAGCCATGGAAAAAATTTGTACACACTCGACAGAAATACGAAGAGCTGAAATAGGAATTATAAGAACGGAAGACGACGGATGAATACACCCCGTGAGTTCCCTTTCTCTTCGGAGAGAGCGAGAGAAAACAAGAAGGCAGAGAGGAAAGATTGATGCCTCAATGCCTCAACGCCCCATATTGTTGACAAGGGCAGACAGACAAAACCTTTGACATCCATGTAAGTTTAAGCTGGTCGGGCATGGATATAGAAATAGCGTGCTAGTTTGAATGTGCAACTCTTTGCGAGGTGAAAGTAGAGTAACATTGAACCACAAAGTAGGTAGGTAGGTACACATAAGGGGAGAAGGAAATACATAGAAGCAAACTTTGGGTTTCGAACGTCCTCTTTCTGGGTACAGTATCTCTCTGTCTTGTGGGTCTGGGTTCTGGTTTCGATGCCTTTGACTTTCTTGGCCTTTGGTGATCAACAGGGCCGGCCGGCCGTTCACCGAGACATCCGACTAGAGAGGGAGAAGAACATTACATTGCATCGCATTGCCTTGTGATTGATTGTCACTCGTCACTAGGACTGTGCACGTCTGTGTGTATGTGCTATATCGTACCTGCGTACATACTCTACGATATACATAGCCACAACCAGGGGTGCCCCTCATACAATTTTGATGATTAGAGCAGCCTTCTTCTTCAAAAGATAGGGCGCAGTATGGTGGCAGTAAAACCCAAAGTCAGACCAGTTTTGATACGTTCCGTTGTCATAGGGCAGAAATGTAATCTGAAATAGGTCCTAACCTGGCCCTTGTCGGATGATCACGACCTAGATAGGAAGAGTATTTTTGAGGCGGCAGACGAGTCAGGACAGGGCGGGCCAACACTAGCTTAGCAATTCCAATTATTAGACCCTGTAGTCAGTCCTGGTTCGGTTTGGGTCGGTTTGGTGGTATGGTCTGGGGTATCTCTGCTCCTCGCACTGCAGGAACCTGAAGGTTATCTCTCACAGTATAGGTACACAAAGATTGCGTCGGATTCGCTACATGCCTATCAAAATATGTTTAGGCATCACCAAGACTCACTTGGGCAATAAAAGTACGTAGTCCCCCTCCATTGTTGCACCCTTGCTTCTTCAACAATAGTCGCTCAGAAATGTGAAACGATGAAACGCCATGCCAAACCTTCAACTTTCATGGGGGTCCCTTGTTAACGTGGCCCACTAGGGTTTAGTGGTTCGACATGGTTTAATGACGACGTTGAAGAAACGGTCACGAACCCTTTTCCCTTCTCTTATCGAGATCCTCATGACACGTACTAAAAGACTAGACTGAAGCTCGCAAACTAATTAGTCTTGGGAGTTGACTGCGGTCGGATAATCTATCAAGGTGATGTATTATAGGTGGCCGCTCTTAGATTAGACCTACAACAGAGAGTATCAAGTGCTCGTCGATCCTGCAACGCAACGCAATAATGCATCAAGGGATGACGCTACTGTCGGCAGTCAAAGTCAGTCAGTAGCCCGCTATCGTCCACTGTCGTTGCCCGTTTCCTGTAGTTCTCCACGAATAGGAGCCCACTGTATTAGCCCGTTGAAGCCCGACGACACAGAAGGTTTAGTGCCAAGAGGGCCTAGAACTTCGGGTCTGAGTTCCATAAGAGGGGCTTTTCTAACTTGGGCCCTTTTTGATTGGTTATTCGGTAGTGACCGTTGGTTCTTGTTCTTTCGAGGGGCAGGGTCTTTTGCTTTCTCAATCTCATTCCCATCCTTTAGTACTCTGTACCTGTTAGTAACTGTGCCGCCTTACCTTTCTTCAGTCTCTATCATCCCTTCTCTTTAATTCTCATCATCCAATCTCGTACTTGAATCAATCAAGCAATCCATGTCCCACCGGAGAGTCTTGTCCTTTCGGTCCGATCTCATCTTAACAGATAATCATGAAGCTTTATCAATCGCACAAGCACAACCAACCCCACAGCAGCACAAATTGAACTGTCGTGTGGTTATTAGTAACCTTTCCAAGGGAATTAACGGCAAGTTGCGTACGTATCTTTACAGTAGCCAGTCGCTCCATCTACCGGAGCCGGGCGAGCTTTGCCGGAGCTTGCTCAACTTGCTTTTTTGTCTTTGCTTCCACTATTCATCGAGACAGCACAGGACGCCCAAGGCAATAACCAAATAGTATCACGGTGAGACACGGAACGATACGCCGTTAAAAGGTTGAGAAAAAATAAAGAAAAAACTTGAAATTATCTACTGAATGGTCTGATAACCACTTTACGTAAAAGCATTGAATAATGGCCTCTTAATCTATCACTCGCCGGTTCCCAGTCTAATCATCCCTCGCCGGTTTCAATGATTTCCTCTCTCTGGATGACGAACCTTCCGACACAGGCCAAACCTGTTTAATTCCAGATTTACTGCTATCTTCCCATTTAGGCTCATGACCAACTCGTGTCACGTTCATCCTCGACGGTATTATCGATTCTGCACCCTTTGGAAGAGCTTTGAGTCTCATGGTTGATGTATCGTATGCATACAAGCTCAAGAGAATACATCCTCCAGTTTCTGGCAGGTCCAGAACGTAGGCTCCTCCGTAGCTAACATCATTATCACCACGCGGATCTCGGCAGAAAAAAATTAGCATTCCAACCTCTCAGACACAGATCATGGTTGATGGTGCCCTCAGCGAAAGAAAACGGCTCTTTGTCTCCGTATCCCTTTTGATTGGGCGCTCATTTGGCTGGTACAATGACAGTGTAGCCATAATTCTCGAGCGCCGAGTTATGGCCAAAATCGTTGTTGGGATTAAGAGTATAACTAGAGTCACAGAATGACCCAATGACGCGTTGTGTGTCCTCCTCAGTGAACTCTTCATAGCCGGGCCCTTTGTCGAAGCAGTAAGCCTCTCCGTCATCTTGGTTGATGAGCGTGTTGGTTGGATATACCATCGTAGTTGGTGATGGTTCCTCGGATGTTGATGTTGACTCGCCCACTGTTGTCGTAGCTTTCGGGTACGAAGTAGTATCGACTGGGAAATCTTTGTTCGTGATGGAGATGGTCGTGCCGACTTGGGACGGGAGAATTATGGCTGAAGTCCCTCGCATTGTGGTCTTGGTTGCTGAATCGACATCAGGAATGGGATACGCAGTTTTTTCGACAGTCACATAGCCGTCATTGACAGAACACGCTGTTTTGCTGACGATGACGGTAGCGGAAGAGGTCGTCTTCGAGGTCTTGCCCAAGTTGCCAAAGACGTCGCTGTCGTCACCGAACAGATCATTCTCGTGATCAAGGGTAATGAGCGGACAGGAAGCCTCTCTTGTTGTAGCAGTTGCAGTAAGGAAGCAGCCGGTGATGACTTCGGACGAGGTTGTCGTGCACGGTAAAGATTGGCATGATACCCAATCGTTTGTTACACGAGATGTTGTGCAGTCGCAGCCAAGATATGTGTTGCAAACAGTAACGCAGGGCTTTGTGGTACAGACTTGATGGCATGCGGTGTTGGTCTCTGTCGCGCAGTCCTCATCTTCTTCTTCGTCATCGTCTTTGTCCTTATCCTTCTCGCACCCAGCACCGACACAGTTCCCTCCTAGTTCTAGGCATCCTCCACCAATGCATCTGATGAGGCCTCCTCCTCCTCCTCCGCCGCCGCTGCCTTCGCCAGGTTCGGTAGGAACAGGCTGACCCGGCTTCTCTGGTAGCTTCGGTGCCCAATCGTGGTTGTTCATGTATGCATTGATGGCTCCTCCATCGAAAACAACAAGGCAATCAGCCTTCCTATCACCATTGATATCGGCATAATGAACAGGGCCTTGGGGACTGACACCACCTGCAATAGTACCCACATCATTCCACTTGCGTCCCTCGCTAACAGGGATCTTTCCATTGTCACGGTAGCCTCGAGCAGCGCCGCCATCGTACTGGACGATATAATCAGCCTTTCCGTCTCCTGTGCAAATTGTATCTTGCTTCCGCACCTCTCCTACAAGCTGAATGATCCATAAAGCACGAACAGCTCGCATCTCTTCTACCTAGTTTGGCTGTCCAGCATCTATGACCTTGGTAGGTGTGCCTTCGAACACACGATCCCACGGCGCGACCCATTCGTGGCTAGACAGGTAGGAATGGGTGTAATTGAGATTGGGATCGAGGTAGTGCATCGGCTTGAAGCTTGGATCTCTCAGTCTTTCAAGATAAGATGACAAGCATGCTTGCGAAAGGGCAGATATCTGGTAGGCTGTTGCAACTGTGGATCGAAGAACCGACACACATGGTGCTGCAGCTGACAAAACTCCAGGTTCAATGTTGATCAAGTTATCCTTGCTTTGACCGCGCGATGGAAAACAGGGAAATAATCTGAATAAGAATTGGCGCTGGAACTCGTGTAGATTCCGAAAAGGGAGTGCCGTTGAGCGCGCAATTATAACGGAGCGCACCACTTCTGCAGCCACAGGCGGTAGTATCGCGTTGGGGCTAGAGAGGATGCTTTCGACAATGGAAAGTGCATTCTCGTTGAAGCGACGCCAGACATTGGGGGATGGTCTCATCAAATCCCAAAGCGTGTCAAGACCAGGAAGGCTTGTGACGATCGGAAGTAAGATTTCCGGAGGCAGCACCTCTATTTATGCTGCCGGCGAAGGAGAAAATGATTTTGACATGTAAAAACTCACTTGGACATGAGAGGATGAGGTTGTGGAAGAACGAAAGAAGTTTCGAGGCGCGGGGACAAGAGCGCTTAAAACCATAACCAACGGCCTCACACTTACAACATGTATCCAGTCAATGTATACAAAATCTGATCCCTGCAAAATGTTGGTTACCGTGTTATACAGAAGGTTACCTCCAGACTGGAGCCACGGCCGATCGCAGTGGACTGACGTTGTCATGCAATTAATAGACAATTATAGTATCAATTCGTTCGGATGTTGCAGTCTTAACTTAACATGAACACAGTTCTTTCAACTTAGCATAGCCACACAGGCAGAAGGATTAGGCCCAACACACACTCACTGACTTTCACTTCGACATCGAAGCACCGCCAATTAGTTTATGTCCATGAGGATTCATATTTCAGTTATCATCCTAACCACATATGTCCACGCCTCATACTATAGTTATATCCTGGTACTTGTACCTGAAAGTAACCCATTCTTCTTCTTCATTACACGTTAACAGAAACGTCGCTCCTGTACAAGCCCATCTCGTGTTTAGCATCAATGCAGCACGCTTAACTCTTTGTGCTCTTGATATGGGCCACCTCCTCGCGGATGCTGGGAGTGCGGGCTCCCTCGGGACCCTCAGCGTCAAGCTTGCCCTGGATGTCAGCGACACCAAACAGCTCGTCCATCTGCTCCAAGCTGAGGCCCTTGGTCTCGGGAACAAAGAACCACACAAAGATACCCATGAGAAGATCAAAGGTACCAAACATGAAAAACATACCCTGTTCGGTTGTTATTAGTTATCTGATAGTCATCGTAAATTTGTTTGTCAACACTTACATAACCGGCAGGCCCCATGGTCTTCTGCATGGTGAGCACAGTTCGGGCGACAATAAAGTTGAAGAGCCACTGGGTAGCAGCAGCGATGGCGACGTTGAGAGCTCGGAGACGGGCAGTAGGAATCTCGGAGACAAGAATCCAACAGCAAGGTCCCCAACCGAATTGGAAAAAAGCAGCCCAGAGGTAAATGCAGACGATTGCGACATAACCGAAAGCAGAAATACCTGCGCCGGCAACAGGGGGCTCAACGCGACCGTAGATACCAATGATGTACATGGCGAAGAATTGAGCAGCACTTGTCCACAGGAGACTGCGGCGTCGGCCAAGAGAATCGGCACAGAAGATGAGGAAAGTAGCACATCCGACAACCTTGACGATACCGTAGACACCAGTAGCAAAGAGCGAGACGGTGGTGCCGGTCATACCGAGAGACTGGAAGATTTGAGGAGCGTAGTAGTTGACAGCGTTGACACCTATTATCGATTAGCCAGGGAAAAAAAGACACAAGATGTGAAGGGAACTCACCTGTCATTTGCTGACACACCATGAGCAAAACAGAGATAATAGCTCGCTTTCGGTTTCCAGGAATGGTGACGAGTTCCTTCCAAAGAGTGCTGGCAGAGGCATTGCCTGTGAGTCGCTTCTCGGCCTCGAGCTGCGCAGACATCTCCTGTAGTTCGTTCTGGACATACTCGTGAGTTTCGGGAAGCCTGTAGCGCAACGATTGTTATTCGGTGGTCCTTCTTAATCAGTCATGGAAGCTTACTGTCGAAGTCCGATCAAGATAGACTTGGCCCGTTCCCAGTCATCCTTGCGAGCGCACCATCGAGGGCTAATTGTTGTTAATAAATCTGTGTCTCAATGGATTGTGCGTGAATTACTAACCTTTCAGGTGCAGCCAACATGCAGGCAATTAAGAGTCTGGGGATCTATTAGTCTTTGTAGTCTCGGATACGATAGCGCGGCTACTAACACAGCAGGGAGAGCCTGGAGAGCAAGAGGCAGAGCATAGACGGTAGGAGCACTGAGGTGGAGAAGAGCGCCATAGTTGATCCTGGCGTCCTGTTAGCTAGGTTCGATAGACCGACAAGACTGCAATCATACCAGAAAGAAAGCATGACACCGGTGACAATAAACAGCTGGTAAAAAGCTACCACAGGTCAGCAATTAGTTGCTAGGGATCATAGCGATGAAGCACTTACAGGTCAAGCCACCACGAATGGCTCGAGGCGCACACTCAGACACGTACAGAGGGACCAAAGACGAAGCAGATCCAACACCCAGACCGGCGACAAAGCGTCCGACATACATGATGGGGAGAGATCCTTGGGCGGTAGAGGCGGTCTGGAGAATAACACCGATAGTTGTGATTACACCAGTTGCAATAAGACACCAGCGTCGGCCAAACTTCTCAGTGAAATACGAAGTGAAGAAACAAGCAGCAAAGCAACCGGCCTGGAGGGTTGAAACAATGTTTTGATCGAGTGTGACCTTGGCCTTAGGAGTATAGTTGAAGCGCTCCTGGGTAGCCTTCATGGCAAGAACACCACCAATAGCTCCAGTGTCCCAACCGAAGAGCATACCTCCAAAGCATGAGCCTGCAACGACGGCAAAGACGCGCCAGTTGTAAATCTCTTCGGGGTCAGTCTTCATCGCGTCATTGCGAACGACCTTCTTGAGGACACCTGCGATACCCATGGTTGCGGTACTGGAAGTCGACTCGTGGGTGGTGGGCGAGTGGCAACAGCCGAGGGTACTTCCAAGCTAAGAAAAAGATAGGGGATGCTTTAAATTTAAGCTTGTTTCCCCGGATTCTGGATGGATGGGACCAAGACGTGGAGCAATTGAGTGAAGAAAAGATTGCTAGAAGACTCAAGACACCAAATAATTGAAAGAGGTGTGATCTCTGGTGAGAAATTCTGAATCTAGAGGGGATCTCGCAGGATATTAAATGATCAACCGACCAAGTCAAGCTCCCCCAGACCACCATTCCCAAATTGATCATCCAAGGACCAGTAACAGCCACGCATGGGGTCGCATCAACCGGACTGTCACCCCCAACATCGGGCGCACCGGCTTCTGGTCTGGTTGTATTATGAACTCCCTTGTCAATTGCACAGACTCGTTGGTAGGGTCGGATATCATCCGCACCGTAGAGGCACAGGGAGCTCAGATGCATGCTGAAACGAATTTATTCTTTTCCAGATATCTTTTTGCAATCAGATCGCCAACAATGATGCGCAATAACTGATCAAACTCAACCTTTTGCTCGACCATACTTCCAAAACATTCGTTCATAGTGACTTCTGAATTTGAACATCAGGCTCAAGGCCAAACCCTCAAAATCATCGTATATCTACTAGCGCAAAAGGTTGACCTCATATGAACGCTGGAAAGCGGACAAAATTGTCCACGAATAGATTTGCTCGTGTCGTCGAAATTAGCTACGCCATCAAGCGCGGGGAAGAGATGTATCCCCAAGCTAATGGAATGCCCAGGCTGGTGTTGAGATGAACTTTGGGGGCACAAGAGATCCCTCCACGATGCCTCTCGGCTGTTCAGAAACAACCACCCTGGATGATTCTCGTTCATATGCGGGGAGGCGGCTACCGCGTGGAACCTGGGGTTGTGGAGAGACGCTCCACCAAGGAAAGGAGCCCCCCATGTCGATTGAGTATGGTGACATGCACCAAGGAATCGTGATAGGAGGCTGCGAATGTTTCTGCCCTCTGATAGGTGGAGATTAATTCCTCCGGCTGTTGATCGCAAAAGAGTCTGGAGCTTTAAACAAATGCGGAGCCCTTTTTTAAGGTTATCGTACCGAATGAGAAGAAAGCGTAATCACTTCAGCCTCAATAGCCCGCTTCTTCTGACGGCTGCCGCTGGACCATGAACAGAGATCGACCTATGCCAAGGTTCAGGACACATACAGTAGACTATCCCCACAAGGAACGGTTAGGCACAGAGCAGGCCAAAGGCGGGGAGACGACCTTGAGTGAGGAGAAGATCGGTCAATGATTTGATTGATGGAATCTTTGGTTTCCGTGCCATCCATCTCATTTCCGACCATTCGACGAGCTTACTTCTGATATTTGGGGTCAAGCACTCATCTCCTTCTCAAGCCAACCTGGCACGTCTGGGGTCTTGTCCCATCCATCGAGATAGCTTTCTTGGCTCACCCCAACCCCCGAGGGCTTGGCATATATAGCAGACACGTACCATACCGACTCACCAGCTTTGATTGTATGTTGTAAAGTTGGAATTGTGCTCCGGCTCTCGATGAGATTCGAGTTTGGGTCTGCGTTAACCAACATGGCTTGGCGGCCTTGGGTCGGTTCCAAAGCTTTGATTCCTACAGCGCCCTTGGACACTGCAAATGCCCCCAACTTTCCACTCGTCCAGCCATCGGGGGTGTTCAAGTCATAATTCCCGATGATCTTGGGTGACGTTCCCTCATGTTTCTCTCTGTCGTAAGGACCTAGGTATCGTCCGTTAGTTGTGTTGACATTGCGAATGGCGAAGGAGCCATCTGCTGTCATGACTTCGCGAGCGCTCTCAATATGGTGAACTCGAAGGTGCCAGTTTGGGGTCTTCTCCGCAGGAGGAACCAGAATGGTGCGGATTGTGACATCCGGAAAGGGCTTCCAAACTGAGGCGAGTACAGGGGTGCCTTCACGGTCTTCAATCCCCGCGTACTCGCAGAGTCTTCGAGTTTTCCAATACTCGCCCCCATCATCCGACAGACCAAGTTGCGACGCCAGTGCATATTGCTCCAGAGAAAAGAGTCCAGGGGGTACTGAGTATCCGTAGGCACTGCTATAAGCGAATCCACCATACTTGGCATGCGTTCCTTTCATTGGGTAGCTGCAGGCCTGTCCTGATGAGAGTAACATGCAGTGGCCGCCGAGGTAGCTAGACTAATGTCAGTATGCGGCATGCCAAATCGTATATAATGGGCTCCCCACCTCATAATGTGGCCCGGTTGATTCAGGGCTTTCACTTTTGGGATCACACCACTTGCTGATTCTTCCTCGGATGTCCAGAAAGGGTGGTCTTCTGGTGTAGCCAGGCACATGAATGCAAGGCAGGCCCAATACTATGATCGAGGTCAGACAATTGTTTCTTCTTCTTGTCAGTACCCATCTTACCGGGCTTCCTGGACTATTATAGTTCTCCGCCATCTGACTTGTGTTAGTAAATTCGGACTCAACGAATGGATGACCGTTACTTACATACATGTTTGGGTACGAGTACCCAATTGATAGCGTTCCGCTTGATGTCCAGATATCGTTCTGCGTCTGCCACCAGCGTAAATGTCTGAACACTAGTCCTTTAACCATGCCCCAGGTCAAAGGTGCAGGCAACTCGACATCAGCATGAGCCAGGGCTCCCCAGAAGGAGACCATGGCGAAGCGGTAGCCCACACTTCGGCCATAGGGAATGGCCCTACCTTCATCGTCGAAGTAATGAATCAGGTCCAGAGCAACCTGCTGTGCACGTCTCTTAAACTCTTCAGCACGCTTCGGGTCCTCATCTCCTGCCAGCTTGGCGTATAGGAGCTGTAATAACTGGATCGCAAAGCTCGAAGAGTAGTAGTCCATTTCTGTCTGTGTAAGTTAAAGTCGCTGCAACTTTCAATGTCGTCCTTACGGTGAATTCCTTCGGGTCCATCGTTGGACCAGCCTCCTCCACGATAAAAGGTCTCGAGATGCTCAATATCACTATCGAGTCTCTCTTGAGAGAATTTTCCGCCATTCTTTTTAAGGCCAAGGTTGGCGAAAACTCGAAACCAAAGCCAGTTAGTGTTGGGCATGCTGGAACAGCGGTTAGTTGACAGAGGGTTTTCGTAGTATTGGTGACTGACTTCTTTTCGTTGATTGAGTTTCCAAGCCAAGCCTCAACATTGCCCTTTTCCTTGTCGGACAAACTGCTCCAGAAGTCTGGAGCCACAGCCAACGCCCAACCTAGGATACTGGGTCAGATTCGAATCCATCTTGAGTGCTTACCGTAGGTCCTTACCGAGAGGGCACATTTCCACCATTCTCTGATCATTGTCTTGAGGATATCCCCAATATTCGGGGCTTTCTGGGTCGGTTCCTGACTTGATACCCTGGATCCACCATTCCTTGCCATCGTAATCACCACCACCTGCCAACAGAGCTGCCAGGCCCCAAAGCGGACGACATATGCCTTCAACCTCGGAGGCAGTTTGGTCAAAGCGGACTGCTGTTGCACCGGGACACTTGACACGAGCCTTCTCGGGTGAGAAGAAAGGCCCTAACGGATCGAGAACAGTGCGAAGGAGCTCTTGGACTGAAGAGCGGTCTTTAATCTCCACTTTTGAGAAAGGGTGAACTCTATCGTAGCCAAGACAGAGCGTCTTGGTGGAAGTCATGGTGTTTTGGTATAGTTTGGGACAGATGGCATAGGGCAGTAGAAAGTGGAAACTTGTCCCAGGGTGATAAACAGAGTATATATATATACATATCCCGTTAATTACCTGCTAGCTCATTACCCTTGTAATCCAATCCCAATATCATGCATTTATCATCTGGTTTCCAGCGTAATTGTTCAATAAGCGGGGACTTGCTCTGAACATGGTCGGATACATTGCCGTGTTGATCATTGAGGGAGGGAGGGGCCAGAGTGGGATGCATTTGACCCCAAGAGATCGTGGGGGTGCTGTTTTGCCGTTCTACCGTTCAATCATCACAAATTATAAGTAGCCGGCAGTGGAGCTGTACAAGTTGTGGATTTATCCGTGGTGATGAATTCGGAAAATACCCGTACTAAGGTATTCAGTGGACAAACAAAGGACGGTAATCAGACACTAATTGACGTTGTACAGCGCCCGCTTTGTCGGCTGTAACGTGCAGTTGAGATGATGAGGCAGGAGCCTGTGTGCACAGCAATATGCAACTTGCCTTGGTACTGTGGTTCCTTGTCGCCAATGATGAGATTACCCTGGAGCTTGGCCAAGCATGGAACATGCACAAAGAACAACAGCTTGATGTTCATTTCCCATCGACCCTTCTTCTTTTTTCTCACTTTCGCCGCCCAGGAGCCGAAATTTATTCTTTAACGTCTTCTCTCTACTCAGCTCATCTCTGGAGTACTCATGACAGAAACCCGACCGGGCTTCAGCACTCATCATTCTTTATCGACTAGACACCCTCGCAAACATGGCTCACGAAGGCAAAGATACGATAGTCGTGAACGGAGAAAATGCAAAGAAACAACAAGAAAACATATTAGAATGTTCTATTCCATCAGAGATACCCGACCAAGAGCCCGGTGACGGCTCACACCCCAATGTTGATCAACTGCCAGACGCGTCTGCATCATCGCTAGTTCAGCAGGAGACAAGCGCAACATCTGCACCAAAGGGTATCAAGAAGGTCAAAAGTAAAAAGAGAGTTGTCGTGAAGAAGGCGGCGAGAAAATCAAAATGGAATCAAGACAATATCTTGACGGACCCCAAATCACCTCTAGCTTCGGCGGATCTCAGAGTATGGCCTGCTGCTATCTAAAATGCGATGAGATTGTAACCTAATGACTATAGAGCATACTGTCAAATCCGATGGCATGGGATATTCTAGAAACAGAAGAGAGGGCAGAAATTCTGGCACTGTTCCCAGATTCTCAGCACATCCTCGGTGCAGGCACAGAAGACGCCTGTCCTGATTTCGCATCGCTCATGAATGATGACAGCTTTCGCTACGACTGTGCCGCCTACACAGAGAACATCGCGCAAGGGCGACACGACCCCGAATGGCTGGCTCAGGCTTGGGCAGCCCACGAGAGGCGAAAGATGGGCGACTTCGATGAGCACCTGGACAGCAAATTCAAGGATGACTGGAATGTTGACCTCCCGCCAGAGCTCAAGACAAGACGAGGCCCTGCTATGCCGAAGGAATATAATGACACCAAAATGGAAGGAACCGAGCATACGACCAACGGAAACGATGATCAAACGAAAGTCAGTATGGCGAACGGCACAGGCACTTCAAATGAGCAGGACTCAGAACACGGGAAGGATGCTGGAGTAAATGAACCACCAGGAGATGATTCTGCGCAAGAGAAATCGATGGTCATGGCTACTAGGAACCAATATCCTGAGATGGAGATTGATGGTGAAGGTATAACGAATGATCCGGTCACGGGGTGAGGCTCTTGGGCCGAAAAGCAAGTATAGAGGAGGGTTCAAAGTACTTCTAAAAATCACACATCCAACTCTATTGTATCTGATTCCATCTGATCTACAGAGGCATCTCTCTCCTTGTTATTTCATTCATCTGAATTCTGACAATCTGCCCATCTACATACTGTGAATGGTACGGCTGTCTATCGCTCCTGTTTCTTTGAAGCACATATCTTGTATCTGAAGAAATTAAAACCACGTCCATCCGGGAGCCTGAATTATCGGTCTAGACTGAGGAAGTGACCTGAGTATGAGGAACAGCTTTGTATGCGGTCTGCTGTTCAGAAGGCATAACCCGGTTGTAAGTCTGCGACTCGTTTTCTTTGCTCCAGAATGACTTGCTACCCTTGAAGAACAATGGTGGCGGGTTACGAATGTGAGTCAAGACAAGGACCGTGACCCAGACGAGAGTGATAACAGGTATCATCCAACCACTCGTCTGGTATTTCTCGGCTCGTTCCTGGTTGTACTTGATTATTGCGACAAGGCTTGTGCCAATGCCGAGAAGAACAAAGATGATGTGGCGAGTTATAGCCCATTTGCTCCAGCGGGTTGTTCTTGACATGACAGCTAGGACCACCATGATGATAAGTGAGACGCCCGCAGCAATATAGGTGTAGTTGAACTTTGGAAAAATTAGTACTTTAAAGAAATGGACGCGTCGATGGAAAAGGTAACTCACGATGAGATGAAAGCGTGCGTCCAGTCGGTTGGCGAGGTCGGCCTCGAACTCGGCACCGGTCTGTTCGGTGATATTGTTCGCTTTATTGTAATCCTGTACTTCATTGACGAGATTGATCTTGAAGGTCTCGAGCAAAGCATTTTTCATAGCATTTCCAAGTCCCTGCAGAGAATCAGACAAAATCTGGAACTGTTTGGCATCAGGCATATCCTCATCCAGTTGTGTTTCGGCCCAGTTAAAGAAAGGTACCCAGAAGGTATCATTGATAGTAGAGAATTCGTCAAGGGATGTGACGACGGCCTCCTGTGTTTCTATGTACTGCGGCGTAAAGAGTGTGAAGAAGCTTTGTACAATACTCTCAAAGATGTCCCGCATTATCTTGGTCGTTATCTCACTTATGTTGTCCACGGGTATGTCGTCTTCGTTGATGTCTTTGGACAGGTCGATTGTCTCGATGACGTTGAAGACTTTGGTCCAGATGACTAGTTGAGTGAAGCCTTGGATGAACAGGCAAAGTGCGAGATGAAGGGGGTAGTGGATGATAGTCCAGAGCTGTTGGCGGAACTTTGGGAGGTAAGGGTTCTTCATCCAGTCGAAGTAGATTAGGAACACAACATAGATGGTGGTAGCGGAAGATAGAACAACACCGACGGTTTCAGCATCTGTCGTGGGGGTTCAGATTACGTTCTCTGACTTTTAGAAACCAGAAAATACTTACTCCATGAATCAGGATTCTCAACAATAGTGACAACGCTTTTGCAAATTGTGATGATTCCATCGCCAACAATAATAACAGTCAAAAGACCCATGCGCTTCATCAAGTGTGTTCCTTGGAAGCCGAGAACCGGAAAAATGTATGCCAATACGAATGCGAGGACAAGCTCAACGGCAGCTAGGACGTACCACGTGATGTAGACGTTACTGTTGTGGTTGGTGAAGCGGAATGTGGTACCGAGATAGATCATGGCGAGGACAAAGTTCAATCCGATCTGAAGCAGCATTGGCAGAGCTTGCTTCTTGAACTTGCGGATGTGCCAGAGGATACTCGCATACTCGATGGCCAAGGCTAGACGGGACACCATGAGGATGATGGCTACATGAGTCAGTTTTGCTATAAGAGATATAGTGAGGAGAAGCAGAATGAATGACTTACAAAATGTTCTCATCGTCTTCATGTCTTGGTCTTCAGGTTTAAACTTGGGGGCAACTACAGCAAATCCAACCATGACACCAAGATGAATACCACGCGCGACACGTTCTACAATTGTTAGCAGTGTTAAACCCAAATGTTGAAGAAAACCTACCAAAGATACTGTCCGTTACGAATCGAACATCGTACAAACTAGTCGTGAGCCATGTAATCCAAAGGACACTACTCATACGTCAGTTTCGTCATATTCCCCCAGAGGTTCACTCTCGTACGTGAAGTAGCCGACATAGGCTTTGAAACGGTCAGGGCTGTTGACGCCTTGGGTCTCGCAGAAGACGGTATAGTTGGCAGCAAAGAAGAGGTCGTAGAAAAGCTCGAGTAGACTGGCATCCTCATGCTAGACACTGTTAGCATCCTCACAGTGATATTTTATTCGTCACAAACTTTTTGAAATTGCGGGCAGTCATCGTCGTATCGGTTACCAAAGAGGCTCATATCAGGGGCAGTAAGTTGCTTGGTAGGAAGACCATTGTCACTTGAGTCTGATCGTCCTATGAGAGGACTCTTGAACAAAACGAGCTTTTGGACTGGTGTCGCAGCCTCGGTCGGCTCTTGGTGAGACATTGTTGACTAAGGTAGGAACAAATCAAATTGAACCGACTGTCGATGATTAGCATGGCTCGAGGACAATGCCTCTTTTCGTCTGATAGAAATTTCTGCACATACTGTAGAATAGGTTTCCCACGCAAGCCTGAGAACCGAGTCAACTGGAATACATAATCATCTTTTCCCATTGGGGGCTGCCTTGACTATATGGGTTTTACTGAAGGTCGGGAACTGAGAGTTGAGCAGGGGTTAATGCACTTAGCAATACCTTCAAACAGCGATTTTCACGACTAATGCATGGATGACCTTAAAATACAGCACCATCAGCCCATCAAGTCTGACTTTTAGCGGGAGAAATCGAGTACAGTAGGGGCCACATTGGATTATGGCTTGGTCCTTGATTTAGATGCACGATTAATATGGTCTAGTAGAGCCTAGCGTCTACCAGCGGCGGTAGTTGAAGTGGTATTGAAATCTTACGTGAGAGTGCAAGTGGCCCCCAACTTTATGAATCCACTTAGCTGAAGGATGAACTGAACAATTGATTCGCTGATTATCTTCAGCCCGTCTACTTTTAGTTTAAAAGATACCAACTTACCTTACCGAAAATGCTTGGCAGGTGCCCGAGTTGCAGGTAAGAAGACAACTGCCCATCGGTAAGGAATAGACAGTTTAAAACAGCCTGGAACTGAGTCATTAGTGCCAAAACAAAAGAGAAATATCGAGTCACTCGGTGCAAGGATCAAAATGCCTGTATCCGAAAGATATAACCCGTTTGGGAAACTCAACTCAACCAACAACCAACAACCAACCCAACAACTGCATTTGCATCTGCATGTGCATCTCGTAGGGCTGTAAAGAGTGGAGCTTTGCATATTGTTCTGATCACGTGAGATGACTCCAAAATTAAGCGCTTACTTCTCTTAGTCTTAATCTCGACGCGTCAAACGCGTCTCCCCTGGTTTTAGCTTGGCTAGTGCACTAATGATTTATTTGTATTGGCAACCAAACAAGACCAACCAGACTCCTCACGAATAGATACGGACAGTGACGATGCGATAGCAAACCTCCATCAAGAAACGGCTCGACGATATCGTACATCACACACACACACACATAATCAACCACAATGAATCTCTCTCCTACTCCGAACGCTCGAAAGCGGACTCAATTCCAAGATGACCCCGTTCCAACTCCTGCGACCCTCAAGAAACGCCGACTCGATGAACTCATACCCGGATCGCCTTCAACCCCCAAGGCCCTCAATGCCATCAACTCAGCATATCCTGCAGTCATATCCAACGGCCAGAACTTATGGCCACCGGTAGACAACAATTTCGAGATACCGGCCCACCTACGGCCTGTCGTATCCCCATCAAAGCCTGTACCTGCAACGCTACCCACTGCACCACCAATGTTCCGCCCTGCACTCAAGGCGTCAGCACTAAAAGGAACGATATGGGACACTGGAGATACGAAAAAATCGTATCCTCTACCGAAGAAGGTTGGTGTTAGCCGACCAAGGACCGCTTCGCCAAAGAAACCAGCTGCTCCAAGAGGCAGGCCGCGGAAGAAGAAGGTCGAAGAACCGGCCCCAGAGGCGGGCGATGAACTTTCAGCAACACAAGAATCTACCGACGAGCTGTCCACAACGAATGAGTCTCTCTCAGTTCCGAAACCTACGCCCAAGGGTATCCTGACTCCCAAGAAGGGGAGACCACGAGGCCGACCGAAGAATGTCACTTTTGGGGCAGGCCAGGGTAAAAATGGCGAAGTTTTCTTTGAGGATTTACCGAGCAAACCCAAGACTCCACGCAAACCTGCCAACCCTGAAGCAGATGAGATCGTTTGCTCATTGTGCTTGAAGCCTCATTCGCAGGCCCCCAACCAAATCATCCTATGCGACATGTGTGATTTTGCAGTCCATCAAGAATGTTATGGTGTTCCGGATATTCCAGAAGGCGATTGGCTTTGCAAGTCGTGTACTCAAGAGGACATACTTAAGACGCCGAAAAAGACCGCTGGCGTGCAGCCTCCAGCTGTTAAGATCGCAGCAGACGTTCCTGACATTGCCAATTTGGACCAGCATGTACGGTCATTACAGCGAGTTCTTCTGGATCGTTGTACGGGGAGAAGGCGCTTGCAGTTGTCCGCGCAGCTTGAGGCCGAAGAAAAGGTGTACCAGCTTGTGGAACAGACGGTTGTTGCCGGTGAAGGAAACTCCATGATGATAATTGGAGCAAGAGGATGTGGCAAGACTACTGTAAGGCGCTTCGATCTCGCTCTTTGGGCGCACTGGATGCTAACTCCATATCTTGCAGTTACTAGAAAAGGTCATCTCTGATGTATCTCAGGAACACAAGAGCGACTTTCACGTGGTGCGGCTCAATGGCTTTATTCATACTGATGACAAGCTGGCCCTGAAAGAGATTTGGCGACAACTAGGCAAGGAGATGCAGGTAGAAGATGACCTGGTGAACAGAGTAAGAAAACCCCAACTTCCATAAACTACTGTCACTGACAACGCAATATAGACAAACTATGCCGACACCATGGCGTCTTTGCTTGCTCTCCTGTCACATCCGTCTGAGATTATCGGTACAGACGAAGGTGTCACGTCACAGTCGATTGTGTTTGTGATTGATGAATTCGACATGTTTGCCTCGCACCCACGACAAACATTATTGTACAACTTGTTTGATATTGCACAGTCGCGAAAGGCACCCATCGCAGTGGTTGGATGTACCACTAGACTAGACGTTGTTGAAATGTTGGAAAAGCGAGTCAAGAGTCGATTCAGTCATCGATATGTCTATCTCTCTCTGCCCAAGTCGCTTCCGGCTTACTGGCAAGTCTGCAGACAGGGGTTGATTGTGGATAGCGATGAGGCTGAGAAGGAAGGCATCAACACTTACCTCGAGGGACATGCTGCGTTCCAGGAGTATTGGAACAAAAAGATTGAGGTTAGTCAGTTTTAATCTGGGTGTGAATCGTATGCTGACATTCAATGCAGGGGCTATACAGAGAGCGGACATTCCAGGACTTGCTTCAGTATCATTACTACACAACCAAGTCGGCTTCGGCATTCCTGACCGAATGGATCTTACCTCTGTCGGCTCTCTCAGCCAACGACGTGACACTCAAGATCCCTGCTGTGCAAGCAGATGTTGAGTCCTTGACACCCCCTGACTCTAGGCTTCACTTGCTATCAACGCTGTCTGAGCTAGACCTAGGACTCCTTATTGCTGCAGCGCGATTGGACATTGTAGCACACACGGATACGGTCAATTTGGCTATGGCATACGATGAGTACAGTTCATTGATGGGGAGACAGCGAGTTCACTCAGCAACAGCAGGCATGCTCGCTGTAGGTGGAGGTGTGCGAGTATGGAGCCGTGGCGTAGCTGGTATCGCATGGGAACGACTCATCTCACTGGGATTGTTGGTACCAGCCGGCATAGGTGGTGCCCGTAACCTTGGGCATGGCGGATTAGAAGGCAAGATGTGGAAAGTCGACGTCGCACTGGAGGAGATCCCAGCAGCAGTGAAGTTGAGTGCTGTACTGGCAAGATGGTGTAGGGAGATATAGTGGCGGAGGTTGCAGTTTAACGATACGATGCCCTATTGGCTTGTTAGATACACATCTATCTGTGTTGCATAATAGACTATTAATGATGCCCCTGAGTAAGTAGAGGCAAGTCACGAATACATCGGCGCTACTTGTGTGTATCCCTGAGCCCTGTATAATTTTTTTGCGATGGAAACAAGACGGGGTTGCTCCTCAAAGGTGATGGTGAGATATTCTGGTCTCTGAGGACGGTAATAATATGGATATGCTGGATAATATGGTGAAGATGTTTAGGTTTCGCTAGATCCATCGACTCGAAGCATACTAAAATCTGACACGGACTAAAGCGCGTGCGTGTGTATTTAGGGGGGAACGTGTCAAGCGAGAGTAGATTTTTTTGTTAGATTAATATTATGATTTTACTGTGAATAAAACGATAAAAGCAGTGAAATAATGATTGGATTTTATCATGTTTGCAGTGCTTACTCTTTGTCTTGATGCTACGTCACTTGAGATTGTGAGGCCTTGATTTGCCAGAGACGAGATGAGCTAGTGGCAATCTGATACAACTTCCGAGCTCCTTCGGCCAAGGAAAAGGAAGCTTCGATTAATGGATGGTCGGTATTGCCCAGCTGATTTTTGTGGCTTACATAGTACCTACTCTACACTACACAGCTGGGGCTGAACAGTTGCCGAGTTCCTTCAATAGTAGTGTCCGTCTTTCACTCTTATTAGTAACTCTCCGTCATCTTCATCAACCTCAACTCAAGTCTTGAACAAAACAACAAGAAAAGATCGTCAACGCTCATCACGGACCCCTAGCTTTCTATCCCCCCATACACACATTCCCGGTCGCCACAGCTTCTATTATACGGCACTTGCAAAAAACCTGTATCACGTCGATCACAACCGATACCAGGAAAAAACCATGACTCGGTCTACTTTCACAACAATCACACCCTTGCCTTCAAACTTAACTCGCCAGCAAGTGGTCGACTTTCTACACGATCATTTAGCAATGATTGACTTGAATCCTCTCATCATAGAACGCCACCAAATCTCTCCTCCCTCACACGCCCCGGATGATGAGAAGAGATGTGTATGGTATTCCATGACGGATCGCATTGACTACCTCCCTGGTGGTATCGCCTCCGGTCAGGTCACATACACGGCTGCCTTCTTTGACTCTTCGGATGGTCTCCAGACACACAGTTACGCTCCCATGGGGCTTGATCTCCGTGGCCGCTGGTCTGTGGGCGGAACTATGCCCGGAGAGCGTCCGCAACCTGTTGAGCTTGGTCTTGGGGCACCGGCTTCGGGTCTTTATCTCCGCGAAGATGTTGACATGCGCTGTAACATGCTCATGGTATCCTTTGTTAAGAAGACTATTAAGAAGTCTCATGGAACTCTGGTCGAGAAGTTGTCGCAAAGAACTTCCCTCAAGTCTGCAAGACACTCTATGCAAAACTTTGGGACCAACTCCCCGGGAGCTCTTCAAACACCCACCCCTCCAGCATCTGAGCACTCAGGAGTACCGGCCAAGGGAGCCAATGGCCAGTACGGGATCGCCCCGGACCTGTCTTCCCACCCAGCCTACATTAGTGACACACCCTCTTCCAATATGGGAGATATGCACCAGCAAAATGGTGGTTCTATAGCCTCTGGACAGCAGCAACCGTCGGGGTCAAGTCAGTCAAGACCTGGTCAGTATGTGCCAGCTTATCGTGGCGACGGCAGACCCGACCATTATGTCGAGTTTGCAGGTCAAAGTTCCTACAATAATTCAAACACGCCACTTGATGAACGTGAAACCTTTGCGGAGCTAGACGATGGCACCTATAACCATCCTGAGAGGAAAGGACCAGCGGAACTGGCCTAGAATATGGCATTTTAGCCTTGTGCTTGTTTGAGCTTTGGAGTCATGGCGTTATTTATGTCTGCTACATAACTGGTTAAGTGCTGGAGTGTTTCAGTGTCAAGTCAGTACGAGCATGTTGATCATTTACAGAGCATAATCTCGAGCACGTATGTAATGAGCAAAATGATGAATTTCGTTAGGTTCTATACGTATCTATATTACACCAACGGTACAAATCATCTCCTAGCAATGCAAATGTTTTCCAAGCTCCTCATTTCTACCAGAAAGGTCTCCAAGAACAAAAGAAATCCCCTCCGATGCAATTTACCCATCCCCGGGAAACCCTTATGGGTACGGGCTTCGCAAAGAAGATCCACGGTGTATATGCGAGTGCATAAATACCTAAAGAAGTATAAAGATGTTGTCATTAAAACGTTGATGCGGAGAAGCGAAGTGAAAGTTGTCGTTGAGCGCTCATGCAAATCATAGCGGAGTGAACACAGCCGGAAACAGTCTCAAGTACAAGTTGGAAGGCTGACGAACTCATACGGTACTCTTGTTCGTTTCTTGAGACTGACACTCTTTGGCGTTTTTTGCTTTCGTCGTTGCGAGCTTACAGAGCCATGAGGCCGAGGAAGGTAGCAAGGCCGAGTCCGAACTGGATGGCACCGGCGCCGGCAGTGACAACGGGCTCCTCGGGGACCTCCTCGTCCTTGCCAGGCTTCTCACCCTCGGGCTTCTCGGGGTTGGTGGGGTGCTCAGGCTGGGCAGGCTTCTCAACCTCGGGGTGCTCAGGCTTGGCGGGGTACTCAGGCTTCTCGACGTCGGGGTGCTCGGGCTTGCTAGGCTTCTCAACCTCAGGGTGCTCAGGCTTGACGGGGTGCTCAGGCTTGCCAGGCTTCTCGTTCTCAGGGTGCTCAGGCTTGACGGGGTGCTCAGGCTTGCCAGGCTTCTCGTTCTCAGGGTGCTCAGGCTTGACGGGGTGCCCGGGCTTGTAGCCAGGGTGCCCGGGAATCCAAGTAGGACCAGCGGGGTGAGTCTCAGTGACGGTGCAAGGGCAGTCAGTGATGATCAGAGTGGTGGGCTTGGTGACAACATAGTCCTTGCCGCCCATGTGGAAGCTGGTAGGTCCAGGGCAGTAGGTGGTGTAGACATCGACGACGCTGGTGACAGTGACTGTGCCGTTCTTGCTTCCAGTGGGCATGGGAGCAGGAGACGCGGTGGGCTTAGCAGCAGCGGCACCAATAAGGGCGAGAAGAGCCGCGGCGTTGAAGGCGTACATCTTGAAAGGTTGATTTTGTTTTGGGGATACTTCAAAGAGTGAGTGAGTTTTGGAGAGCGAATGCGAGTTTTGCTGGAGTGAGCGAGTGTGGTCAAGTGAGTGACTTGGGCGAGATTGTTAACGAGTGTGTTGCAAAGAACGAAGAGTGATGCTGAGTGATGCTGAGAGAAAAAACTTGATGAAGCTGTCGGCGAGGTCTTCTTATATCTGAAAATTGAAGCCTCAGACACTAGCCAAGAGCCTCCTGTTCATCCTCCCTTGTCTCACTTTCATCTTTGTTTTCTTTCCTCTCTGCCCCTGAGGCTTGCGACAATCTGGCCGCCACAGTAAAGAATGGAAGCCAATGTACGGTCATGTTGCTTCATTCCAATACGCAAGGGAGGAAATGGAAGAAATTGCGGCTCCGTATTAAGGGAGTTGTGGCCGGGTTACGACATGCAAGGAGATGTTTTTTTGTGTAATTGAGCTGGATGGTGGTGAGCCAATGTTTGGGAAAGCTATTTTGAGCCACGAGTTTGTTTCTAAGTAATCTCATTTATAACTTGTTAGGTGTAAGTGATTTCTGAGTCGATGAATGATATAATTCTTGGCTGAGATGACATGACACACTTACTGTCTTGCTTTCGTACTCTCAGTGAGTTATCTAACTTCTAGGTACGCTTGTGTATATCAACATGTAAGTAAACAAACACAATGTCAATAGACAAAACTACCCTGAATAAAATACCATCCAGAAAAAGAAAGGACCCTCTCAGATAATCCTCATAACCCCCCGATTCGACAATCAGCGATGCTCAAAAAGAATCGGTCGATCTGGAAGCTGTCTTTGTCTTGCCCGTGAAATGTCTCTTCCTCCCTTGGCTCATTAATGTACCCATGGTCGCCCCCACTCACATGAAGAAGAGCATTGTTTTGTAATTCGTTTATCTTGACAATAATAACATTCAGCCTCTTTTTTTCTGATGGCATGTCTTGGTGACGGGAGCGCCGAGAAGTGTTTTTTTATATATTGGTTCTATAGTGGTTTATTGTTAGCAAGACATGCTTTATACGTATTACAGATGACCAAAAATAGCCGTGGTTTTCGTTGCAAGGATATATAAGTCTTATGATATGGCACTAGACAAATCTAAAGGAAATGATGAGGAAAAGACAGAAAAAGAAAGACGCAATCACATTTCTTCTAATCTACTGTTATTCAAATTACCTTTATGCAGTCGAGATATCGGCCCCTGTTCTCTGCAGCTTTTCATTAAATGGCTGACATAGTGTAGCAGAGCGTTGAGACACGGCATACATCCAGTCTTTGATTCGTAACACACGCAATATGAACAAACATGTGCAATGATAATTGCTACGGTATCGTTTTTATGTATGTATATGTTCATGAGCACGCGATGTCTCACCACTATCAGAACATATCTACGCATTCCAAATGTGCTATTTCAACTGCACCAGTCAATCATCATACCAGTAGACAAGCTCACGATTCAAGTGCACATATGATGTGATTCGCTTCCTTGTCTTTGTTTATTCCTCTCGACAAAACTATCGAGACTGCCCGCCCAGTGTCTTTTTTCTATGTACAATCGTATTTCAGCGCTGGCCCGCCGTAATGTACCCCGACTCCTTCCAATGCAATGCATTTACTTTCGGCCTCAAGATGATGAGGTCCGTCCATAACGTAATAAATAAATAAAAGAAAAGAGAGATGAAGAAGAAATAAACCCCTCCAAAGTAGTACAAACAACATCAAAGTAATAACAAGAGAAGTGCTGCCGATTTCGTCTGTCGAAATCCTTCACGCTGTACAAATCGATCAACCATTTCACAGGCCGTTTCGTCCTATATCCATACGATCATAGTCATGTCTCGAAGATCCCAACCATCGAATATTCGTACAGCTCGTCTTTGCCGCGGGATTGAATCGGCGCTCAGCGCTCATTACTCGACACAAGCAAGTACTGTATCCAAGCAGAAAGCTGTCGCACACCCCATCAGTTCCTCCTATCGGATCATCCGAGCGACCTATTATTGTGATAGTAGGTTTCCTATCTGAGATCCATCATGTATGAGCAAATGGGGCATGACGCGAATAAAGGCCAGCTGAGTGTGTTCGGAGGCGGCCGAAGCGAGTAGATTGTTGTCGGGTCTGGTAGGCAAAGCCGTCGCCGTGGCTGGTGGCTATGGCCCCTAACTTAGCACTAGCCGCCGAGGAAGAGAAAGGGGCCGAGGCGAGAATTAGAACGAAAAGAAAAAAAAGAACATGGCAAAAAATAGCTCGGAAACCAAATAACACCAATAATGCAGGAAGGTATGGCTCTAGGTGGTATCGTTCTCATGATAACAAACGCTTTTGTAGCCAAAGCTGTCAAACGTCTCTATACAAATGACTCGTGATTAAATGAGGCAGATGATGTAAATGCTTGGCTTGGGCCAGTAAGGTTCAATTCAGGGTCCTGGTCCTGGTCCTGTTTTTTTCCTGGTTTCTGGTTCTGGCCGCAAGTCTGGTTCTGTTTAGACTTGAGCTTTCCCTTTGAGCCTAGTCAACCCGCTCTAGTGTAGATAGCGCATGACCGGATTTCCTTTGGGGGAGAGATCACTTTCGGTTGGATCTGCTTTGGCTTCGCTCGGGGCCTCGGCCAACAACTTCGAACTCGTAGTTTCGCAGTTGCTGCTCATATTTGGGGCTGCGAAGGAATTTTGGTACCGAGTCCTGTTTTCTCCTATATTAGCAGCTGCATTGCTTCATCTTAAATTGAAAAGGATCGGCGTGCCCGGGAACGGGCCTTGGGGGGCTGGGGAGGGGCGGTTTTTAGCCAAACTTACACTAGCCATCAGCTTGAAGACAGCGTTTTGAGCATCTTCAAACAGCGACGTCACCTCTTGAAGAGTGTCAATCATAGCCACATCCTGTCCAACAGCCTTGGTCATTCGTGTAGCCAGGTTGTTGCGCAACTGGTGGTCGATGTTGAGTTCGCAAGGCGATCCCGGAGCCAGGAAGGCATTGTAGATACCATATGCTGAAGCCATAATCTCCTTAATTCCGTCCATAGCATTGGTGTTGGGCGCCTTTTGCGCAGCCCGTGTAGCAGCCTTGCAGCTGCGCACGAACTCATCCACATCTTGGTAGAATGACAAGTTCTCTTCACAGTGAGTATCCCGGAGCTGTTCACGGAAAAGGAGGCGAAGAGCTGGGTCGTTCAAGATCTTGTCGAGGCGTTGAGTGTTGGAGTCTCTGGTAATACCGTTGCGCTGGGATGTGGCACCGCCTTCACTCTCAGAAGCACGTCCTCGGGAGGCAGCACCGCTGACAATATCCTTTCCGCGTTGTGATAGCTGGTAGATGGCATACTTGGTAGGCTGGAAAAGGTTGCAGCCAGGGTTCTGGGCCATGTAAGCCCGGTCCTGGGCCACAGGTTCCATCAACTCGAACTCGACGAAGAGAGTAGCCACCTCGAGAGTTTCCCTCTTATCCACAATAGTCGAACAGTCCATAAGCCAATCGGTAGTGGCCTTGCCAGTGAAGGTATCACGATATGTCTTTCCATTCACCTTGCGCTCAGCAGCCATCTTGACGCCTGTAAGTCCATCCCTGTAATCATGTAGAGAGTCTGAGTCGGCAGCGTTGACAGTGGACTTGATGTTGCGGCCCTCGGCTCCAGCAAAACGGCGGAAGATAACTTCGATTGTGCCGTGATCGTGGAGGAGCTTGTCCGTCTGAGGGTCGCGCTCGAGCAGCACCAGTTGGGTGGAAGCAAGGTTGGCAAGCTCAGAAACTTGCTTTTGCTGTATGCCGTTTCTGGAACAGAACCTATCCAATACGGTGATACCCTTGGGGGTTAGTTGCCAGACAGAGCCTTTCATCGTATAAACCTGCTGGTATTTGCCATCGGCTGATTCGATAAAACGTGCCTCCAGAAACCTTTGACAGATAGAACGAGCCATGTCCTTAGCCATGGAGAATGTGGTGGTTGTTGTGGTAGTAACGATACGAGAGGGGTCCTTAGGGTCAGGCATGCGGTTGGATTGGGAGAATTTGAGAGAGCCCAGGTTGTTAATAGCATCCTCGGATAAAAAGGTGTATTCAACCTTGGTCAATCGGACACGATGAGCCGAGAGCGGCAGCAAACTAACGACAAGGGTTGAGAAAAGATCTTTGAAGTCCTATTTGTGCAACTCTGTCAGCAACGACTCGGGCAGGTATAGTTTAATTTCTAGAACGCAATTGGCGCCGAGTCAACGGCTATGCATGTCTGCGCACGCGGCGAAACGGCGCATAAAAGGCACACCAAGCATTTTTGAGTAGGACAGTAGTTTACCTTTGTGAATGGTCGGTCATCGTCCGTCATGCGCAATAAGCGCGATGATGTCTGGTGCATTTTGGCGGCTGTGGAGGACTTGTAAGGGAGAGGGTGATTCGGGTCTGTTGTTGCGTAAGGCTGAGATGGTGGGTTGTTCGCCTGCAAAGTCTGGGGAGCAATCTTGCCGTCCACGGTTGCGCCTGACGAAAGTGATTGATTTGAGGAGCTTCGAAGACGGTGATACTTGTCCGGACTGGAGGGTTCGGACGAAGGTGAAGAGCTGGTGAGCAAGGAAAGCCTTGAGAGAGCTCCGCTAGACTGTCGAGGTCGGACGGAAGGCTCTGAAATGGCAGCAATTGCGTTTTGCGTGCGGTCAAAGGCAGAGGCGGCCAATGCAAAGAGACCTGTGGAGGAACGATTGTTGAATCTTGAGACTGACGAGGTATGGCGATGGTGACCTTGTTGTGGGTGATATGGGATGTAGACGGGTGCGTCCGTTCCTGGTGCTGGCCCTGATCCTGAAGCTGATCTTGATCCTGTGGTTGTATTTGCGGAGACAGTGGAAGGGTTGTTGGTAGCGTTCACTGGTGGTGCGGGAGGTGGTTGAAGAGGAGGCGAAGAGCGTGGAGTAGTAGTTTGAGAAGGTGGGTGAGAGCGAGCAGTCGTATCCTGGTCGAAGGTATCAGAAGGAGAGGCAGACTGGTTTACCGTGTGTTTTTGGTGATGCGACAGAGTGGCCATCTAACGGGAACGAGAAAGGTCAGAAGGAGGGGAGTTTTACGGTGACGGCAGCGGGAAGGTTCAAATAAGAAGGATGGAAGTGGAAGTGGATTGGGGATGGACACGGCGAACGAGTGGAAGCAGAGTAAACCAAGTCAAGTGGGACACAGAAAAGATAGATCAGGTCTGGGTGGAATTAGGATAGGATAGGATAGGATAGGCAAAGGCAAGAATAGGTAAGGTAAGGAAAGTAGTAGGTAGAGAAGAGGGTCGTAGGTACTGAGGTGGTCCTGGTACCTGTACAGGTACTGGTACTGGTACTGAGCCAGGCGATTCAAAGAGAGAGGGGAGGGTGGGGGTGTTGAAAGGGGACCCCTTGATCATCTTGCAGAGGCGTCTAGATAGAAGAGGGGATGGACTGCTAAGAAGTGGATCTTACCCGACCTCCGTTCTCCAGTCGGACGCGGGCGCTGAGGACAGCGGGCGAGATCCATGGTCTCCAAGCAGCTAAAATAACCAGAGCAAGGGCCAGGATCAGGGTCAAGATACTCAATTCTCCAGCGAAAAAGGAATCTCGGAAACCCAAGAGAGACGAGAAAGAGTTACTGTTACCATGTATTACAGAGCACGAGGAGGGAGAAAAAGAGAAAGACAAAAACTACTACTATAAAAGTGGATTCTCAAAGAATAGTCCAAGAGGCTATGATCCATTTCATCTTTCATACTATTGATCTATTGATACTAACTAAAGAACTGTAACAGTCCGCTCGCTCCCTTTCAAGCCAGGGATCTATTCATCTGTGTTTTCTTATTACTCATCACTTGCAGTGATGCCTTAACTACGAGACTGAGCAATATGGCACCTTTGTGCTGGGGTTTTCAGCGCATACTCGCGCTGGACTGACACTACCGACCTGTCACCAGCCTGACATGACACGAGCATTGAACCGACCTGTGCTGTACAGAATAGCCAATGTGGTCTTCTTCATCTTACCTTAGCATGGCTCGGCATGTCAACTGTAGCGTAGCGCCGTCTTACCAAAGAACGACATCACCTAGGCCATTGACCAACTGCCTGTCAAAGGCTGTGTTCAGGGCCAAAGAAGAACAAGGCTTTCACTTTGTTAGTAGCGCAGCGCCATCGATGCTCCGGGTACCGTACCTTTAGTACAGGAGGCTGCTTGTCGGCTCCGAGTGAAACATGGAGATGAGATGAAAGAAAACAGACACAGATATAGAGCGTTGAGCATCAAATCATCGGTGGCATGGAGAAGCGATGAGAATAGAAGTGTCTTAAACTGATGAGGGCGCTGGCACTAACCAGAGACCTGCCAAACATGACACTAATTCTTCATCGCTGACAACATGACAGTGTGTGTTTACCATCTCAAGCGAAATCGAAATTCCCTGTCTTGCCTACACCTATTGGTAACAACGGTAAGTAAGATAGGGTTATAATGTTAACTCAAATTTACAAACTAGAGACATGGGAACAGGTACATGCAGTTCGGTCATAAAACATGGCCGTTTCCAGCAACTTGCATGTCCGGTGTCGATACTGGGTCCTTCGTGGCTCCTACTTGCGCTATCGTCGCATTTGGGGTTCGTACATGCACTAAAGCGCTGTACGTAACGCATTAGGGCACCAGACTTGTTGGGGGTTCACGGGCTGAAACCATTCGGCTTCCTTGGAGGTTTTCTTTTTCTTTCTCTCGGAATGCCTACATCAATCGTTGCTGATATGCAAGCGGTCTGCAGCACCTCCGCACTTTGCAATACCTACCATCAGGTAGGGTACGAAACAGTACATACATACCTACATAACTCTTCTGATCTGATCGGCTGGCACACAACAACAGCCCGGACGGCATCGGCAGCGAGACACGACCGATTGACAGTAAACCAGCGGTTTTGAGGCGCTGTATTACGACTAAACCCGGACACATGTCTCCAACCGTCCCTCTAAACACCTGAAAATTCGTTTCTGGAACATGTTTTCCATGTTGTAGCTATGTGCGGAATCCCCCGGTGGGCTTGCCCACCACGAACGTACCCTGTGCAACCATGACAGGCGAGGGTCGTCTGGGTCAACGCCTCGTTATAAATCGCATCGAGTGAAATCATCGCATACGAACAACGCAAGCTAGCGCCCGAAAGCTTAGTCGATCCCAAAAGCGCGTTGTGGACAGCACTGCATGCTGCCAGCCATCTGAAAGGAATGCACGCTTGCGCGGAAGGTCTCTTGGTGGGTGTTTAACGGTAACTTGTACACGCCTGCATCGTTGAATAGCAAACGAGTGCCAGGCTTGCGTAGGTTGGTATTATAACAGGGACGGCCACTAGTAGTGCAGAGCGAGCTGCAAGGTAGATAAATGTCCAATTGCAGACTGACCCCGGTTAGATGTGGTCAGTGAACAGATAATCAGTTAAAAAAAAAAAAAAAAAAAAAACGGAAAATGTTGTGTTGTCCTTTATCGTCGTTGTGCCTCATTGTTCATTCCATCTGGGCCGCTGGCAGGCTGGGTAATCTTTCCTCACATGTTGAACCAGTACCACAGCGCGTGGCTACTGAGCCGCGGGCGTGTACATGTCTGTCTCACTTCTTACACTCAATCAGGTCTCAACAACCCCCCTTGACTGCGCGTGGCTTCAGGGATTCTGCCTACATGCTAAGCTGCATTCGGCCGGTAAACTTTCCTTGTAGCCCTTCCACCGCATCACGTTGTTGCCATGCGATCAAAGCGCCCAAGTTCCTGTCCATGCATGCAACCATGTCGCTGCTGGGCGTACTTGCCCCTTACTATGTACTCTGCCCCACGCGATGTCTGCTGCACTGCTTCAGAGTCGCTACATGTGCATCGGCATGCTGCCGAAGAAATGCCAGAGTATTTCCATCTTGGTTTTGCATGTTACCCGTTGCAAACCCTGGGCCGTGGACTTTTGGATGACGGGTAGTATGCGATGGTTGCACGTACACAAGGCTACACCCTGTGAATAAGTCCCATGAAATGACAAGGGGGGCTGGCAGGATGTGCCGTAGGTCTTGGTCGTAGGATGTTGATGCTTGTCTATCCCAGCAGGAACAGCTACTTTAAGCATAGTGATAGAGGTGACGCTGAAACACGAAATTCGAAACGGCTGAACAAGTCCATCTTTGGTGCATGAACACAGCGAGTCGGCCGCCCATGACTGATACCATTTTGGTTTGGTGGTTTTCCTGCTTCATCTTTGACAAAGCCGCCATGTCAAGCGCATTGCCTAGCCTGCCTGCCAGCCTGGGTACTCTACAGTACCTGAGTAATGTACATGTTTGGTGTTCCTCCCCTACTGTCGGGATTAAATGATTTTGCGCCCCGGGATTATCACAATTAGGGCGCTCGCATATTCGACAGATTTGGGGTAAAGCCAAAAGGCGGGTTGCAAATCTTGGTTAGAGTGAACGCCACAGATCGCTCTGACCTCTTCCATGGTTGGTGCGTCGGAAATTGATATTGTTAGAGCGTTGACGAAGTTGACTAGTTGCACAATCACGCTTCCTCAAGGCTGGTCGGTTTCGAAGCTGTTTATTGGTGTTGACCAAGATGTTGTCAGCTGGTTCACAAGGAACGGTGTACTTAAAACTCAGCCTTGAAATGTTGCTCCAGATTACCCCAAGGATGAATGCTTGTTTAACGGGCAATTGCCTGCCGTATCGTATCTCACTCGGAGCTTGGAGGGCCCTGTCAGTGACGGATGTCTGTTAGATTGACCATCTCGCTCTGTGCGCACGTCACGCTCGGCTCACTCCCAGCTTAAAAGAGCGCCCATGCCCTCTCTTGTTGCGAAGCGAGATTGCGACACGCACCGTTACAGCTTCTGCTGCTCTGTGCTCATCCTTCTAGAAGGTTTCTGGAATCCTTTCCGTGGCAGGGACAGGGGTTTGAAGATCTTGAGTGGTCGAACAATCCAGGTCGACTCAAAATTCCGTCCAGCTGTTCGGCAAAGCAATTCGTAAACTGTCACAGATGCGGAGCGTTTCAGTGGGCTTGCCGTTAAATCAGCTGATCTTTTGGCAACGTAACCTCGAGAATGGGATACCGATAAATCTAGGTCTAGAGCCCAAAGTACATGTACCCATTTGGAGTGGATAGGTAGAGAGGTGTAGGGACTGAAGCCTGAGTTTCAGTACTGCAGTTGTAGGGGTGGGCGATCAACAAGGAAGAGAAGGCCCTAGCAGGGAAAGGAGCACACAACTCCAAAGTTGGAGAGGTGGAACACGACAACACCATCAATTCATTACAGTTGCAAGGTAGGGGAAGGAAACCTAAATGCTAATATGATATTGTACCCACATTTAGACTTCTGTCGTTTTGCTCCGGTTTCTCTTTCGCCTCCTCGCCAGTAATCGATGCTCGCGCGAAGGTTGTCACTCAGCCAAACGCGACCATGGCAGTCCTAGCGTCATGGTTACCATTAACCGACCCTGTCCCATCCGAATATCCAGACTCAGGGTCCAACTGAGTCGCCGACCAAAGGCAAACAGAGATGCGACTTTGATCTTGAGTCAAGCTACCTACCTATCTACTGGTACTGGTACTGCAGCCTGCGGATACCTGCATTAGCTCTTGATTAACCATTTGCCAAGTCCAGAATCTATACACTAAGGACAGTCGATATAGATGGGATGAAGCTCCTACAACAGTTTGAGTCTGCATATCACCAGCCTTGACACATGAGGTCTTGTCTTGGAGCACCCTCATTATAGATCTAGGCTGCGATCTCATGGTGCAGAAGCATTACACCTTGCTATGGATTGATTTTTTCTGCCGCCCAGTGTCGTTCCAAGCAATTAGCAATAATTCCGACGACTGAGTCAGTACAGCTGTCAGAGTGGGAATAAATCGGGGTTTGGTGGTTGACTTCAACTACACACTAGACTAGCAGTCTGGAACCTCAGAGGTCAACTCATCCACCCTTACACCGCCGCAACAAAGAGTACCAACCCGTCAAGACATATCCATAGTCTAGGTTGCAATCGCCTGGGCTGGCCTGCGAACTGGACGGGCTGCCGATACGGAGCATTCGCCGGAGTGTTGAGAAGAGCACCTAATAGGTTGTGACTGGTCATGTTTTCCACCATGTCGGCATTCCCACGTGGCTCCATCACTGAGCTCTGCTGCACGTAAAGTTGCCATACAGCGAGCGAGAGGAGGGCTCCATTGTCCTGTTCTTGCTCCACTTTGCCGTGTTTCATTCTGTATGATCTGACCACGACAATTTTCCGCTTTTGTCTGTGACTGCAATATTATTTTGAGCATAGCATAGCACAGCCGGCAAGGTACGGCACTACACTGCACCTTACGGAAGCAAGGTAGCGAAGCAGCGAAGCAGCGAAGCCACAATCCCTGACGTAGTATCCGAATCCGCCGTATTATTTACACCCAAATCCTAGTCCACGCCGCATGCATAGCAGCTTTGTCAGCGATCGGCAGCGTGTAAGTTTTGGCGAAGAGACGCAAGGAAGTGGCGGTATCGATGAATACTGCAGATCCCTGACCTATTAAGCATTTCGACACAAGCAGACAAGTCAAACTCTGGAGATGGAAGTGGGCGTTATCATCATTTGCGGTTATGCCATAGTAGCATATCATAACAAAGCAGAGAGAGGGTGTGATGATAGTACCCTTGCTTCCTCCAGGTGCTTCTGGCGGGGTCGGGCCACGTGGGTTTGTTCTGACACAATTGAAGCCACGCGTTGGGAACAAAGCAAAAGGGCAAAGAGGAAAGAGTAGTGGAGGCGCTTACAGCTTTGATCTTTTCTGATTGTTCGTTTTTCTTCACCGCGATATACGTTCTAGGCCATGAATTCCGTTGATACTACCGGAAATTTGTCCCGGCAGTTCGTAGACGAGCTTCTTTAGCTCATTGAGTTGTACCGGAACTACGGAGTTTCCAGCTCTCAATCAGGACGTCACCGCCGGTAGTAGCACGCTTTGTCTTTTTTTCTCTCTTTCCACTCCAGCAATTTTTTCTCTACTATTTAAAAATCGCCTCTTGGCTCTCCACTGTCCAAGGACGAATCCACAGGCTTCAGTTCAGTCCCTTACTATAATAAAATACTGTGTAGCAACTCGTATAGGCTGATATCATTGCGACTGTAGATGCCCTTACCGCCATGTGGCAGTCGTATACCTGCATAAACGTGGTTTTAGGTTGGGACGATTTGGCGTGACGTTTGGCGTTGTGTGCAATGTTTTAGGTATCGGTCGGTATCCATTACAAAGCAACATCTCGCGGGCGCTAACGAAGAGAGAGAAAAATAGTTCGTGCCCTTCAGACTCGTATGTACTACTTGACTCTGCCATACATAATGTTACACGCCAAGCTTCTCCATGGCAGTTTTGTTGTCAGGCCTGTCTGCGGTCAGTGCTTGCCAAGTGCGACGACATGGTGAGTCAAAAATCTCAGAATACACGGAGCCATTAACAAAACTTTTCAAGACCAGTCACAGTCAAGTATATAATGATGGCGAAACATGTATTCGTGGGTCATGTTTCGTCAGGCGTTTTCTGTCTGTAATATGTACTTGTACCTATCTTCAGGACACACACGAGAAAAACAAGGGTTCCATGAATCTGATTCGATCCCCTGTTCATGTCATGCTTTCTGCCATCCATCCTACCATTGCCACGCGACAGGTACAATATACTTTGCCATGTGTCTTGTCATGCCATGTGCCATAAATGAACCACGAGGCCAGCAGTGATCACCCAACCAGCCCAGATCCGTCTAAACCACTCTTGGATCATGATATCCACAAATTTCTGCGAAGCATCTTGTCAAATCAAGCACCAAGAAATAGTGTCTTTACGGAGCATTAGCTCTCGCCAGTCAAATCAGCCCCCTTGACACAACTTGATCAATTGAGCTACAATTATTTGCACTGACAGTACGAACGGCTTTGCAGATCAAGGCTCGTACGTCATATTACTCATCACAGCTTTTATACGCGACTCGGTGCCCATCCTCCAGCCCTACAATATAACCATCCCAGTACGTAAACATACAAATTACAACCACAAGCGACTACTGCACTCATACGAAATCAGCCTGGGTTTGGCGGTACTTGAAGCCGACAATAAACTTTGGCATTAAACCGTGCCCCCTTCATGTCGGCATTGGCTCCAGAGTTTCACACGGCGAACCCCGAGATCCAGTACACGCAAGACCAGCTATAGATAGATAATATGATCCGATTTATGATTGTAACCTCCACCGCATGTATGGGAACGAGCAAGGACAGGCTACCGAGCTGAAAAAGTCTTCCAAACAGTAGTCGGTGAACTACTCCGTATAGTACTGCTGCTATAACACGGCTAGGTTGGGACATGGGTTGGGCTTCACGGGCTGAGACTCGAAAATTAGCCCTATAGGCTTTTCAAACGCTGCTAGCGGGCGATCTAGTCGACGGGAACAAGAGTTCGGGTTCCATTATCCAGGTATCGCTTGTAAATTGCTGTTCTCATCTTCGACATTCGCATGTGTAATTGTACGTGTGTACATGTGTTTGCTACGTACTTGAACACTCCTGGTTTTACCAAGACGCTAGAGATCGAACCTTTTTCTTAGCCGCCGTGGTCCAAACTCCAACAAAGAGTGGTACTTGGCCTCTGACATGCAGCAGTAACAGCAACTCCCCCTATTTCTCGTGTCCGAGCTGAAATCCGTGCTCAAACCTACCTATCTGGGGGGGGAAACTGACTCTCCACCACCACCTGCGTGCGTGCGCCCAACTTGGTCGTGCTATCCCACCCAACTATGGACCTAGGTCATACCGCTGGCCCCAAGTGGACTTTGCTCAGGCACTGATTTTCTCTTGCGGAACATTTCCTGATTGAGCCTGTTAGACGCCCGTGTTTCACATAGTCAGTAAAACACATGGGCAGCGGAGCTATTCCGCCCTTGTAGAACCTCCAGTTTATCCGTCAAACCAAAGATTTTGTCCCAGGGTTCAAAGCTATTTCTTACTGAACTAAAACAACACTCTCTAGCCAAATGTGATGAGATCTTCGTATCTTACCACCAACGTAGGACAGGAGGTGTCATAACTCGAGTCAAGCTCAGCAACAATCCATTCTATATCCGGCCAACTTTCACGACACAATTTCAAATAGACTTACACAGCATGGTGAGCTCTTTGGGCTCCTATCACATTCTGTGACCCCGGCCATAGCTTGGACTTGGGGAGGGGGGAAAGGGTACCGAGTCATGTCCTCGTGTCAACCTCCTCCCCAGACTCGTCAGCATCTAAACGTGTGGGGAACACCACGAGGTTGAAACAGTTGCAAGGCTTCCAGGAGAGCTTAACATTGGATAGATCTAGGAGAATGTCGTGGGGGTGCTGTGCAGATCAGTCGCAAACACCTTCCTGTTGCACACTGACACATCTTTGTCTCTGTCATATTTATATAATCCTCTTGCTGTGCGGGCGTAAAGAAGTATCTTCAGCCCTTTTTGCCTCGTGGGCCTGCCAATGCTACCCGTGCTGGGTCAGCGTTATTAACTGGACTATTGCCGTCGATCTCGAGGACACTTTTCTTTGTTTGACGCAGAGCTTTGGCCAGTCGGTGAACTAGCTATAGGGCGGCACGGAAGTCTGAGCTGTGGTAGGTCCCAGTGCAGTGGTGCATCCGATATGACTATCCAGTCGGATGGTGTACTCATCACCACGCTTGAAGTTCTTGAAGTTTGCTGATCATGTACACCATGTGTCGTTCTTGGCGCATTCGTTTCATTGATGTTTGTTCGGATAGACTTCGACTTCGCGGAGCCGGAGCAAGATGCGACCATATCGACATGCCGTTCAGTCCGGTCTAGACACAGTAAGCACATGACTGCAGAGTGAAATCATCCAAACGCTGCCTGCCACTGTACCGATACCTTGAGCAAACATCAAGAATCAATTGGCCTATGATCTATGAATCGTTACATCATACAACCAGACTGGATAAACATGTCTACATGGCAAGAAACCGTTCGAACGCCATCGCTTTTAAGCCCCCTGGCTTTGACACCTCTCAGGCGCATTAATACTTGGGGGAATCAAGTCCTTCCCTCTCCCCTTTCATGATAGCTCTTATTGATGAAGCAACCCAAATCATGAGTATATCACATTCTAATGTAACATCTCGTATGTGTCTTACGAGTTTCCAATTATATCGAAGAAGGTGCTCTGTCCTTCTTCCAGCCCCTGTATCGCATGTTTTCCTCAATGGCTCGCCAAATCTGCTCCACGATCTCCTTGTCGCGGAAGCGCGAGGTATCGTGGCCCTCTCCGCGCCAGCGGTCAATACCAGTTGATAGAACTCGGTGACCCCATCCGCGGATGTTATCCGGGGCTGTCTCACCTCGCCAACCAACGTAAACGCCCAAAGTATGCTTAAAGAGCTCGTTGGGGTCGCTCCACTTGTAATTCTTAAACTGCCAAGTCTGTCCAGTGGTGAGGACTGCCACGATTCTGTTCCAGTACTCAGGCTTGAATGCTTCGGAACCCTCGACTAGAATAAAGCGCATAGGACGGTTAGGGTCAATAGATGGTACAAGACGCTGCACATGAAGCATCGTGGCCGTAGTGCCGCTTGCATCGGTGGGCACAAACTTGCCATCCTCGAGAAAGGACCTCACGTTCGACAAGCGAATCAAAGAAGATGCCGAAGGTGACAGGAGAATGATAGGATCCGGTCGCCTCGTGGGAACCTTCTGATTAAGTGCGAGTGATGGGTTGGTAGGGATGCTGGTAGAGCTGGATTGAGATTTCTTCTGAATGAATGGTGCTGCAAGTTTACGAACATGGGAAAAGTCCTACTGAAGTCAGATAAAGCTCGGATCATTTTCACTACTACAAGACATACCGTAGGCTTAGCACCCCTTAGGACCGTGTTGCGATCACCCATCTTTCGTTCGCCATTGTAAATGCCCACTAGTCTGGGGTCCATGGTACCCCGACCGGATCGAGCTTGAGAAGCCGAATTCACAACGCCCGTCTTCGCCGTTATCGCAGCATCGGTAGTTGCAGCATCCTTATCATTGGCCAGCGGCTTGATATACTCGCTCTCCTCGCTGGCACCTTCAAGCCAGGTAATCAGATCCAGACGCTCAATGAAACCCAAGTTCTGGGCCTTGCCAGAGCTGCCAGCAGCCGCCAGCTCATCGTTAAGCTTTGTTGCCGAAGCGTTGTATTCGGGAATGGCGACCTCGCGGTTTAGCCAGGCAAAGTAGATGCTGCGGAGGTCGACTGGCTTGTCGTGCGACACGAAGCGCGTCGGGCCATCGATGGGGACTGCGATATCTTGGTTGGGGAAGCGCAAATACGTGGCCTGTGAGAGAGGTACTTCGGTCGCGGATGCGTCAGCTGATGCGCATGGAACGAAAGGCGCGCCAGAGGAGATGGATTGGCGAAGGAGAACGAGGCCATCGAGATCGGCGGCAGACGCCATGACGAAGAAGGTCGCGATGGAACAGGAGACGCAATCGATTGGAGAACAATTCGATGTCTAAGTTGTTGGAATAGGCCAAAAATTGATACTGAATTTCCAATGCAGTTAATTCGCGCGAATTCAGCGTGTTGTTAGAATGGAGTTTTGATGAAGTGAGGATGAAAGGCTGAGGCTGAGGCTAGGATTTTTGGAAAGTTCACCTGCAGTTTACTTTGGTACCTTAGCTCTCTCTCTCCTGCACTACCATTGGCCAGAGACTGACATGTCCAATCAGGGGTCTACTCTCTCGTCTTCAACTCGAACAAAATTTAGCAACTACTAACATATTTTAACAGATTCGAACAGACACACTATCGCATGACTTGATTTATCTTCAATTTATTTAGCAATTTCAACATTGATTTATTACTTTCGCTACCAGGAAGCTCGCCAGAGCCATAGGGTAAGTTCATTAACATGAACATACCTTAGCCTAGACGCTGTTTAGACAGTCTTTAAATTACATCGGAGGGTACTTTAGTTGTCTATTATAGGGACTTTATGTAACGTCGAGGCTTTGCTTCACTTCTTAGGTTCAACTCTGTTCCAACTGCCGGGTTTTTGCAACACCATCACGCTGCCGTGCGCGTGCGCCGAAGTCTTCGATCTGCATGGGTGTCTAGCATGTGAATAACGTCATGGAACATGCGTCTCTATGTTGCATTGCACTGCAGATACTTTACCATTGATAAGAGCGTACGAACCCAAACCAGCAACAGTTTTTCTTGCAATCAAACCCAGGCCTCTTGAACTTGAGCTAGGAGATTCTTATCCCTTGGTCACAATATTCAACTGTGTACGATTATCATCGGATAACTTACCTAAAACCCCCATGCCCAGTTCACTCGCAAGTACCGTATACTTGAAATCGGCTAACCCTATCTTTTTGAAGCTTAGGATCTCTAATCCGCATCAAGCTAAAAACTAGCAATGAGCCACCATAGCTATGCTTCACCCCCCATCCATCGCTTGAACGTGACCATGTACCATGGACGCGGAGAACTCTATAAGAGGCTGGTAGCCTCAAGACAGCAATCCTTTGTCTGGGAAGTTGATTAGTCTAATTAACGGCGCGGAACTAGTTTGGGGAGCTCACTAAATCATCCCACACTGGCGAATTTCCAACACGACGAGTGAGTTGCATTTCAGCAGAGGCGTCGGGATTCCGCATGTAGTAATGATACAAAAATGTACCTGTCATCTCTACTAAATATGGACTAACTGATTGATGCCCATGTGTTTCGGAACTTCCCATGCTGTCTCGCATCGTGTGGCAAAGCCAAGAATGCTGCCACGAGAAGACAAGACAGTTCTTAACGACTAACCGGACCCTCAATAGAAATAGCTTGCGCTTCACAAGTGAAAGTCTTGCCAAGTATAAACTTTCATAACGTTACATTGTACTGTACTCTTTGCTGCATGTACACCTAACTCTGTATGTCCCTATCATCAAAGCCATGTCCCAAAAAAATAGAATTCCGCTGCCCCATGCAAGGACTCCGTCAACGCCGATCAACCCTGACCCCTAATTGGTACCACAATTCTCAAATATATCTATATGCCAAAGGCGAGCTTCATGCGCTCATATGTGAAAAAGGCGACCGCAGCCATGGGAAACACCTTGACATATCCAATAGTAAGGCCAACAAAGAAACCGGGCAGACCCCTCTCTCGTAAGATCATACCAGCAGTCTCGCCTATTCGTAGTCGACGGCCGTCACCCACGGCTCCGCCAACTTGCATTCGTCGGCGGATCACCTCGAGAGGATATGATGCCGTTTGAGATATCAAACCTGCGATACCACCGGCAGTAAGCTCTGCCCATGACCGTAAAGCCGCTGGCTTTCCCTCAGGATGGTTCTCCTTCTTCGGTAGTGTTGTATGCTTCGCGAAGCGTGGTAACCGCAGAATATCGCCAACAGTATCGTGAGTCAAGAATGACATACCCGCGTACGGGAGCATTCCCATGACTGTTGGGGCAAAACCTCGATAGAAGTTGATCAGTCCTGTCCGGGGAGCGATAGCTTCGACTGTCGCTGCGGTTGCCTCTGCAGCAGCTGATACAGGCGCGGTGGCATTCGGTAACCGGGCTGCCGCTGCTTTCTCCACGGGTTGCTCGTTATATATCTGGCGGCATATTGATGACAGGGAGGAATGACCGTCGCGCTTAGTCTCGAAAGCCAACCGTACTCGGATGACCTCTAGAGGGTACGTAAAGAAGACGGATGTGACGCCTGCCAAACTTCCACTGAGCAGTCTCCTCATCGGTGTCTCATGTAATCTATCGGGGATAATGATGGCTCGGATTTGTTCGTACGCAAGAAACTTAATACCGGCGTAAGGAAAGATTCGTAATAATGTCGCAGAATGTCCACGGTAGAGTCCGCTGAGGCCTTCATATCGGTGGATATCCTTCATGGCGCTGGCGACACCAACCCATGATCCTGTATATTTTGCGAATCGAGGATTGCTGGCTTGAAAGAGAATCTTGACTCGATCTAATGGCGCGACGACGGTTTTGCCCTTTACTCAAGAGTTAGAACGCCCTACGGAAATTTGGTATAGACACAATCACTTACAGCGCAACCGGCTAAACCACCCGCGACGCCAGACTTCCATATGTATTCAAGACTTTTCATGTGCGGTTTCGTTGTTGCTGCTTCCTGATCTGTGGGATAAACAGAAGGGTCCCTTTTCGACTTGGTAAGGGCATGGGAAGAGCCATGGTTCTGAATGTTGTTTTCCCGGGCAACCTCGGTCATGGAGGAGGCCTGCTCCATATGAGCAGCGTCGGCGGAGGACATCGCAGCACGTGGCTGACTTTGTTGAACGGATTCAAGGCCTACGGATGTGACATTCCGTGGTAGAGTCGAGTGAAGATCAGTATTCGAAGCCAACGCGACAACAGTATCTCAAGATGCCTAGAGTTGGTGAAAACAGGTTTGGCGGGGAGAATGATGAACGTTTGGAGAATGGAGAGGAATTGGAGATAGCAGCGACTGAGCGGCAGAATTTACAATCCCCGGCTGTCAGCGGCGGCTTGGACGTCATTAAACCGAAGCTCAGTGGCCAAAGAACAGCGGCCTCCCCACAAGTTCGGGTGAGTTATGACCTAAAAAAATGGTCACGCAGCGCAGCCGGCGGAACAAGATTCCCCAGAACCCCTAAAGGCAATCGAAAAGTTAGCCCACCAGGGGTTTGAGACATTGCAATTTAGTGGACGAATGTGCTGACAATCCACTGAGACTCAGCAGATTCACAGGCATAGCAGAGGCTCAACCGTCCCGGTGATCAATAACCGAGGCCGAGGTTTGCCGATTGTCGCCGCGAATTTCTATTCTTTCAACCGCGGAACAAAAAAGAAAAAAGCAGGTGGAAAAATTGTCATCCGGCAGTCAGGTTTGAAAGCCATGGCTAAAGACAGCCACCGGTCATCAGTCCTCTTTGAGAGCCTAGACAAGAGTCTTATCATTCTTGATATCCCCACGACCCTGGAAGAAAGCCAGGTTCTCCCATCTCAGATCCCCCGCCGCCGCATCGTCTCCGCAGAGCCCCCCGCAACTCCGTATCCAACCCCGGAGCCCCGGCAGCATGGAAGAGGCGATCACTCGGCACTCGTGTCACCTGCTGCACAGTTGGCCGAGCTTATGACGGCAGCAACAGTCAGTAGCGCATTAGAGGACTTGAGCAGTTCGTATTCATATTTCGGTCCCTATCATCGGGATCGCCTCATTCAGTCGCAACCACTGCCGGCGGCACCCACCCTGCCGCCTTTACTTCCAGACAAAGCCGAGCCTTTACATGGCTCTATAGAGGCTTTGCGTGATTCTTTTCACAGCTCAGCTCCCAAGTTCGACCTTGCCATTTTAGATCCTCCATGGCCAAATCGGTCTGTAAGGAGAATGAAGGACCAATATGCTACCGTCTCAAATTTGACTGAGATGAGCAACCTCTTATTGCAGATTCCTTTGCCTGCTCATCTTACACCCGACGGACTCGTCGCCGTGTGGATCACTAACAAACATAGCATCCATGACTTTCTGATTTCTCCTACAGGTCTTTTTGCCTCCTGGGGTCTCGAGCTTGTGACCGAGTGGACATGGCTCAAAGTTGCTACATCAGGTGAACCACTCTATGACATCGAGTCGACATGGAGAAAGCCATGGGAGAAGCTCATCATAGCAAAGCGCATCGGCAGCAAGAAACCAGAGGCCCTCAAGCCGAAAGTCATCATGGCAGTCCCTGACGTGCATTCACGAAAGCCAAATCTTCGGGATCTATTTCAAGATGTTCTTGGAAAAGAATGTCTCGGACTTGAGATTTTTGCTCGCAATTTGACTGCCGGCTGGTGGAGTTGGGGAAATGAGACCTTGCGCTTCCAGCAACCTGAACACTGGAAGGGCATAGAATAATATATCAAAAGATGTACGAGTTTTCAGCGTCTATTTTTCTTTTTGCGCTCATAGTCTTAACCCGCCCACATGCATTGCCCATCCAAGACTAGTTACAATAATGTACAGTTGTGTATCCCGCAGAGGTCCTTTGTCCGTGGCCTCTTATAGAATTGCCGTCTCTTTCATTAGCAGTATCCTGCAATATCAAGTCATAGTCCGCCCTTGTCCGTCATCCGTTTAAGCCTCTTTCGTGGGCTGCACGGCCTTTTGCTCGTTGTTCAAGATCTTTTCCCATTTAGGATCCAGAACAACATCGTTGGTCCATTTCTCCTCTCCCGACATCAACTTCTTGGCCATGTCGGCTAGCTCCTGTCTCTCCTTGGACATGGGTTGCTTGCTCTTGAGAGGAATCTTGAATCGCTGTTGTTGAAGGTGTTCGTCGTTGCGCTTCTCCATCAAATCCTCACGCATCTTCCACAGCTGGTTGCTCCAGGGTGTGAGGTCTTCGGGAAGCTCTGGCCATTGGAAGGGCTTCGCCAATTCGACAGTCATGACCTTGAGGGGCTTTGGGCGGTACCACGAGCGCGAGTGGGAGTTGCGCTGAGTTAAGGGCTGCTGCTTGACATACGACCGGACCTTTGTAACCTCAACATCGTATAGATTCCACAGGTAATCTCGAAGATCGAACTTTGTGAATCGGAGAGGGACCTGGAAAGTGGCTTCGTTCGGTGGGAGGTGCTCTTTTCGTAGAAAGGTGATTACATGGTTAGGCCTAAGAGGGGAAATGTTAGAGACATGGCGGTGGAGAGCTGGATTAAAAGACTACGCACAAGAAAACCTGCTTCTGTCCCAGCTTGAAGCCAGGTAATTGGCGAGCCACCGTCTTTGCTACCTCGGCCATGGTCGTCGTTGAGCCCTTTCAAAGATGTCGCGACGGTTGATTTGGGATGTGAAGAATTTCGATGACTGGCATCTGATTGGCTTTACGGCAAAAGTGAACTTCCGAGAGGGGTGCAGATAGTGAAGATCTGGTAGGTGCACGCCCCGCCTTCCAGTGTAAGAAGTCAATGTCATCTCTCTTCATGGGCCAGTATTCATGAATTAAGTGACGAAATACATGAATAAGTTCAAAATTATCAGGTAGAGATCAAATGAGAAGACATTTTGTCAAAATATATTATTTCAAGCAAAAGGCTGTGGTCTGGCAAGCAAGTGACACTCTCCCACCTCACTTGTCCAACACTTACTCGCAGTGCACAACAACCCTCACGGCAAAACGAAGTCTTTCTTTCTTTCTTTCTTTCTTTCTTCAACAAATTCCGAAACAAAAAAAGCAGCTTCAGAAACGCCCTTATGATATTGAGATACCAACAATGCAAGAATCCGCCAACACAAAGAGTCCTTTAACGCCAAAGACCAGGCCCTTACAATGTGACGAAATCGAAATCGAAAAAGACACTCACGAAATGTCGACCTATAATTACTATACTCAACTCAGTTTTCTACCCACCGATTCAAAAGATGAAGAGAGTACTCATCGCGATAATATGAAGGAGGAAATGAAACTCGAAAAGGAGCGATATCCCGGCGCAAAAAGCTGGGCTCCTGCCGAAGAGCACCTTTTTGAGATACTATTTATGCGACAGGATTTACCCATGCTTCCTACGACATGGGATATAGATCTTCGCGGAATCCCTATTTCAGACGTCGTTTTCCAGACTTCTGAGGACTATCCGCCTATCATTTATGCTCATCTCAAGAACTTTGCGGGTATGTTGACTCCAACTTGCGCGAAGCCATCACTTACCATTCTCAGCAACGCAAGCTCTTACTAGGCTCGTGGATCTCACATCGAAAATCAGAACGACTTGTCAAAGCGGACATCGGAATAGAGCACCACAACATATCAAACGAGAGGTCGACAGATATTTGAACTGGGCAGCGCAGGACGGCGGGTACATGCATCTGCGCATCGTTCCAAACATTACTACTGAAGTCATCGACACTACAATACCTGAAGATGAAATTACGGAGTGCATTTCGAAGCGCATGAGAGTACTCGCCAAGGTTCAGCGCGAGTTTCTTCGTACGGACAGAAATCCTCAGTTCTGGGATGTTGTCAAACCTCATATCTTCAAATCACCCAAGAGCAAGACGGACCCAAAGATCAAGATCGAGATAAATGATGTGTCACCTTCGTGCACTAGGTGTCTGACGCCTGCCGAAAGCCCAGGTGGTTTACGTTCCCATATCGAAAAAGTCTCTGCGATGGCAGAAAGTCACAAGGTTGGCATCAAAGTAGAGCCTGGGCTTAAGAGTCCCAACCTTTTTGCTACTGCACGAATCCTTGAGACTACAAGTATCTCAAAGGTCTCATCGCCTCCGTATTCCCTGTCATCACCTCCAGCTGGCCGCCCCCAAACACCCCCTGAGTGTACCTACACCCGCCATCCTCCTGTGGTATACGGCCTGTTCATCCTTAACACGTCAGTCCTTGTCCTAACGACGGACTCATCCAAAGGACCCGACTCATATGTCAGCTTCCATGTGCAGGTTGACTTCTTCGACGAACATCAGGGTATTTGGAACGCCCTGACCATTGCTCTTGCAGCATGCCTTGCTCGTGACGAACTACGGACTCGTATCACTGATTTTGAGGAGCTGCCTGTCGTGGAGGACAGTGACCCAGATGCTTGAAATCCTGGAAAATTGGACGATAATGACTATTGTGACGAATCGATTACGAGTTTAATGTTGCTGCTATGAATATTTGATGGACTTGCTTTGAACATGTTCTGTTTTACAGCTTCGATTAGCGTTGGTGTTGTGTTGTTAATACCCTGGCTCTGTAGTATATAGCAATGGAAGTTTGTGTCTCAAAACGTTATGTCAGTGAGATGCAGAAGATCCCCGGGATGGTAGTTCTGTTCTTTAGATTGTATGCTTGCCAAGTCAGGTGAGAGCTTCTATTCATTCATCGTGCTCTCTATTCTATCCATGCCCTGATATATCTAATCAGTCATTTCCATCTATTCCTAACGCCCGAAAACGACGGCCATCCGCAGCCTCAAACATCTTTTTCTATCTGTACATATGGCCATTGCTATTCATATCATAGCGTCCGATTCTCTAATACGTTATACAGGGATGGGTGGTGGCAGAAACGGCGCATAAAAAAGGAGGGTTCAAAATCATCAAGGTAGTGACAAGGGCGAGAAAAAAAGTGTATGTGAAGTATGTGTGGAGATTTCTACATTTCCTTGAGCTCGCTGGGAATGAAAACTTCGAGCTGCCGGAGAAGTCGTTGGTACAGGAACAGCATGCAGCCGCTCTGGATAAAGGTCCATACACCGCGAGGACCGACGCCGCGGAACCATCCTGCAATGCCTTCTGTACGGTAAATCATGCGCAAGCCGGTAAAGACGGAAGAAGTGTCGAGAGCAATAGCGCCGGGTCGTGGCCGGTGCGTGCTGGGAGATGAGGTAGAGATATGCCGGATTTGTGATGTGGCATGGTGGTCCTTGGTCGCCCGGGGTTCTGCGGGTGCGCTGATCTGTGTCTGAAGCCGTGTCTTGACAACGTCGAGAGGACAGGTGATAACACCAGCAAGGCCACCAGCTGCGGCACCCGTAAGTAGCTCAAGGGAAACGCCGATATCGCGGCTCTGCTTGTACTTGCGAGCCCAAGTGGTGAATTGCTCCCAGAACATGAATTGAAGAGCAGAGAAAGGCAGGTCACGGTAGAGAGTAGCCTTGTAGCCATAAAACAGGGCCGAGGCGCCTTCTAAGCGCACAATGGTGCGAGCAGCATCGACAGTACCGCGGTAGTTGTAACCTGAGGTGAAATGAGGGTTGTTGTAACGTCCTTGCAGTTGTAGTCGTGTCTTGAGAACTTCTGAAGGGACGTAGACAATCGACGCAGCAAGATCTCCAAGGAAACCTGTCCGAGTTTGTTAGTATTTGTGAGTAGCCCAGACTGTGATGGATTGCCGTACCTGCTGCTAGGTATGATACATGTTGTTGTACACCGTGATCGATCAAGAATCGCTTGCTCCATTCATATGTGCCAAAGAACATGACCGTTCCAGGAAATGAACCTCCGAGAGCGGGAATCCACCCTCCGTAGAGGCCTCGTCTGATACCCTCTTGTCTCCATATGGTGTAGTAAGACTGCCCCAAAGATGTGTATCTTGATGGAACATGAGGATCGCCCTGTTGTCTTGTCTTGACGGTGTCAAGTGAGTGCATGAGCAAGTCGCCGGTAGATCCTCCAATCCCACCTGCGATCATGGCCTGTCATTGAAGTCCCATGTTAGCCCATTTCGAAGACGAACAGGTCGGAAACGCTCAGTGGTGCGGCCCATGACACATTGATGGTTAAAACGTACATGAAGATACGGCGGTCGCCCCTCGGCTTCGACGTCTACATCTTGTGCGGTCATATTCTGTTCCTTTGCGAGACTGGCACTGCTTCTATATTCCGAGCGACGTCCCGTCCAAGCAGCATGACGATGCTCGGGAGATGGCGCAAAGTCGCTAGCAGCTGTTGTCGATCCGCCGCTCGTCGTTGTCGATTGGGCGAATGCAAGATCAGAATCCTGTTGTTGAAGACCCAGGGGCATATCCGGGGTCGAAGTCTCGAATCGAATCGGATCGGAGGAAATGGTTGGCAAACACGACTGGTGACAGTCTAGAACGGAACTGCTCGGAAGAAATAAAGAAATAAAAAGAGGATCCCAAGAAAAGAAAGATTGTTCGATTAAGATAGATCGCTCAACCACGATGTTGCGTACAGAGGAGCGAGCGAGCGTCGCTGGGTCGCAAAGAAAGATAAGAAAGTCACGTCTGAATGTCGGTTTGATATGTCAAGAATTTTGACCTCAAGGTCTTGGCCGGCTTTTACCAGGCTAATCGCGGATTGCGGCTCTTACTGGTAGTGGGCTTTGCTCAGCGGTCTCTAAGTGGCCGATCAGGGACCGATATTGATTTACAGCGCTCATCAAACGTCACCCAGCTTTAATGGGTGCCATGGATTGGGTGGAGGCCGCTGAAAGAATTTCTTTCCAAAAAGGCGGGCAATTTTTCTTATCTTATCTTGCGTCATTTCTCCAACGCACGACCAACGTCAATAAATCTTTCATGAGATCGCTTGAACTTCCTTGGCAATATTACTGACGTATGAGTTTATGTATTATACACGATTTAGTGTGTCATAATTTATATTTATGCTATTCACAAACCCTGCTGTTCTTGTTTTCATAATATTTGATACATAACGTACATTTTCAACAACCATCACTCTACCAATGGCCGTTTATGCTCACGCCATGGAAGTGCTCCAAACTTGCGAAAAGGAAACACAATATGAGTGACTCGACCCGTAATCAGCTGTTTAGACACTGGTCCGTATGTGTTGCTATCAAGACTCGACCCTGGAGGCCCATCTCCTTCCACCCACACATGGCCTTGCGGTACTCGCACAGTTGGTAGCGGATGAGGTGCCTTTGTCTTGATCACGTCGTTTTCCAGCGCCACTACGCGCTTAACTGCGATTGTCTCGGGATGTAGTGGACTCCTTTTGTAGCTTCCATGTTAATTCTCATCAATTGCCTTTTTCCTAACTGCAGAGAGGGTTTTGTTCCTACCGTAATGTCACCACCATGCCCCTCTCCAAGTTCTCTTGGGGCGACCATTTCCAGTTGAAAATCACATCCCGCCGCAGAGTTGAGTCTTTGTCGTCGTTTATCAGAGGGTACATGGATGCGCCGTCCACAAAGGTCAATTCTGCAACGTGCAGGTTGAACATGGCGATGACGGGGATCCAAGTTGCGAAACCAAAAACTCTCAAAGCCGTCGATCTGGCCAGGCTGGGCTGCCCATTACTTCGAAGGCGCGCCCACATTGAGCTCAGAGCCATTGTATAGGCCCTTTTATTGATCAAGTGAGGGTTGTGATCTGATCATTGCTGAAAGGATAGAATGTCGCAATGGACTATTGCTGATTGATCGTCCGTAGAGATGCATAGTCCAAGTATAGAAATTCCACTGCGCCTACGCTGCTCTCGGCTAGTTCCAGTGCCAGTATCCCCGGCCTATCAAATCAGAAGCACTGAGTACACCTTTAGGGAGTCTCAGAAGTGCCAGCTTCATCAAGATGTTCTCATCCTCGTAGTAGAGAAGTTGGCCTCCTAAGTCTTAGGGTATAAAAATAAGTAGTCTAAAAACTAAAGTATAAGGAGCATAAGCTGACCTACCTATTTCGTCTCTTATGCTTCCAGTGGTCAATTTTCCTGATACTCTGAGGTCATCGTAATAGCTCTGGATCACAGACATCACACAAATCACATTGGTATGGTGTTCAAAGTAATCAATAAAATTTTCGTTAACGCCGTTTCAGATGCCTTCTATTACACCCTTTTACTTGTCCGATAGCCCCGTAGAGGAACTATTTTGCGATAGCTTCAACCGTCTTGCCCACAGTCCCGCAGACTACATAGTTTCGGGGATGTTCTCGTCACTGTCGCTCATGCTCTCGTCGCCGCTAACCTCAGCGTTCTCACGCTCACGCTTCTCCATCAAGGCTTGGAGCTCAGCGTCATCACTCTCGGTGACAGCCTTAGGCTCCATCTTGACTGTCAAGTGACCGCCTGCAGCCTCAATGCTGGCTCGGATATCGACGATAGCCTCTTGCAAGCGAGTGATACCAACAGACTTATCCAAGCATGTGCTGGTGAGGACGTAAAGAGGGGGAGACACAAGCTTGACCTTGACCTGGGTGTCCTCGGTGTTCTTGGCCTCGGCTGTGCGCAGAGCGGTCTTGACAGCATCGATACCCTCGTAGCCGAAGCAGGTGACCTCAACATCGGCTCTGACCTTGGTGGGCTGGGGAGTGAGTCGCTTGCCGATGTATGTCTTGAGCTCCTGGGCAGTAACCTCGTCGGGGAAGGTGATGTCGTTCCAGACTTCAGGGTTGCTTTGTAAAGTTAGCATATGCATTCTTACTCAAATACTTTACCAACTAACGTGATGGAGAGCTTAAAAGCGTCGAGAGCATGGCCGAATTTCTTGTTCAGGGGCCAAGCAATGGCCTGATATAGAGTCTCGAGGGGGATCTCGGTAGCCTTGGCAAGATGGATCATGACTGAGTGGACCATCTTACTCTTGTTGTATCGCTCCTCACACTTGACGATATCCTCGGGGGAGACTCGTCGCTTGGAAAGATCGATGTAACCTGCCGTAAAATCAATACCCATGCCCAATTGTGTTACAGTCTCGTGGCAATGCTAACCCTTCTCTTTGTCCACACGGAGTACCACGACAACCTCGTTGCGACCAACTCGGATGAGTTTCTGGATAGATCGAATACGTCTTCTGGACAGCTCAGAGAGCAGAATCATGCCGTCAATGTCATCGTACTCTAGAAGCTTAACGTAGGCACCCATCTCGGCGATCTGGAATCGGTCAGACCAAGGTTTCCCTACAGATCAGGCTGCTACTGACCTGCTTGACATTGACCATGACGAAGCTATCGATCTCCGGATACTTCTCCTCATAAAAACGGCAGTTTGTTAACGACATGTTGGCGGTATTGTCGAATATTCTAGGTATTCGGTCGGGGTCTCAAGAAGAGGTGGGGGGTTCGATTTCGAGTGTTGTCGCGCGCGGGAATTCGGTCTTTAAAATGGCCGTAAAAAGAGCGGCTCGTAGAAGAAGGGATTTACTCGTGATAAGTCGTAAATCGTCACGTCAACAATAGATGTAGAGGGGAAGAGTCATAATTTTGACATTTTACAGCACTTGATGGTGGGGTTGTGGCGGGGTGTGTGGCTCGTTCCATGTTGGGTGGAAGGAAGGTACCTACCTGCCTATGGGTATCAGAAAAACCGGTCTCCTAAGCCTTAGACTACAAAAATAAATAGCCTAAGAAGCCTTGTCTAAGTCATATAAGCTGATCCACTAATTTCGTCCCTCATCCTACCAGCGGCCAATTTTTCTGACACCCTGAGGGGTACCTGAAAAATCCGGCAAAACGTCGCCGCCCAGCTACTTGTGAGTCGACTACTTCCTGCCCATGGCTTGTTGCCATGATGGAAGCTCCACACGTGACTGACCAAAGGTAAACAACTTCACCTACTCGTTAGCAAGAGCATCCATAACAATGGCTCCTGGTAAGTTAGACGCGGTTATCACTGCAAATGAATCGCAATGATTTGCTGATCGGATTTTAGCGACTCAATACGAACTTTCGCCGCCTCCCACCGACGCGGTGTCGTCGATCGCGTTTGCGCCATCCTCCGGAACCAAGCTCCTTGTTTCGTCATGGGACAAGAAAGTGTATTGCTACGATATCGCAGGCGGAGCTGGCGAAACCACTCTTGTCAACACATATGAGCACCGAGCGCCTGTTTTGGATGTCTGTTTCGGCGCCAACGACAATGAAGCCTTTACTGCTGGCATGGACTGGGCTGTCAACAAGTTAGTAAATGTGGACGTATGCGCCTCGATCAATTGTGCTGACCACAGTGAACAGAATCAACTTGGAGACTGGCGAGAAAACTCAGTTGAGCAAGCACGCTGCGCCAGTAAGATCTATAGCTTACAGTCCTACATTCTGTGAGTAATTGGATCACCGATACCGCTGAGATTGACTCATACTAATACTTTGATCTAGCTGTCCTGGTTTCTGCGTCCTGGGATTGCAGCTTGAACCTTCACAACCTGAATGACCCTTCAAGCACCCCCATAAGGGTCTCCCTTCCTGGCAAACCCCATGCGTTGGCTGCGAGCCCCACAAAGATCGTAGTCGCTATGGCGGGTCGTGTTATTAACATATATGACCTGAAGACCATTGTTGACCTGTTTGCAACAGGCTCATCTGATCTCCAGCCATGGCAACAACGTGAATCGTCCCTGCGATACCTTACCCGTGCGGTTTCTTGCATGCCTAACGATGCCGGATACGCCACTAGCAGTATCGAAGGTCGCGTTGCAGTCGAGTGGTTCGAGGATACACCAGAGTCGCAAGCTCGAAAGTATGCTTTCAAGTGCCATCGTCAAGCAGCACCAGATGGAGATGGAGATATTGTGTACCCCGTCAACGCCCTGGCCTTCCACCCTGTTCATGGAACGTTTGCTTCAGGAGGTGGCGATGGAACTGCTGCTCTGTGGGACGCCGAGGCAAAGCGACGGCTGAAGCAGTACCAGAAATTCCCTAACAGCGTCGCTGCACTTGCTTTTTCGAGTGATGGTAAGTATCTTGCTGTCGGTGTATGCCCTGGCTTTGAGACTGGGCAGGAAGATTACAACGGTGCCGGCCAGACATCAGTGTTGATTCGTGAGCTCGGCGAGAACGAAGCCAAGGGCAAGGGGGCCAAGTAGATGGAGCGTGTTTTAACTTCATGTTCTCCCAAAGGCGTTCTGGTGGTTACGGGCTTCTCAATCTGTGTTACTGTACTATTTACGCTTCAAAAGAGGTGACATCAATATACCCTTGTCATGAATTGGTGTCAAAACAATGTGAATAGCTGCTTAGGTTGTTTTTCGTCGGCATCCTCCTCACGGGCTGATGAACTTATGTATGTCATACGGAATTCAGAACTCCCAGGGATGGGCTTCTTTGTAGATGTGGTCTGCCGTGTTCACGTGCTGCTTCTTTATGCATGATAGTTCTTTTCAAGGCGGCCATCGGCTGAGGATATCCTAGAGACGCCTCTTTCTCGTTGAACCCGTCACGACATTGGTAATCTGGGCTGTTTGGGAGAGACGCACGTGGCCACGGATTAGGGCCAGGAAGCTTATAGTCTCCGATACGCACTTCTTTTCTGATAGTATATTGTCCTTTTCTCTCGATTGTACGGGGTGCCCCTCTGGGCACAGGTCTCAGTTTCGTCACGACAACGACTTCGAGTAGTCGACTTGGTGATTCTGGCGAAGGTCTCCCGTGTGATATATGCTCCTCTCCCGTAGCTATATTCCCTTCAAAAGATTAGCACAACTATTAACAGAGATGTGTGGAATTATTTTGCACCTGGCATGCTTCTTGCACGCTGCGTATCTTCGTCGGAACGGATTGATTCTGTTCGTCGTTTTTTGGCTCTTCGTTCCAATTTCAGGGGTAACTGTACTTGGATGCATTGGTCCTTCTCATCGCCCGTTGGAGTTAGGTCTAGGGGTCGTTTCTTTCTGGTGCTCTTTTGGGGTGTTTCTGGGATACTATCTAGGTGTTTAGTAAACTGATCCGGCGGATGATCTCAATATGACGGCGTACCACTGAACGTCGGCAAATCCATCATTCGTCAGTGAATCTTGAACCCCGACTTCATCTTTGATCTCTGGAGACGTGGAGTGAGGTCTCTTGTAGATTATTATCGCATGTTCCAGTAGGTTGGATGATGTATCGTCGTTGTTAATGGAATGGAGCCCCGTGGTCTCTATACTCTGCAGCGGTTGCTGGCGCATCATGTTTTCTGCCGAAATCATAATTGCTAACAAGGAAGTGCTGTAAATAACTGAGATAGGAGGTACTGTGATTTCAGACTCAAGAGTCCCGATTAAACTCGACACCTGCTTTAATTTGCATTGTATTTGTTGTGGCAAGAGGCCTCGAACTTCTACCACAATGGAAGGAAGGAGCACCTCGAGCTACCTTGGCAGGCTGTTCAACCGTGGCTCCTAATTTCTTACATATCTATGGGCAGGTGTACTTCACACTCGCACAGATATCAAATACTGTGGAAAGTTTGTTCTAAGCAGTTGTGGAAGTGATTATTGCCTTGGTTCGAACTCATTTACCAGTCTTCAAGTTGTCCAACTTTCGTGTCACTGCGATCTTGTGACGCGAATGAACAATAGAATTAATAAGATATGGAAAGTTAATAATGCTAAAGCAAGGGAATGAAGCATTCCTATTCTACCAAAAAGTGACTGAACCGCGGTCTTCTGCAATTTGACCGGCCTTCGAGATAGTTCTTCGTCCCTGTTCGGATGCATTCCTCAACCAAAGCACTGAACCAAAGACCAAAGACCAAGGATACAGCTTCTGTTTTACCAATGATATGAAGGCTTCATCATAGCTCCAATTCTTTCCTTCCAATCCAATTCATGCCACTCGGCATGGATCTGCGGCCTGGGCCGACCTGGTAGCCATCGCCAAAAGTTCGCATTGAGACGGGCACCCTATTCACCCCGCTTCACAGGAGAGATGGGCTTGAAAGTATCAGCAGGCAGATATGGATCGTTTTATGAGAGAACTTACCTTTGACGGCTGGACATGATCAAGGGCGCCGCCCATCTGCAGCAGCCAAACATCTGGACCCCCAATGGCCTGGCCTTTACGGTAAAGGAAATCGTTGGGGAATCCTGGATCAAACTTCACAGCACTATCGATCTCCTGGATGTCCTCTTGAGTGAGTTTAAGGGTGAGTGCCTGGATATTGGCTTTGAGATGCTCCACCTTCCGACCACCGATAATCGGAAAGACATAAGATGTCTTGTGCATGACATATGCCAGTGCGACGCTGGTGATGAGTGTGGTCTTACGGTTAGAAATAGATTCCAGCACACGACTGGTTCTGATCTCTTGCTCACTGGCCTCCACCTTTCGTCCGTCCTGAGCATTGCGCTGTTCTTCGCTCTTGAACTTCCCACCTCCGAGGGACCCCCAAGGAGCAATTCCCATGCCTTCAGCTCGGCACATGGGAATGATGTCTCGCTCAAAATCGCGCGAGGATGCGGACCAACGGCCCTGGTAAACAGAGAATTGGCGAAGTCCGTTGCAGCGAGCGTACTCGTTTGCCTTGCTACAAGACTCTTAGCCACTTGTTCAGTCTTGATCACATGTGTCATCTCACCTCACAATCCAAGCAGGGGTGTCACTGATGCCTAAGTGAAGAACTTTGCCTGACAGGACGAGCTGATTAAGAGACTGCATCAGCTCTGGAATAGTGGTACTCCCATCGTACCAGTGAACATATAGCTTTAACGAAGTTAGTAAGTCGTCATTTATGAGAGGAAGGAACATGCCAGATCAATGTAGTCAGTCTGTAGATTCTTAAGACTAGACTCGACCGAAGTTCTAAGACTTTTGGTGCCATTGCCACAGAAGTTCACCATGATGTTGGGATTGCCAGGTCCAGCCCGAAAGTTTGTCGTATATTTGGTAGCAATAACTGAGGAGGGGAGTTAGTGTCGTGTCAGTGAAGTGACAGGCAAAAGCGACAAACCGATCTCATCCCGATTTCCACGCTTCGACATCCATTCCCCCACCCATCTTTCGGTCTCTTGGAATTGGTAGTTGTTGGCAGTGTCGATAAAGTTACCTCCCTTGTTCGGATTTAGTAAGACATATCTAGCATATCGGGTGATTCGCTATTCATACTTGTTCGTAGTAAAAGTCCAAGATTGATTCGGCTGTAGACTGGTTGCACTCGCCCATCAATTCTTTCCTGTATCTCATTTAGTTAAATTGCACATAGTGCAGAGACTCGCTCTTACCAAGAGTTTCCAAAGTTCATGGTACCAAGACAAATAGGAGAGACCCAGATGGAAGCAGTAGGTGACAGCAGGCGATATCGGCCCAGAGGGCTCTTGGGAGGCGGTGCAGCGGGGAGTGCCATTTTGATCCGTGATGGTGTTCCCCGAAGATTCTTGTGAGAAAAGTCAGTGAGGTTTTGGGTAGAAAAGAATAATGCGGCAGAGGATGATGCGGTATAGGTAAGTGGTGGGAAACTGCGTTACCGACAGTTGAAAATCGATGTATACCAGTGACAAACAGCAGTAGTGTCACTAGCTGTAGTCAGTGATCCATCATCAAGAGAAGGAAAACTGGAATATATGTCAATTGGGTCCCTTCGAGGCTCCCGAGTTTTCAGGGCGGTGATTCACTGTTTTTATATCCAAAGCCATTGTTTGAAATAGGCAACTGCAACCCAAAACAATACATCTAATGTCACTGTGGAACGGTCCTTCTGGGTCCTAATTCAAGTCTCTGATTTCGTTTAGAAGATGAAATGAACACGTACTGTATTATGTTAATCGGTGTTTATGTTTTATCGCCATATCGGAGTTAAGGAGTTCCAAGCAACTAACAAGATTTCTCTCAATCTATTGGTACGGCAACGAGACTCCTCAAATGCAACGACGTGACATTTCTCTTTCTAGTGTTAGTATTATCGCCGAAGAGGACAATAAATCGGCGTTAAGTAATTATTGACAATGTGTAAATGCTCGATATTGTGTTTATTTGTCATGACGGATTAATGACAATTAATCGTAGCTTGCATGGTAACTTCAGCGCAATTATAGAAGAAGAAGATTTTTAGACGCTATCAAACTCATTATAGATAAGAATATATGAGATATACAAGTTAAGATCAATGATAGATATGAATAAATACTGTTCAAACACAAAATACATTTCAAAAGTTGATCATGACTTACCCTGGGGCTACCCCAGATAATTCCTTGCTCAGCCGTAGTCGAGTTTAAGGGTTCTCATTGGACTAAACTTCCGATCCAAAACCCGGCCGGTACGTACCATTCTCCATCCTCAATCTCACTTCAATTGGCCTAGAATCTAATCTAGAATCTGTGCATCACACCACCACCGATACCGCGAGCGACATATCAAGACGACGAATTGAGCCTCAAAATACAAGCTCACCAAGCCGAATCTGGACAAAATTGGTCCAAACCAAGATGAAGGCCGCCTAGATGGCCTCACCAAGTCCCGCCCCTCCCAGGGCTGTCGTTCACGCTCTACGTGGTGTGCTCCTAACCACATCCTTTTCGGTCATTCTCTTGGCTGAAGAACGACGTCGACGTCTCAATATCGCCCGGGCTGCCCTCGACAATGCTAAGAAACTTCACACTGCGCGAGTGAACAGAAATGCGACTGCGCTGGCCGAAAGTTACAACAGTAGACGAGAATTTCCGATTGAAGTTGTCCACGATTTCTCACACGCCCCCACCAATAATCCTCTTCGCCGCCGTCGACAACGAATTGATTCATTAGAGACCGAGTTATCGCGACCGAAAGAAATCATATCGATAGAAAACTTTGAGGCAACATTGTCCGGGGACTTCGACACGGCTAGCACATCGCAAACGAGCCAGAGGAGATGGGATGAATGGGATGCAGCCCGAAAGGAACTGTCACGAATATCGGAGATCAACCCATTTACAGATAATGGCTATTCGATCAGGTTTTCCCCAGATGTCAAATTGTCAGCTCTGCAATCACGGACTCGCAAGCCAAGGACTCAGAGACCAGCCACTAGGCCTAACACCAAACCGAACGTCAAAGCGACAGGATCACAGCATGCAAATGCCGCTTTGAATGGACAATTGAAATCTATACTGCAACTAGACTTCATCGTCACAGAGCTGGAGACCTTAGACTTATCAAATAGTCTTCGTGCTGAGAAAGAGAGAAATGCCGTCGGGCTACTTGAAGAATTGTCCTCAAAACAGGCCGAGGAGCCCAAGGAGATTCTATCAAGAGGCATTCGGTTACTTCAATCTATCGCGACTTCATGCGAGTACAACAATATCCCTAGTGTTCTGGGCGCACTACGTCCAATCTGCAAGGACGCCAGTCTTCTTGCTGTACCCTTCTTTGACAGTTTGAAACAGAATCATAACGCAGAAGGCGTTCGTCAATTTCTAACAAGCCTGTCGAGTTTCCAGCCCGAATCAATAGGGACAAAAAATGACAATGAATGGATCATGCGACTATTGATGCACAACTGGAGGAAGACGAAGGACTTTGCCGATATACAAAACATTTATGGTTTACTTCAAGAAGGTGGACTTTTTGAGGACGACGTTTTCCCAGTATCTACACAGTATGCTGTCAGGCGCCGAGTCATCCTCATTGCCCTTGACGCTGGTGACGATGCTACTGCAAGTGCTGAGATGGCTTTGCTCTCTAATATGAGATTTGGGACATCTGGTATCGATGTCAAGCTTTGCGGGCGATTTATTGTTCGGGACGCGGAATTAGGACGCTGGGATGAGGCTGTATCTGAGCTTCAAAATTTTGGGTCCAAGGCAAAGGAATCAGCTCAGTTTCAGAAGGTGCTTTCATGGCTTACAAAGACATATTGCAAGGACCATACGCCCTCACAGGTGGATATATTTGTGAGAGATCTTGTTGACAATCACGGCATGACGTTAAACAAGCCTCTCGCTTCCTTGGTCATGGATAAGCACGGCAGAACACGTAATATCCAAGCACTGGTTGCATGGGTGCAGTTCTGTCAGGATGGTGGATTGGAGATGGACCAAGTCTTCTTCAACGAGATTGCCGACAAATGCTGCAAGTACTGGAGCTTGTCGCGGATCGATGTGGTTCGCATGCTAAAGGACGTACGAAGCTCTAAATCTTGGATTCAAGACCCTCTCCTGACTAGGTATGTGAGCGACGGTGCCTTGCATAGTCTTCACAAACCCCTACCAGGAGAGAGAGCGGATGCGTTTGGACTCGCTCAGACCCTCCCCGAAAGACGAGGAGACTCAATTACTATTTATGAGCGAGCCGTTTTCAAGCACATGAATACTCTTGCCCTCCGAAACGACTGGAGCGGCACCTACAGTGCTTACCTGGAGGCGACCAAGGAGGGTCTTGGCGACTCGTCGCGATGTCTTCGACTTGCGGTCGTGGCCAACATTCATTTGGAAGGGCCACATTCGTGCACAGGATCAAGACTCATCAACGAAGCTCACAATAAGAAACACGATATCGGTGGCGCGTTGGTGCCGATGTTGATCGCACGACTCGAGGCCGGCGATAACGCGGGCGAACTGCTTCATGAGAACCTTCTCAAAGGTCAAAAAATCCACGATAGTGTTTACAACAAGGCCGCCCGAGTTCTCACACAAAAGGGAAACCCTGAGGCTGCGATCATGGTGTGTGAAGTTGCGGCACGAGAGAACGGTATGGGTGAGCTGGCATACAATCAATACAACTTTGCCAGTCTTATCCACACGTATACTGGCCAAGGACGCTATACAGACTTGTTGCCACTAATCAACAGTTTCATTTCGAAGTCTGAGTGGTGGCACGGTAGCAAAGAGTGCAAGGAGTCGATCAAATTTGCAATGAAGCATGTGGCTTCGCGAGCGGCAAGGGATAGGAAGCATGAGGGCTCGTACGAGCAAGTTCTCTTGCGTCTCGAAGGAGCCCTTGAGCATATTAAGTACCTACGAGCGATGAATCGGCAAGATCGGGAGACTTTGACCAAAGAGGTCATTAGTGCCTTCAAATCGATAGATGAGCCAGCGGCTTTTGAGGGGGGTTTCTTTCCAGATACACAAGCTGGACGACAGCCACCGAAAGATAAGAGGAATACGGACTGGGAGTCATCCACGAGGCGAGACTCAGCAACCCAGACCACAAGCGAGACAAGGCATCGCATTGTTGAAGATGACTTGCATTCACAAAACCAGACTATAGACGATGTCCGAACATGATGATAGGAGAGGACGAAACAAGAAAACATGCCATAACTGAGCGAGGAAACCATTTTTTTTTTATAGAATCAAATGACGGGAGCAATCTTTCGAAAGCATGTACAGTTAGAAGGCATATGCATTGGCATGGCGTAGATATCATTGTTACATGAGATGCTCTTTTGGATATATTGGCTTCTTAGTTACGTCGACTTTTTCTTCAATGGTCTGGCAATATTACGCATGATATGATATCGTGTGTACAATAGTAACAATAAATGAATAACAACACATTGATCAAAGCAAAGTTATCTGTTCAAGAGACAGCAGGTACCTCGCAAAAACAATTGACATATCTCGTCACATCAAAGCACATGCAAATAAGCTTATATACAGCACGTACGGTTGCATTTTGCATGTGATTCTTCTGTTTATCTCTGCATGCAAAGTAAGCTCGCAACTGCAAATGATGAACTATTTTACTGGTGGAGACTAGTTTGGTAGTGTCACATGCATGAGCGTATTCGTGTAGACCAGACCCATTATCATAAGATTTGTTTTGTAGGTCATCAATCGGACAATGATTAGACACATTCAATCGCAGGAACACAGCATCAGCTCAGCGTTGACAGTAATACTGGATCCGAATACGTTTCTCATTTTCCCCAGACGAAGTAATACCGGACTCGGCAGAGAGTTCAAGAAGAAATTGGGTCGAACCACGTACGATTTTGAATTAATTTTGAGGGTCTTGCTCTTTCACATGCGTGTTCCAGATCCGGAACCTGGCGGTGTCCCTTTAGTTCATCGAACCATGTCCAGCAGATATCAGCTTCCTTGGTTGGCTACTCCTTTAGCGGTCAGGTCGTAGTGGCGCGATGGTCAAGGCGATGCAGCGTTGCGGGGTGAGGCTTACAGGGACTTTACAGTGACTTGGTTCCCTGGAAGAATAAAAATGACAGCCCTAGAGAATGGAACTAAGGATTGTCCGATGACTGTCAAGGGTCCATTGGATCATCTTTTTTTTTTCTGCCCCTGACATTGAGCGATCCAATGATTTATAGGCTGATTTGATGATATCTCAAAGGATGAATGTCACAAGAATGGGAAACAAAGGGTCACTATAAACGGCGCATATCCGGTCAATTGCAACTAGACCAAGAGGGATTGTTGCCTTTCTGAAATATTTGTAGTCTCTTCAACCGTCCAACAAACTTAGTTGTGGTTTATTCCCTCCAACTTTTCCAAAAGTCGAGAGCGTCATTGTCCAGATCTACGCCCCTGAGTTGTCAGAGATATACTCATATTTGGATATCTGTGAGTACCTAGTCTCGATTTCGCATTCAGTACAATTGTTCTTATTCTTATTCTCTTTCACGGCGATACTGCCCTCGTCTTTTGTCTGGCCACTCAGTATCGACTGTGACACCAAACTCTTTCTTGACCACCAATCGAACTTCCCCCTAATTTCAATTTCCAGGGTCATCGATCCGAAAACTTACCCATCCAATTTCTCGCCCCCGATCCGCGATTAATAGACCCCCCACTCCCCATCGAAATCCCAGGTCTAAGTTCCAAGACAAGACAAGTCCAGTCTCAACTACCGCGACTCGACCTTGCTTCTTTTTCCTCCTGTCTTGTCAACAACAGTCAAGCTACCCGAGCCTATACTTTCAACAATGGCTTCAACACTCACAACAACCGAGGCGCAATGTCGCCGCCGCGAACAATACCATGAAGCCGATGTCGTCGTTGTAGGAGCCGGTGTATTCGGTTGCACTATGGCTTTCGCTCTCGCCAACCAAGGCCGATCCGTCCTTCTCCTCGAGCGATGGCTCAAGGAGCCCGATCGCATTGTCGGCGAACTTCTCCAGCCCGGTGGTGTCACCTCCCTTCAAAAGCTCGGCCTTGGACACTGCGTCGAGGGCATCGACGCAAAGCCTTGCTACGGATACACCATTTTCTACCATGGCGAAAAGGTGCTCGTTCCTTACCCTGGCATTGACGAAGAGGGTAACCCTACGCATGCTTGGGGAGGTCATAGCACAGGAGACAGGAGTACAAGACCTTCGGGATGTAGTTTCCACCACGGTCGCTTCATCAACAAGCTACGAGAATCGTGCATAGCCCATAAGAACATCACTGTCGTCGAGACTGAGGTAGTCAAGACTCTGCGTGGAGAGGCGTCGGACCAGATTCTCGGTGTCGAGAGTCGCACCATGAACAAGGAGACTGGAAAGAAGGAGCAAGATTACTACTTTGGACAATTGACCATTATCGCTGATGGATATGATTCCAAGTGGCGCCAGGAAGTTCTCAAGACCAAGCCCAAGGTCTGCTCAAAGTTCTACGCTCTCGAGCTCATCGATTGCGACCTTCCTCAGCCCGGCCATGGCCATGTCATTATTGGCAACGCTTTCCCCATCCTTCTCTACCAGATCGGAACCCACGAGACCCGCGCTCTTATCGATGTGCCCCAAGGTATCCCTGAAGCTTCGCCCGAGAACGGCGGTGTCCGTGGCTACATCCGCAATTTCGTCCTGCCTGCTCTTCCTCCCTCGATCCGACCATCAGCTGAGAAGGCTCTTGAAGACGGCAAGATTCCCCGAAGCATGCCCAACAGCTGGCTCCCCCCCACGAAACAGCGCTCCAACGGAGCAATCCTTCTCGGTGACGCTATGAACATGCGCCACCCGCTTACGGGCGGTGGTATGACTGTTGCATTCAACGACGTTGTCATCCTGTCAGAGCTGCTGCACCCTGATAAGGTCGCTGATCTTGGCGATCCCAAGCTGATCAACAATGCTCTCGATGAGCTTTACTGGAAGCGCAAGCCTTTGACTGGCATTATCAACGTTCTGGCCCAGGCTCTCTACTCTCTGTTCGCTGCCAATGACCGCCAACTACGTGCTCTCCAGTACGGATGCTTCACTTACTTCAAGCGCGGTGACACTGACGGCCCCGTCGCTCTCCTTGCCGGTATTCTCCAGCGTCCTTTCATCCTTGCCTATCACTTCTTCTCTGTTGCCTTCCTTGCTATCTGGCTCAACGCATGCTCCGTCGTTGGCTGTGGAATCTTTGGCATTTTCAAGTTCCCTCTCGCTATTATCGACGCCGTCCTCATTCTCTGGAAGGCATGCATTGTCTTCATTCCCATTATGTGGCGCGAGTCCTTCCAGTAGAGAAATGAAGTATTAGAAGGGAAAGAAAAACGAGCATGGTGATTTTTATATAGCGAAAGCTGCGGCGTTTACGGAGCTTTGTCTTGGGATCTTTACGTCAAGTTTTTAAAAAGATTCCATGTTCCTTTTGGGCTATTAGAGATTTCAAGAGGAGGGACTGTTGTATATATTCCATGGATGGTTATGAGACATTTGAACATTTTGAAGTGTTGAGCGTGGGGAGTGACTTTTTATTACATATACAACACGCTTGACCTGGGACTAGACTTGGGACAATCAAGTAGAATTCCATAAAGATTAATATTAATTGCAACCCCATACATTCTGATCATTTACTCAGTGAAGTCGACCCTGTGACGAGCAGAAGAGTGAGCCGAATGATATAGAGAAGTAAGATGCAGGGATGTGGACTTTTGTATTCAATTTAGATTACAAGAAGATCTTGTTGACCCGTGATTGCCTGCATTTATCCCCTCACTTTCCCCCTTCTTGGTATTCCCATTCTATGTCAATCTTCGTCTGTAGACGCCAAACATCCAGCTCGCTCGTAGCACCGCGAGGCCAATAGCCATCTTGATGCTGTCCTGAATTACGTTGAGCTTGCTTCCACCGACTTCGTGCCACTCGATAGGCACCTCGGCAACCTTGATGCCAGGACTAGTGCCAATAACACTGCCGTCGTGGCCAAGAACTGGCGTGGCGGGCGCTGACTCGGCAAGCATGAGCATCTCGATATCGAAGATCCATCCCTCGGTGTGCATGTAGGGAATGATGTGAGGGAGTGATGCACGAGAGAAGAGCTTGAAACCGCACTGAGTGTCGCGGATGCGGGATGTTGCTGGGGGAGTGAGGATCATCAGGACGAGATGGAAGGATCGCATGAGGAAGTTGCGCAATGCGGAACGCTGTATCGTGTTAGTTATATACTTGTTTAGGATCCATCATGGGTATGGCTTACTTTGACAACAGCCTCACTGCCGACAAGATGGGCACGGCTGCCGATAGCAACACCGCGGTGAGATCCATCAACAACTTCCTCGCACCCTTCAATGAGCTTGCCAGCATCAGAAAAGCGCGAGGCTCCGTCGGCGTCAGCGAACAAAATGTATTCGCCCCTCACATGTCTGAAACCATGCGTGGTCGCTCCGCCCTTGCCTCTGTTGCGCTCAAGTGAAATGACTCTGAGAATGTCATGTAGACCATTTTCCTGGGCGAACTGAAGAACGACGTCCACGGTCTTGTCCCGGCTTCCATCATCGACTACCAAGATCTCGTAACCTGCAAGGTCCTCCTTGGGAGCGGTTCGTCCTTGTCGCTTAGACGATGGGCTCGTGGAGGTGGATGCAGGAACTGTGGTACGACCGAAGTGTTCATCAAGGTAAGCGACCGCCTCTACCAGAGTTGGGATCACACGGTCTTCTTCATTGTAGGCTGGAAATACGACACTCAGGCGCACTTGAGCGGACTCGATGTTGCCAGCGTCGGGAGTGGGATAAGCTTCGGAAGGCTTAATGTGCTGTTCGCTGTGCTGGCGCTCTGCAAGCCAGCGATCATACCAGCATGGCAGAGGTTGAGGCTGTGTTCGTCCGGTGGTGGGATGGCTCGTAATGTAATGCTTCTCGGCGGGGTGGACGGGACGAGGCTTTGGCGCGACGAGATGTAGTATAACATAGAGCTAAGGGACAGAGGTGAGCATGACAATGCGCGGGGCCATAGAGGGGTTGAGTAAAGGACATACCTCGAAAAGAGCCAGGGTAATAAGACCGATGAAGAGGACGACAAGGACGTGAACAGGTGTAGCCTCAATCCAGGTCCAGAGAGGCCTGAGGAATTCGGGCAGCTCACGGGGTGTCGCGGCAGCCATGTTTGGTGTTGAAATGCGACGAGCGACTGCGGAGCTGCAGCGGATGGAGAAGGGGGAAAGTATTAGAATCAAAGGACGTTCATGAGAAGTGAGTTTTCTTTTTTGTTGAGTGTCACAAGGAAAAAAAGTATGCGCCCACTTGGCGAAAAGGTTACAGTGAAGAAAAGAAACGCGGTACGTGGCCGCGGTTATTTGCTTTGTACTGAGATGAGCGCCCGGTCAAGGCCACGAAGCATCTCCAAGTACCCGTACCTGGGCCTAGGTTGCATGGATGAAGGGTTCATAGTTGATTACGTAGCTACGTCAGTAGGTAGGGATCGGCAGGGACCAAGTGAATTGACGAATGACATTGCTTATTTTTAGATTCATTTCAATGCATGAATAAGTCTTGATAATAATCTGGGGTTGCCTTTACTTGATTAATTGTGTAGGTTGTGTTGTTAAAGCCGATCATTGTTCATTATGTCACTGTACGAGATAATGAATGGCATCCAGCAAATGAGAATGAGTAGGTAGTGAATTAATTCTGTTGGTCAACAGCTAAAGAAAATATTGGTCGTACAATAGCCCAAAAGAGACAATAACCCGCCAACGCTTCCAGAACAAAAAACAAGAGAGTTTAACTCTATAATTATACATGAATGTAGGGGCATACCAGAGTCCTGCTCTGGGTCTCGACTCTTAAAGTGTGGCGCCTGTCAACCACCACTTTTAAGCCTCCAACCCAACATGACCCGACTTGGAGGGATGGGATACCCCCCGGGCCCCAAACACTAACAAAGCACTAGTTTGCCTTGTCTACCAGTTGGTTGTTTCTATTGTTCGAACCTTAATTCGAATAGAGTCCTGCTCGATCCCAGTGGAGAGCTTGGTGGACGGTTTCGGTTTTCAGCTGGCAGGCTTCTGTTAAGCCGAAGTAAAGTTTGGGTGTTTGTCTTTTGTGCTTGATCATGAGCTGAACCCTCCAGGGGCCAAGCAAATCTTGTACATGGCTAAAGTCAGATCATGACACCGGTTTGGAAGCGCTGAGCTAGACGATCGCGGGGATCAGGAGACACAGAGTATGACATGCCAAACTGAGAATCCCGAACAACCTCCTTGCCCTTGAGAGAGAGTGGCTGAGGGAAGGTAGGGGCGGGAGAAAAAGCATACGTCTGCACAGGAGACTGGCTTCTGGGGCTAACATCGCCATCGTAGTCGGCCTCGCTGGCCTGGTAGGCGGTGCTGGCACTGCCACTGGTGAAGGGAGATGAGGTAGATGAGCCGGGGAAGTTCATCTGGATGGCCTGGCTATCGTGCATGGTCTCGGCGACGGCCTTTGCAGTGCGCTTGCGGTTCTCGGTACGAATCTTGGAGCGATCATGGCGAAGAGCACCACTTGGACCACTGCTTACAGAGTCGCAGGCAGCGTGAGTGGGAACATGGCGATAAGGCTGTGAAGGCTTGATGGGCTTGGATTGTTCGACTTCCTTAATCTTGCCTGCGTCCTTGTGATCGCGAGCACGCTTGATGGAGCTGAGGATGGACATCTTGGTGATTGTTGTATGAGTTGAAGAAATGATGTTGTAACAAGGGCTGTTGTTGTATTGAAGTTGATTTAGAAGTGTTATTGTTGTTGGAGTTGTCTTGATTGTTGGTGTAGTCTGATGAGAAAAAGTCGTTGATATAACGGGCGAAGCTGTCTAGATATAGAGCAACTCCAAAAGAACGACCGTAGCCATGATTAGAAGTGTCAATGGTATAGAGAGCCAGGTCCGTTGAAAGCTGGCGTCAAGGTTGAGTGGGCTTCACACAGATACGGCCCGCAACGGCGTTGGAATGGCCGATCTTTACTCTGTTCGAGACTCCAAGTTGGAAGGCAAACGACCTCATCGGAGGCGCCAAAGTCAAGCGCCACCCTCGCGCCCTCTCTGATCTCCCCTTGCGGACCCGACAACCCGGCTAGTTCAGTGTATGTGCAGGACAAAATCAGTGATGAATGAAGCAGATCCAGGGGGTTTCACTGTAGAAGGAATGCAGAAGCATCTACGTTTTGTTTGAGCGTTTAGCCACTTGTTGCAGATCTTTCTGAGAATGAATCGCGAGCTGTCGTCATTGAATCATGTACAGTGTCTTTGATTCAAGTGACGTTGGTTCGATGAGATGATCTCCCTTCTTGACAAGATGTCAGTGTCTTGGACAAGCGCGACATCGGCCTTTAACGCGTCTTATTAAAGCTACAATGACCAGGAGCAGGCACGTGTAAGAGCACAGGCAGGCCGAAAAGCCGAATTCATGGACTATTCTATTCTTACCTTTGATTCTCAACGGAATCATCCGTCCAGGCACGAGCTGCCTTTTCGCCTTATAGTCGTTGTGGCTTGCGGTGCCGCGGCGCGGTGGATATGTTTAGCCATATGCAGAGCATCGCCCTCAGCTTTTTCGCACAAGCACCGCCGATATAGTGATTGCTAGATGGTTATACATCCAGCCAGCCTCTCAGTGTGAGCGGGTGTCAGTGGCTGTCTGAGATCGTTGCAGATTCTTCCAGACCTTTGTCTTGGACGCCACCAGGACTGGATCGAGCAACCAGTAACAAATGTTTATTGACTGAGAAGAGACAGACGCTGAAACTTGAGCTCTTGTTCTTGAATTGTTTGTTCTAACAAGAAGCGCGTTTGTCAAGAAGTGATTGGATTGCATCTCGGCGTTATTGATGCTACTCCTGATGCTAAGTCAAGACGTTGATGATGTGTTGTGGGGAGTGGAGAAGGCCGATCAGCATCGCGTTCACTAATCTGTCCATATATTTAGGCCAGTATGATGCATTGCTGGGTAGCACGGCAGTGTAAAGGATGAATACATCCGTTGAAACGATGTTGCCTTACGAAGACTTGAGTTTTCCACGTCATCTCTTGGTTCGCTTGTGAATATCATAAACGCCTCATGAGATCAGTTCAACACGAAACGAAGATGGGTAAAAGTTTCTCTCAACGGTTTTGTGCATGTATCCTCAAGAGGTATTGGCTAAGAAACGAAGATGCCTCACTTTGAGAAACGAATCGTGGCGTCAATCCCTGCACCGAAGTGTTTCGGTGGTCTAAATCTACCGGTCTCTTGGGTCATTGACGTGGAGTGATTCTTACCCCTTGGCTGAGAAACTAGACGCCTCATCGTTTTACTGTTGCCTCAATTTGCCCGTGATGTGTTGTTGGTGTCTGATAGGTTAGTTGTTGTTTTTTGCAAAAATAAGAAAAAGGAGAAAAATTGAATGTCACCCGCTGTCTCATGCATGAGGGAACGTGCCGTGCCCTGGCAGCTTTGACAGCCCGGGGACTCCCCTGTCGATATTCATCTTCTGCAAGATCAGATCTGCATCAGGGATGGTACCCCAGGCCAAGCTATTACACTAAGGTAAGTGCTGTATCCCAGGTGAGCCAAGCCTGCCACACAACTGCCCAACAAGAGATAACATTTAACAAACATTTAGTTCGTTTCAACTCATCAAGAATAACGCGGACCGATTAGAAGATCAATGCTGTTTAACAAGGCCTTGGCTCTGTCTCATTAGAAACAAAAGCACCAAAATTGTGTCAAGTCGATCCCCCACTATTTGTCATTTTCAACTTAAACCAATCTCAATTGGGATCGCCATCTCACGCTAGAAGCTTTAGAAGTCTAAACTGACTTCCCAGAAGAGTTAGGATCCCAAGCCCTCCCTCTGTTGTCTCTCTCTGGCCGCTACTGTATGCAGTTGGATCCAGCAAAAAAAAAGCAAAAAAAAAAAAAAAAAAAACGCTCGGCTTGTCTTGGCTTCCAATATCAATAGACCCCTGGCGGTGAAGCCGACGATACTGAAACAGTTTGAGATTTTGTCTCTTGGCTTACATCAAGACTTTACGTTTCTGTCCAAAAAGCTCCGGATATGTATCACATGTAAGTGGGTAAAGTAGACAAGCCACGAAACAAAGGAGGTATAAAGACTGCGGATGCGATGAAACTTGATTCTTAGCAGATTGTATCGTCAGACAGCATTGTCTCCCTCCCTTTGTCTAGGTACTCAAACGCCTTATTTACTTGGACATACATAGGTCTGCGTTTTGCCGAAAACCCGGGCTCACCGCTAATATCGATAACCTCTCGGTCTTTTCTCACATGCCTTGCTATATAGACCACGATGGCATCTTCCGCTATTAGTAGAAAGAATATTCTGAGTAGCTTGCCGTGGTTATGAGGCGGCCGTTGATTTTTGCCTTGTACCTGAGTCTTGGTGTCTAATGGAAATAGAACCAAGCTATAAATGCCGGCCACGACGTTTGGGTTGCTCTACAGGCTGCAGAAGGAACAGTGGCTTTTGACATACTAGACCACCTAATGTCTTAAAGCCTCCCACAAGTGCCAAGGAGGTAGTTAGTTCCTAGGTATCAGTGCTGATATAGTTCGCGGCAGTCTATATAATGGCAACTAGCGGTACGTTGGTTAATGGTTCTTCGTCTAACGGCATTCCTGAGATGTTAGCTTTTGGGCGTTTTACTATCGATGATTTATGAAGAATTCTTGGTATGTAAAGCCACAACAATGGTTCCGATTGAGTTTTATAGCTCTATCACTCGCATCGTATTGTAATACCACTATCTAGACATATAAGTATTTCACCGCTAATTCCCTACGTCTCGACACCGACTCTTGTCTTTTATACTCTGATATCCAACGCCATGTTATCTGCCTCATTCCTGCCCTTATCTTCTTCTTCGCATGTCACTTTATCAACGAGACAAAGTCTTCTTGGCGAAAATAAACGTGACGCGCGGGGTAATAATAAGCCTTGCCGTAAGAGAAGGTTGGATGACATTCTGGACAATCCTGCATTCCTGCAGGATAGCGTCATGATTCAACTTTAAAAGCTGAGTTCAATCGTCCCTGTCGATCCTTTTATAGTGTGTTTTAAATGTTGACCAGATGTGATTACGGCCTGGTTGTCGGATTGATTATCATTAGATAGATGAACCACTTTAGCGGATGCTTGATATAAGTTGCAAGCCAAACCGCAAACCTTTAATATCTGAGGTATCGAGATAACCAACATTCATCCAATCATGCACGCCCTATTTTTGTCTGTCACCGTGCATTCACAATGGATGGATGCTAGATGACTTGTAATCGAGTCTCAAGATCTGTCCTATAGCAAAAGCCAAGGGAGGCTCACAATGAAGATTGTTGCACTGCATATCGGACCATTGCATGATTGATTGAACGCGCTGCAGTAAAGGCTATCTGCATAAGGTTCGACCTTGAAATCCCACCGTCTTTAAGGTGAAAGACCATCAGAATTCACCTTCAAGTCATATGATTTCTGGTGTTTGCTTTGATGTTGTCGTTACCACAAGATTGCATCATCACCAACCCCAGACAGCCTTAACATGACGGTGTTTTGCTGCATTGACAGCCTGAACAGGGGTCCCTTCTGGGTCGCGCAATTGGAGAAACTGGAGAATCAAGCATTGATTGGACGGGAGTCATTTTTCTTAGCTCGAAACCCGCGTCATTTTGCTCAAGTGGCAAAGCCGAGTACGGTTCATGATTGGACGATAGCACTCCATTCACCAGCCTCACTGTGGCGGCAACGAGGCTTCCGCACCTTTGTAGGGGAATGGTCCCCCCCTCCTCCCCCGAAACCGAAACTGAAGAGGATCCCAGAGCCTAAACCCAACACCATCTCCATCTGGCAGCCTGGTCACGCGCATTGCCCACCTCAATCCGCAATTCTCGACAGCCTCAAACGGTCCCTCGATATAGTCCGGACCCTGACTTTCGATCACCAAACAATACTAGCCGACTTCGCTTCGCAACCCAACGCACTTTACCGACGCTTTGGTTCTGTACCTTCTCGTTCGGCTTCGTCGCCCGGCGTAGCCATCCGCCTGTCCTGTCGTTGTCGCGCTTTCCTTTTCCCGCCGATTGCTTCCGTGGCGTGTCGCCAATTCTGGTTGTCCAACCCACCCCCGATCCGCCGACTTCGCCAGCGCCTCATCTCGAGCTTAGTATAATCATTGATTGTATAGCGCATTGATGGGCCTTTCACTCGCTCGACTTTGTTCTATTTCCCTATAGATATCCCGACTCTTTCGTCGCAGCGCATTCCGGCCCCCATATCTCGCTCGCATCATCATCATCGGCGTCACCATCATCCACTGGGCGGGTATATACTGACATTCCCACTGTCGCGCCTCGTCTGCGCGCAACCTGAGAAATCGTGGCGGCTCTCACCATTTTGACTTCAAACGAACCGTCGGAGCTGTCCTTGCAACAGCATCTCGAACTTGCCCCGGATTTGGCTGCGTATACGAATCTCTCTGCCGAGGGAGAGTCCGAGTCTTTGATGATGGCACAGCCCGTGCCTCATCAGCCCACCGATCGAAAGCGCGTCAAGGTCTACGAGCTTCGCAACAATGACTGGTTTGACAGAGGTACTGGCTTCTGTAGCGCGAGCTTCGAGACTGTACGTCATTCATGCCCATGTCGCCATCTTTGCGCTTGAATATCATGCTGACTGATGCCCTGTAGCTTGACGATGGTCGCAAAGATCCGCGCGTCGTCGTCGAATCAGAAGATCATCCCGACCGTCTCCTATTAGAAACAAAGATTCAGAAAGAAGATGGATTTCAGAAACAGCAAGGCACGTCCACATGTCTGATATGCGCTCTACAAACGTCGTGTGTCTAACCTGAATCACAGATACCCTGATCGTGTGGCAGGAACCCAGCAGTGGTGTCGATATGGCATTGAGCTTCCAGGAAGCAGAAGGATGCGCATTAATCTGGTTTGTTTCATTAATTAACAGTATCCAGCATATTCGCTAATGCGTGGTAGGCGTTTCGTGAGCAACGTCCAACAAACCTTTCACAACCATTTACCTGGCGCTGGTATGCAGTCTTATCTTCTATGGAGGAACACGTTGCTAATACTTTATCTGCAGACGATGGCCTTTCCGATGATCTTGCCATCGACGTTCCGCCAGCTATCAACTTGCCCAACGCCGAACTTGGAAATCTTGGCGACATCGAATCAACTATGCGAATGATGAACACTACGGCTAACGGTAGAGACGCGCTGGCCAAGGCAATCATGGCTGAAGATTTTATTGGCAAGATCGTTCCATTGGTTGAGATGGCCGAAGACCTAGAGAGCCTTCAAGACTTGCACCGACTTTGCAACATCATGAAGACAGTTATTCTTCTCAACGACACGTCGATCATCGAGCACGCGGTATCGGATGAATGTGTTTTGGGTGTTGTTGGCGCGCTAGAGTACGACCCTGACTTTCCTAGTCATAAAGCCAACCATCGACACTGGTTGGGTAATCAGGGCCGCTACAAGGAAGTCGTTCCGATTGAAGATGAACAAATCCGCAGGAAAATCCACCAAACATACAGACTGCAGTACTTGAAAGACGTGGTTCTTGCCCGTATTCTCGACGACCCCACATTTTCAGTTCTCAATTCCCTCATCTTTTTCAACCAGGTCGACATTGTTCAGCATCTGCAAGCAAATGCCGCTTTTCTTAACGAGCTTTTCGGTATCTTCAGTCCTTCAAACAACGACCAGAAGAGGAAGAAGGAAGCAGTGCTCTTTATTCAGCAATGCTGTGCTATAGCAAAAAACATTCAGCCACCAGCGCGTCAGACATTGTACAACAATTTCCTTGCTCATGGACTTTTACAAGTCATTAATTTCGGATTGCGGCATCATGATGTTGGCGTTCGGGTCGGAGCTACTGACATCCTGATATCCATCATCGATCACGATCCTCAAATGATTCGACAAACATTATATCGCCAAGTACACGAGAAAGTGACCCCTCTCACCGATTCTTTGATCGACCTTCTTCTTGTCGAGGTTGATCTTGGTGTGAAATCTCAAATATCAGAAGCGCTCAAGGTTCTTCTAGACCCTGGCCCCCAGCAACTCCAAAATGAGAATTTCCAGAAAGCCAACGGTGAGCTTTATAGCCAAGAAATGCTACAGGCCTCTACTGACCCCCGACAAGAGGTTTTCCTTCACGCCTTTTACGCGGATTCTGCACCAAAGCTGTTCAAGCCACTGGCCGACTTGGAGAAGCGAACCGATATGAACTTCAGCGTTCAGCAAGCGTCGATGTTTACATATCTCATCGACATTCTTACATTCTTCATTCGCCAGCATGCAGTACGTGTGAAGTTTTATGTCATGGGCCATGATATCGCCAAGCGTGTCTCCCAGCTACTTGGATGCTCCGAGAAATTCTTACGATTAGGTTTGTGATGATTATGCCTCGTGCGACTTTTGCTAATTTGTGCAGTCGCTATTCGCTTTTTCCGCTCAATAATCGGAATGCAAGATGAGTTCTACATTAAACATCTCACGGAGAAGCAAGTGCTGGGGCCTATTCTTGAAGTACTTATCGGAACTATGCCTCGGGACAACCTACTGGCATCGGCATGCCTCGAGTTCTTTGAGTTCATCAAGAAGGAGAACGTTAAAGATGTTATCAAGTATCTTGTGGTCAACCACAGAGACCAACTGATGACTCTGAGCTATATGCCTACATTCCGAGACATCGTCCTTCGATACGATCAAACCAGAGGTTACACATCAAACGTTGATTATTTTATGGAGGGCGAAGACGAGATGGGAAGAAGACCCCCACCTAACACAAGATTGATGGAACAGATCACCGTCGACCAAGAACAAGAGGAATATTGGGCAGGATCTGACAATGAAGAAGAAGAGGACAATTCAAGCAAGGATGGAGAAAAGACGCCGTCTACGAATGGATCTATCACCTCCAAGCTCCTCGTTGATTACGCTTCCGACGAGGAGACGGACGAAAACGCCGACCCCGAGGCAACGCCAGACAGTCACAGCGATGTAGCATCAGATGCCGTGGGCTCGCCGATCGACTCGAGTCTAGGAGGAGGTGTTCCACCACCAGAGCGGCTTTCAGAGAAACGTCGACGTGAAGAGGAGGAAGATGACGACGAAATCGGCAAGCTAATGCACAACAAGCGACGCAATAGTAGCGGCTCTATCAGCTCGGTCTCTAGTAACCCTCGAGGCTTGACAAAACGAAAAAGCTTCACTGCCGGCTCTACCAGCGGAAGCAGTAAGAAGATCGCGATTAGTCTTTCTTCCGGCTTAAAAACAGGCAGCGGCCCAGGGTCAAACGAGGAGTCGTAAACATTACCCTTGACTGCTTTCGGCGATGGCGTACCGGTTGTTGGTCTTTTTTATTTGGTATTCATGAAATTGGGGCGCAGACACGAGGTCTCGCCTCTACATAACTACATTTGGCAAGTACCTCTACTTGCTAGCTCAGGGATGGGCAGGTGGAGAGAACAGGCGTTGTATTGAAATATATCGGTGGCACAAAGCCACTATATTCTTGGTTTTTCTATCTTTGCTTTGCCTCAGCCCTCGCATCATCCTTTGACTAGGCATGTTCGGGGGATGATGGCATTGTTTGGTCTAGTCTAATGGGGTTCTGTCTGGACTGAGATTCTCCCCCCCTTTTGGGCGATAGAGTCGTCGAGAAGCGACGGCAATGGTGTCTGACATGGCATGGTGAAGGAAATGGGATTTCCAAGTCGAGATTGGCAGGATCGTTGAGATAGGATGACTCTTTTCACGAGAAACGGACTGCTAGCTGAGCAGGGGCCGTGGTGAATTGAGAAGGTTTTGCTGTGTCATGTTGAGTTGTGTATTATACTCTTTATGACTTGTATAGCTCTTGCGTGTCAAGCGAAGAGCCGGGTCGGTTAGGGGAAGCTGAGGACATAACTTGTGCCGATGCCAGACACTCGTAACGAAGAAATGAAAAAGACCCGTTTGAAGACAAACTTTTCTCTTTTTGCAATCCTTGACCTACTTTAGGTAATTTAAATCATAAAGTAATATCATAACCTTTGCTAATCGGTTTGAAAGCCCACTTCCAGTGGCCAGACATACGGCTTCGACTTCTTCAACGCTCATCTAAACTTTTCCGATCTCGCTCTGGCTCTCCCTGGCCTTTAGCTACTCGCTATAAAGCAATGAGATTTTAAGGTCTCAGGAAAGCATCTCTATCTAGTAGTTCGTCCGCAACTTCGGCTATCCCCTCTTGTGTAGTCTATGCCACTTTTCGTAGCCGTCGATCATCTGCTGCGTTATATTACGGGGCGTCCTCTCGAGCACAACAGTCAAATCAGCCATTGCAAGCTCAAGCTTCTCGTTCTCATCCTCATCATAACGCTCCTGTACGATCATGCAGGTTTCGTCGCAAATGGCCTTGATTTCGGCACCTGAGTACCCCTCGGCAAGACGAGAGAGCTTGGGGATATCAACATCGGGTGCAAGTGGCAGACCACGTAGATGAACCTTGAAGATGGCTTCCCGGGTGGCCTCGTCAGGAGGTCCGACGTAGAGGAGTTGATCGAAACGGCCAGGTCGCATCAGGGCAGGATCCATAGATTCAGGACGGTTGGTCGCAGCGAGGATAAGCACGCCCGAAAGGGCCTCAAAACCGTCCATCTCGGTGAGAAGGGTGGTAAGCATGTTGACTGCGCCGGTACTGCGAGAGGCAGCGCCACTTCCTGTTCGTTGACCGCCGATGGAGTCGATTTCATCAAAGAAGATGATGGAAGGAGCTGCGTTGCTGGCTCGCTCGAAGAGAGTTCGAACCGCACGTTCAGTCTCTCCAACATACATGTTAAGAAGCTCTGCACCTTTGACTGCGAAGAAGTTGAAGCCGGATTCTGTGGCAGCAGCTTGGGCAGATAGAGTTTTGGAACAACCAGGGGGGCCATAAAGAAGGAGACCCTTTGGAGGTGGGCGAAGGGACCGTTCGGGATTCTTGGTATACTTGATCATGCGGTTGAGCACCTTCTTCAAAACATCTTGGCCACCGACATCTTGCCAATGGATGGTAGGAGGGTTCAGGTTGATATCACGCATAGCCGTGGGGCGAACGGCCTTTTTGGCTTTATCGATATCCGATGCCTTCAAGAAGTGCGTTTTGGCCGATGCTCTGTCAACACCTGCTTCTCGCAGCCGAGCTCCCATGTCATATTTGGCCTTTCTGCACAGCATTCTGAGATCCAGTGGGCTGTATGCGTGTGTCCTCTGTGCTAGTTCCAATAAAGCCGGCTGCTTTTCTGCTGGGTCAATGGGTAGGTTAAGAAACTCGAGAATCTCAAGTCTCTCCTGAATCTTTGGGATAGGTAGTGGGACATGATCACCAAAACGAGTTGGACCCCGAAGCGCTTCTGGAATGTCAGTAAGAAAGTCGGAACACGTGGCCACAATAACAACTTGAGGTAGAGAATCGCTTGACAATGCGCTTGCAGCAAGGTCATCCAGCTCGTCGCGCAATAACCCAATGACAGAATCGTGGTTAGAGCGGTCCTTGGTGATCAAGTCCTGAAGATCGTCAATCAGGATCATGCTCGGTTGCTGACTTTGCGCAAGCTTGAAAGTTTCTCTCATGCTTGCAAGTTTATCTGAGGGCTTGATCCAATGGACTTTTCCCCATTTCGTCGCAGCAATACGATCCAGAATGAAGGTCTTTCCTGTGCCGTGACCACCGTGAATCACGAACGCGCACGATTCTCTCTCGCCGTCAATGACAACGTCTGTCTTGAAGGCACCAAGGAAAACATTAAGCGCCTTGAGTTGAGGAGCCATTCCAGGGACACCCGTTACGATCAACTCGCCGCCGGTCTGTGCATCGACTTCCGCGTCTGCCGCTTCCTTGTCTACAACCGTGATGGTTGTCGAGCTGGGGTCGAACCTTGCCAAACTGTTGGTCTGCGAGTTCACGGATATGACCTTGAAGTTTCGTCGCCATTTGCTGCTAAGTGTTGCCTCTACCACCATTCCGGGAAACAACAGTTCAGCACGTACTTGGGAAGAGTTAGTTCTGACTCTTGTTCACAGGGCATCTTCTCCTTACCAAAAGCGGGTGCGGTTAGCATCTCCCACGATGGCTTATACTTTGCTGCTTTCTCGAATTCCTCTAATCGCTCAAGGTCATCCGAGGTTTTGTCTGTTTTCTCGGTCACATCTTGCACAACCACCTCATCTGCGTTGGGCGTCGTTCCTGCAAGTGATATGCGAATGAGGTCGCCGATCTTGAAACCTGAAGCTTCTTGGAATGCCCTCGTCATGACGACGACGTTTGGGCTGAGATTCTTTTCCTTTATACTCCATAGCGAGGCCTCTCGCTGTAGCTCTTGTTGATGTTGAGGGTCATCTTCCCTGACCGAGTCCTTTGTTGCGGCGGCGCTTTCTAGCCTTGTGAGGATACAGTGCTTTCCGACTTCTAAGGTGCCATTCAGTGAGAGTAGTGTCTCTTTGCTCACGTACACACGGGCGGCACCTTGAAGACTCGCTTTTTCGAGACTCGCACTCGCTAGAGGTCTGACCTTGACGTCAATACTTTTGGCGAGCATGACGAAGATTTAGTTGAATTGAGACTAGAAAAATGGAATTTTAGGAAATTTCTTATAGAGGTTTAGGATAACAGGTCTAAAGTCGATTATGACTTACCTAAGGTAGATTGTGGAAAAACTGTGACTGGCAGATGCAAGAAAATCTTCCCCCACACCAAGTTAGCAACACAGACGACTTATATTTATATTCGTCAAAACCTCAAAACTATAGTCAATCCGCAATGACTCACTTTTCTAAAAAGAATAAATACGTTACTGATAGAGCAGTGGCCTAGTGTACGTACAGCAACGGCTGAACTTTGAGAAGAGCATGTGGGCGATGGCTAATAGAAAAAGCATCTGATGAGATGGAGCACTCCATAAGTCACAACGTGCATGCTTACAGGTAACAGAAAAGCCGGCCTCTAGGTTTTAGGATATAAAAATAAAAGGCCTTAAGAAGTCTTATCTAAATATCATAAACTAATCTACTAATTTAGTCTCGTGTGCTTCCAGTAGCCAATTTCTAATACCATGAGGACATGTTACAAAACGTTAGTTGTTGTGTGCTGGAGACAATACTCACCTAAATTTTATCTCTTGGATACTAATGCTCTTAGCCAAGCAGTTTCACAAAAGCATTAATTCGTTATGTGATTGTGAATTTCGGCCGAGAATGAGATAAAGTTTAGCCAAGTGGCTACCTAGGTAGGTTTGATATCTTGCTATCGAGTCACAAAATTTACAGAATCATGATAGCAGACATGATACTTTCCAGGGTCCAAAGCCATCAATCAATATGACATGCACAACACAACCCCACTAAACCATTTTGGATATCGGCCCAATTCCGCAAAAACGGCTTCTCTCCAGGCTTGCTTGCATGGTTATGCACCACCTAATTACTGCAAGGTACTGACTGAACCTACAGAACTATCACGAACCTCACTCTCCCCCATGTTTCCTCACAGACGACTGCCCGGATGAATCACTCCAAATGTCTCCCCAACGCTAGGGCGATCCTCGTCATTCGCAATAGACTCACTTCCTCTGGCAATAACGTCAATACTAGATTCTCCACCACCAGCTCGAAACCGAACGGGACAAGATCCGAGACGAAATCCAACTACACTCCAAGACCACGCAGACAACCTTCCACGACAACGAATAATCGGTTCATTAGTGGCAAGAAATCACAATGGCAATCCTTCTCTCCTCGCGAAGCACAAAATAGCACCACCAAGCACAAGCTAGTGCTCTCTGGTCTTCCCACGACGTTGCTGCCGGCCGATTTTAATCGCCTTGCTGCTGATAAACTTGCCGGTTGGAACGAAATCATCAGTCATGGTACCGCAACGCAGTTCACGTAATTTCAATTCGGCAAGCTTACAAAGAATCAGTTCACCAGGAACGTGACCCCTGGACCATGGAGCCTCTCGGCGTATATCACATTACATTCTCCTCATCTGCGGCCGCCAGTCTGTATAAAGACAAGATCGAGAGACTCCTTCGTCTCGCCCAAACCAAGTTCCAGAGCAAAAATGGCCTCTGGACGAGCAAGGTCCCCAGTGTACTACTAGACCCTGGGAAAGACCCTGAGAAGGAGCTGGAGCGCTTCACTATCCTTCCAGGCTCTTACCAGGCTCGTATCAAAACGAAACAGAGTCGTGTTCAGGGCAAAATGGCTTGGCAGCATGTCGTCGACCAGATCATAAAGAGTTCACACATTAAGACTCTTCGCCCTAGTGCAGTATTGATCGAGCTACCAGAAAAGAGTTTCACGGTTTCAGAGCTCAGGGTCATAATTAACCAAGACGGGACTGAAAGTGGTTATGACTGGGCGACTGAAACTCATATATCCGATCTTTCCAAGGTTATGGATCTAGGCGAGAAGATCTCCCAAAGCACATCGCGGGCACGTAGGAACGACGCCGAGTCCCGCCAGCGAAACAATTCACGTTTCATCATGGTGTGCGAAACTCCAGAGATAGCATGGCGGTTCATTCGGAGCTGGAACCAGCGCATTCTCGAGTACGACCAGGGCGAAGGCGTCGTCTTGCGTAATCGTGTAAAAGCATCATACATTGACATTTAGCGACTGTACATAAGTATATGATAGAGACAAAGCAAAACAAGTAAAGAACAACAACAACAACAAAAATCTGACTGGTCCTCCCAATGCCTTCATTCTCTTTCCCTCCTTGCGGCCAGGCGTTCAACAGCCTCTCTCGCGATGTAGCCGTCTCTGTCTCTGCTTTACTCTGTAATCGTTTGGCAAACGAACACAAACCAAGGAACAACATTAACTGCGAACCGCAACCAGACACATAACGAAAGCAATGTATATTAGACCCAGATCAAAAAACCGAAACTCCAGACCGGATTTGCTCTCTAAGATGGGGTGGAAGGTCGATCAGAAGGAACGAGACATCATCAAAGCCCCCTTCGCTATGTCGCGCCTGTCCTTGAATGTGACTGATGTTTGCCGTTCTGCTCAATTCTCAGCCATCCATTCCTCTCTTTCCCTTCCTCGCATCTCTCCCTGCACGTACGCAAAGTAGGTCGGCTTTCTACACTCATGGTGAACTCTCCAAGCCCCTTTCTCTCTAGCACCTTGACTCATTTAAGGCACTTCTTCTCCCCCAGGTTTACAAAGTTATAAGCTTGATAAAATAAAAAGACGGCAAACGGAGAAATGACAGATAACGGACGCCTTTGGGGTATTCGGTGTTTAACAGCACTTGCTGCCGCCGCTCTCGCTCTTATCGTTGACGTTGACGCCGCTCGCTGCAGGTTGGTCGTTCTTGGAGTTGTCGATAAGTCGCTTCTTAATATCCGCGGCTAGGCTGTAGAAAGCTTTGTCGATGTTGATGTTGCTCTTGGCGGAGACCTCGAGGAAAGGGATGCCCAGCTCATCGGCGAGGGCTTGGCCTTGCTCAGTGGAAACGACGCGCTTCTCCTCCCAATCGCACTTGTTGCCGATTAAAATCTTGTTAACACCCTCGGTAGCGTGCTGCTCGACGTTTTGGAACCAGGTTCGGATATCTGCAAGAAGATTAGTTCATGTTTTCTTTGTGGTATGCGTGGCTCGAAAATGAATGCGTTGGTTGATTGGTCAAAGGCACCAGGCGAGGCTAGCTGACCGGCCGGCCATCAGGTAGGAGAGGGGCACAGTAACGAGATGTCGTAAAATTTGCATATCGAGCCGAATGGTAGAGAGTAGAGAGACGTACTGTTGAATGAGCGCTCGTCGGTGACGTCGTAGACAAGAAGGATGCCCATGGCACCGCGGTAATAGGCGGTGGTGATAGTGCGGAAACGCTCCTGACCAGCGGTATCCCAAATCTGCAGCTTGACGCGCTTTCCATCGAGCTCAATGGTCCTGATCTTGAAGTCGATGCCGATAGTGGTGATGAATGAAGGGGTGAAGGAGTCTTCGCTGAACCGTAGCAGACAGCACGACTTGCCGACGCCGGAGTCACCTATCAGGAGCAGCTTAATCTACATGATAACAAAGGGTCAGCGGGTGATATTAAGAGGCGGTCGCATGCAGTGAATCAAAGCGATCTGCAGCGCGATGCGAACTGGCATAACATGGTCGTCGTGGTCGTGATATCGAGACAGCCTGAACTCAACTCAAGGGCCGCAGGGGGGCGGATTGGCGGGCGGTGGGGGGGGAATAGATTGGATAGATGGGAAAGAATAGCGTATCGTACCAGGAAATCATAGTTGCGATTACTCGACATGGTTGCGAAAGGTTGGAGTAGCAGAAGGCGCTACAGAGGACGAATGCGACGATGGCGATGAGGTGAGTTCGGATCTGAAGGAGTGAAAGGTTGAGGACGTTGAGGCCTCGTTTGTCCGATGGTAGTAGGTGTAGGTCGTCGAGGGTTGAAGATGGAGATGGAGTTATGGAGTTGGAAATGGGAATGGGAATGGGTAAAGAGACGGGACCAACTAAACACTCTGAGTGGAGGGGGTCTTTGGCCATGGGACTAACAAAGGTACTGTACACTTGGCAGGCAGGCACCCAGATAAATACGGCGCAGTGACAATTAGTGAGATAGCTACGTGTACAGGGGCTGAGGGGGCTCTAATCGCCTCCAAGGCCATCGTTGGTTTTAGGCTGTTACAGGGCCGACATCTGATTTCGGTTGAGTAGGTCTGTTTCAGCGGGCATAAAAGAGTTACGTGTCAGACTGGACTCGATCTCGGTATGCAACGATTGCATTTTTTATCGATTTGGATTACTTATCTAACCAGAAGTTCTGATTGTGATCTTTCAGGATATTTAATTTACTCTCGTCCGACCAATTTCACTTGAAACTTGAAGCAGCCAGAGGCACTAATAGAAAACTCATCGCATAAGTCTCAATTATACACGCATTCATTAAACAGTTTCAATTAAATCTTGTAACTTTTTATAAAACCGCACATCATTCTATATAGACTCTTAATTGGTTGACTGTTGCAATGCAAATAGCCGAATATTCTGATCAACAACACAACCCTTCTCCCTCTACACAGCGTCTACTTTACTGGGCATCTATCTACAACTCCCCAAAAACACATCTTGGTCTGCCCCTGAGCAACGAATGTTGTGGCGTTTTGTCTTCGATGGCTGTACTTGCCTGGATTTTCTTCCAGAGAATAGTCTATGGTTTCACAACGGCTTGTTCCCCTACATAATCATGGTCCACTCAACTTTTTGCCCCTGGTTCGCGACGTCATCTAGGGAAACATCATCACAAGACACACTCATCAAGAGGTCAGCCACGCTTAGTACGTCCCAGCCATGCCACATGGCACACCTTCCACAGCATTATTCGATGATTAGTAACCAGAGACTATGGCATCATTTTTTGTGTACATCTCAAAGCACTCGCGGCTGCTGTCTACACAGTGGCGGCACACAATGCTTCAACACCTAGCCTTAGTCCGTAGGCCCAGCCACGATACTGATGTCAATCTGACTTGATGAAAAGCAATTAATGTATCAGAGAAGTGACTCGATTGATTTATCGTAAAAGCTTACAAAACAAGTGGCCTATAGCCAAGCAACAAATAATCATCCTTTCAAATGTACATCAAGAAACGAAGAAGTATCGAACCCCAAGTCTTAGTCTTCCATCAACCCACTCTTTTTTACTTCTGGCTGCAAATACCAAAGACCTTCTGGCAACCGCACTCACAGTGCTTGGCCTTGCGGCCACACTTGCCCCCTCGAGAGCAGCAATCACCAAATCTGCTACCCTCGCAGGTCTGGCCAGTCTCGCCACCGCAGAGACCGTCTTCAGATACCTTTATGGGGAAGGTCTCAACGGGCAGAGGAGCAGCGATGACAGGAGTATCGCTGAACTTGGTGTTCTTCTCGTACTTGTCCCACTTACGGGTCGCGGTCTCTTGGGTGGATTGAGTCTTGGAAGCAGGAATCGAGGCCTTGGTTGTAGCAGCTGGTGCCTTGACAGCCTTGGTGGTCTTGCTGGGGACGTCGACGCTGGGCACATCGTAGCTGGGGGCTTTGTAGTCGTTTTCAACAGGCTTGGTGTCCGAATTGGCGTTTTTAACCTCCTTTGTCACGCCAATGGCAATGGCCTTGAATTTCCCGTAGGAAGCAGGGATAGGACCGGGTGCGCCAACATAGTGTTCCTTGCCGCTGAAGGCGGGAGGCCCATCAAAGTCCTTCGCCTTGCAAGCATCGTTGATTTCCTGACAGTAGTCGTTCCAGGTATCGCAACCGTAGCCGCCGGTGGGAGGAGCATTGTCCCAGCAGTCACCAACTTCGTCCCAGCACTTCTTTGCCGCAGCCCAGCAGCCGTCCTGGTCGGAGTATTTAGCAAGGGGCTTGCCGCACCAGTTGGCATTCTTGGCCAAGCAGCTCTTGGGAACAAGACCGTCCTTCTGGGTCTTCTTAGTGCCAGTCTCCTTGGAAGTGGGATTCCAGACATCGGGTCCGTGAATAGGGTATTCGCCATGCTCATCGTAGATGTTGAAGGTTACGGCGGGGTCTTTCTTGGTGACATAGCCAGGGATACTGGCTTCGTACTTTTCGGGAATCTCAAGAGGACCTTCAGGACCGTTCTCAATGAAGATCTGAGCACAGCTCTGGTAGAACTGAGGGTCACCGTCGGGAGCACTGTGCAGGGCGAGGATCTCAGGACGGACCAAGTAGTATCCAGAAGGAAGGCCGGTAGGAAGGTTGACAGACAGAAGTCCATTGTTTTCGATGAGACGGTCAACACACCACTTATCCTCCTTGACGTTGTAGCCATCTTCGAAAACCTTGAACCATCCGTCGCCAGCAGCAGAGTCGGAAAACATATCATCGACCTTCTTCATGTAGACGGAGCAAGGACCTCGGTGGCCTTCGGCAATGGCACCCTTCTTGTGGCCGCTGGGAGATTCACGGAATTGGAAGGTTAGTTGAGCACCACCTGGGGCAGGGCAGATGTACTGAACAGCCTTGCCACCATCCCTACCTGAGAGGTTGTTAGTTACTGATTCTAGACACGTCGTTTAGTGGTCCTAATATACATACCACAAGCCATGGCAGCTCCATCAATGGGATAGATAGGGCTGTTGGCGGTGGAAGCATCCTTAGGCTGGCGAACGCAGGTACCATCGCCCTGGTTCTCGCCGTCAATGAAGAGAGTAGTGAAGAGGGTATGGGCATTCGCAGCAGAGGCGAGGCCAATGACAGTAGTAAGAAACTTCATGATGAATGATACAAGTTAATATGATAAAGACGAAAGGGAAATGTACAGAAAACCAGTTTCTGCAAAGGCCGCTTGGGCTGAAGCTGTTGATTGCTGTTGGAAAAAACAGAGTGTGTTTGCCTCGATAGGGCAGTAAGGAATGGCTGTCAATCAACAAAAGAACGAAACCGAAGAGAAAGAAAAGAGTCGTCAAGCAACTCGAATACACCAGAATGAAGAAAGATGAAGGTAAAAGTGAATGTATCACAGACTTCGCGGAGATGCTTGGATATATACATGAATCGCCGGCTCTCGACCTAGCCTGGTATCTCTCATCTCACTCAAGCTCAGCTCGGGTCAGCCTACAGATCGTATTCCCCCAAGTCGAGCCGGGTCTGATTAGGGTCTAGAAGGTCCTGACATGGATTGTAGTCCCGGCCAAGTTACACTAGAAGCTCAACTTACCAGTGATTTGGTACGTAGGCGACAAACAGTGCCATCATCTCAAACAGTGGCTTAACCCCTAGCTTGATGCCTTTTCCACTTGGACAAGGATAATAGAGTAGCGGATTCGAGAGCAGCGCGGATATATGGACGAGTTCTTGGGTCCCCATGTCTAGATGGAAGCCATTTGTGTGCAGGTTTAATCAAACAGAGAGGTCATAATCCGTGGTCCATGCCGCTGACCGTCGTGGCCGTCAAACGTGAGGGTCAGGGGCCAGAAAACGGCCAAGGCCACGATCCTTGTGGCGCATCATTTGGGGGCAATCGCTGAGAGCCAAGATTATCAAGATGAAACGTACTTGCAGTGCTTTTCGAGGACAAGGTCTGTGGGTGTAAGTAGAACGCAGTTGGATTGGGTGGCTTGGTCGGGCTATTTTCCTGGTACCTGCGTCAAGGTAAGCGCCTAGAGAGGCGGGCGTTTCCGTTGTGGATGTGACCAACCAATGAAGACAGCTCATGAGATCCTTCATTCTGTTTAGCTACTTTCTCATTTTACTTCCATATTGGCTCGTGACAGAACAGTAGAACATCTATTATTACATTTTATACACTGAATAAATAAGCTTAAAATCTTGTACACTCTACTGCATTAAAGGGCATGAGTCTATGTCCCAACGCTTAAGATAGACTAAAGTCAAGCATAAACGGGGATTGCATTTACTATTGGTGCTTAGGTAGTTTACAAAAGCAATTCAACAAGGCTTAACATGAATTGAAACTTGAGATATGCAGCTTGTTCATTCTAGTGTCATTTCCCATCACTCTAATCCCTTGCTTAACATTGTCTCGCTTCTGTACGTTATCGCAATCCTATTCATCCTTCGCGGATCAAGGACCCTCAGGGGTTTACTTCAGCCACACACGGGCCAGTGGTTTTGGAGAACCCCTGACACGGATATCAAGCAATATTTTATCTTCCCTTAATGTTGTACAGCAGTGATTGCACACAGTCTATCTACAAGATACTCCTGGGTGGACTTGTTAGATGAAAAATTGTGCCTTGAGCCAGAAACACTTGAACCAGAAACACAAAGTGCCAGTATTTGTTTCAATCCCTATGTTGCGGCACGATTAGAGTAGAGCCTGGTCGACAAGGGTCTTGTCGATCCTCCTCCTCCACACCTTTAATGCTTGGAGGCATTCTAAAACCTACCTACTGCCCCTTCATCATCACCCACCGAACCAACGAACTTTGAGATCTGAATCGTCAATAGGCTAATATCACGCAGGAGCTGTTTCCGCTGTCATCCCATCTCGCTGATCACATAGCAAACCTCTATTGTTCCTTGCAAACTTGCCAATTGACATTTTGCCCCTGCATCAAGTTGCTTTTCTATATATCCCGGCCAAGCCACCTTGTTTCTAGTCAGCCCGTCTGATCCCTTACTTTCGAGTGTCAGATTGATTGGTCGGCTGACTGAGTCGCTTGATATTTTATGACTGTTTCGAAACAATCATTTCTTGGCAGCCAGGTACGTTTCGATGAGAAACGCAACGCTGGCCGTATAGTGACCAGCCCCTGGATCTCTCCCCGCGGTCTTTGGCGCTTCGGCAACCTAAGCGATTACCTTCGGTCAAGAGCCTGGATACTCAACGACTACTATCTATGTAACTAGCCGTCGACAGTGTTATGCCTGGCAGCGATTCACTTGCGATCTTAGTAGTTGATCATCTTATACATGTGGCTTCGAATCTCAAAAATGCCCACGTCTCGACTAACACAACATTGAGCAAACACGAGCTATCACAAAGCAAAACGACGTAAATCATGATATTGAAAGGGTAAGAGTGGAGATTTGATTCTGTCTTGCGCGACCAACCCAACACAGCGACAACATTTTTTGCTTCCTACGCACACTCATACAAATCGCATGCACATCCTCTTGCATAATTGGTCTGTCGTTTTTTTGCGCCTACATTACAATCAACTCCGATCTCTTCCCCTTCTCAAGCAACTTCAGTAGAGTCTTATCTCTCACGTCCGCCGCTTGTGATATGGTACAGTATGATACAGGCTGGTTATTGTTTGGTTTGATATATGGGTATCTTATTCGTTGATCTTGGCCAGGATCCTAAAACAAGTTGGTCAGTATACCTGTGGTTCAAATCCATGTGCCAAGTGGCGCTCGGCTGCGCTGTTTGGTTAAACTTACTCGCTGTCGCGGAAGAGCTGGAACTCCTCCTCGCCGGCCTTGACGGGAGAGCCACCGAATTGGGGGATCAGGACACGGTCACCAACGGTAACACCCATGGGTAGACGGTTACCCTTTTTGTCGAGGGCACCGGGGCCAACAGCCAGGACCTTGGCCTCGTTGAGCTTCTCGACGCTGGACTCGGGCAGGAAGATGCCGCTGGCGGTCTTAGTCTCAGCCTTGACACGCTGGACGAGGACACGGTCAAGGAGGGGAGCAAGAGCTCGGATGGACTTGATGGAGGTGGCCTGTAGCACAACAATGTTAGTACCAGACATCGTGTTGTACATCATGGCTTCTATGCGCCTCATGCTTCAGTATCTTCTGTCTCTGCCTCTCCCCGGCTTTCCAATTGCCGAGGATAAGTGGTTTAAGAGTTGAAGTTGAAGCATTGGCATGTTTTCATAGGCCATGAACAAGACAATTGTGAACGCACCATTGTGATTAAGTTGTAGGATGATTATGAATATGGAGAAGAAGAGTCGTAGATTCGTGATTGGAGAAGTAAATAAGAAGGAAGAGTTCGGATTCGGCGTTCAACGGAGTTCAAATCGGCGGTGGATCTCAGCTCTTCCAACAGCTTCCAGAGAGGTCAGCAATTTTTTCCCCAAGCTTCCCCTCGGCTCTTGATTTCGCCGGTTCCGAACGCCGGCACCCCACTACACCCATTTCTGTGGGTTTATCCCAAACTGGTAAACATATCATGCCAGACAACGTATAAGTCCAACTTTGCAATACTAGACAAAGACTTGTCAAATTTATATTCAACTTTTTCCTTTTCCTATCTACTAATTACCCGACGTGTTTCTCCTGACATATTTCGCTGTGATTAATCTTGCGCTTGCACCAGGTATTCTTTACAGTTGCCGATCCACCGTCTATCTGTTCGTCATTCATCATGCGCAGTACAAACAAGCACGCTTCCAACCATGTCTGCAATTGATATTCGCAATTGCTCTCAAAACGCCAAATCCCGGCATATATCCCATGAGAAACCCAACACTTGAGGGTAGCTGTATTCCTATCGTTCAAATCATTTCTTCTCGGGCTGTTGATTGGCTGGTGGTTCTAGGATGTGGGTGTGGTCTTCCGCAGGAACAACCTCGCCATGATCAAATTGTTGGCAGATGACAGTATCGGCAACCCATGGTTCTTGAAGTATCTCATCCATACGGGCTCGTTTCTTGGGGTCAAGGTCGAGCATTCGGCTGACAATATGCCTGCTCTCTCTAGGCAGCAAACGCAGGATACGCCATGGCCCCCGAATGACTTCTTTCTTTTCACCTGACGCTGCAGGCTTGGATTCAGATGTCTTGGGATCAGTCGCAGCATTGGCCTGGTCCGAGGCTCCATCTGGTTTTCGCTCCTGTTGAAAATGTTTCTTTGTCTCGTCCTCAGCCAAGAAATCCCGTGCAGGTGTGGTAGTCAGATCATTCGTTGACTTTGAAGGCACAATTAATTTTTTGGGATCGTGTCCTGGAGTTGGGTCCGCTGCAAACAACTTGAAAGAGTTATCTGTCATTCGTGGTACCTTCCAGGGGAAGCGGCGAAGAGTCATGCAGCAAAAGATGATAGCCAAAGACCAAATATCTACAGCCACAGCGTCATATTCTTTGGAGTCGTAAACCTCGGGTGCAAGATAAGGGTCAGAGCCGACGATACCTAGGACAAATTAGTCGAAATTCTTACACCTGGTCACTATAGCCAACTTACCTTTAGCAGATACAGTGTCAGTCTCAAAAGGATATTTGAAGACATGAGCACTACCAAAATCGATGATTTTCATAATGCCCTTGCTGCTCACAACCACGTTATCCAGCTTCAAATCGCGATGTGCCAGTCCCACGCTGTGCAGATAGGTTACACCGTTGAGAATCTGAAGGAAGCAGCATGTTATCTCTTCCCTCGACATCCGGCCGGTCATGACTATTGCGAAGAGATCAAACGGCGCATATTCCATTACTTCGTACCAACGTCCCTTTTCTTGCAGAATGTCCAATGTTTCGATGATATTGCCATGGTGAAGAGTTGACCCAACACAGAACTCAGCAGTCACCTTTTTGTTGTACTCCTTTTCGGTTTCGTAGGTGTGTCTCGCACGGAACTCCTTCACGGCAAATACGGTGCCATCGTCCTTGCGCTTCATCAGCCTGACCGAACCGCCAGCTCCGGATCCCAAGAATTTGCCAAGCTTTCCATACTTGGAAGAGAGACCATGATCATCTCCGAAAGGTAGCTGCTGGGTCGATTTAGGAGCGGCTGGGGCCGCCTTGGAACCAATCTTGATTGATGGCGCTGGAGACGACTCCCTCTTCTTGTTGTTATGCCCTCCCTTGCGAAAGAACCGCTTCAAGTCTGCCATCGAGCCATGTCCGGTGTGAAGGCTACCAGTGGTAGCACTATCGTTGTGCGTTAACTCCTCACTACTGTTTCTCGCACTGCCGCCGAAAATCGAGGATCCGCGCTTTTCGTTGAGGTTTGCTTTAGATCCGTGAGGAGAACTGTGCTTCTTCTTCCGAGAGAAAATGAATCTGGGATCAATCGAATGCTTTGTAGTGTGTGCTGCTGGTGCTGGGCGTCGACCTTTGGCGTATGGATCATTGATATCACCACCAGGGGTAAATGGCTTCGAGTAAAAGTGGGATGCTGAGCTGCGAGAAGGGCTCGACTCTCGGGAAGCAGGTACTGAACCGGCCCCGCCTCCAAACATACCTCGGCGATGAGGTTGGTGCTGCTCTTCAGCTGAGGACGCTCTACGAACCACATGATCCGAGGCAGCTCGTTGAGCCGAGGGTCTCCTGTCGGGAGCTGCCGATGCTCTGTCGTGGGATGACGATGGTTGTGGGGTGATAACTGGAGGCTCGTTCGCTTTTGATCCTTCTCTAGACTTTCTATCCGAACTAGCCTGACCGGATCCCGCGGGAGTAAGGGGAGGAGACGCCAATGAAGAGATTTGAGGGCTGCTGTGTGGGGATTGGAAGCTGGCAGAAGTGGGTGTGGGCAGTCTCGTAGACTGACCGGATTCATCTTCGTGTGATGGAACCTGCGATGACATCAGTTAGCGTCAGTCACAGAACCTTGTGTTATGACGGTGCATTGGGCTCTGGGTATGCTACAGCACTCAGGTTGCAGAAACCGGCGAACAGCAGTTTGAGTTACAAGTTGATTGCGAGGGTGTTACAGAGATTGCATGTGCGTGAATAACGAGATAGGGGAACATACTCGAGAGGGCGGGAGTGAGATTGCTTCAAACTGGCAGTTGTTAAGGCGCAGTTCTTGAAGAGGTCGTCCGTGAAGTGACTTTGTAAATGCCTTGAGCTGGTCTGCCGTTACTTCTGTGAAAGGACTCGATTGGTCTCCATCTTCCTGTTCTAAGTTCGATGACGACGGTTCAACGGCAGCCGGTTGCGTGGGCGAGATCTCCTCGACGGCGGAAGAGAACCGGACACCGGAAGCATCTTCAGGTGTATCATTTTTAATCATGGGAACCACTATTTGAGACTGTTGACTCGGTTTTGGAGATTCTAATAGAGCTGTTTGTTAGCGATTATACCACGACCGTTTCGCATCGTACTTGAGTGCGCAAGAGCAAGTAGGTAGAGTATCAAGGTGGGGCAGCGTTAACCCGGCAGAACCGGAGAATAAGCTTACCAGAGGCGTCTTGAGAGCGCGGAAGCTCCTGTGATGGATTTGAGGAAGCCATCGGATTGGGGATGAAAGCTAATGATGGGTTGTAATCCAAAATATCAGAAAACAGACCAAAATAGCAATATCGGGGAGGGTTGTGAAGGAGAAGCGTAGACTAAAAGAGATGGGAAGTGTTGCGACAACGATCCATGATAAAAGAAGATGGCCCGTCTACGCTGGTGGGGGTCCCACTTTATTCAATTGCTCTGCTCCCACCTTTTTTGGAGGTGGACAGTTCCTTTCCCTCCGGTTTCGTTGCTTTCCTGGACAGCCTGTGCAATGGCTAGTGCCCGAGAGGTCCTTTTTGCGGCAATGCGGGTGCTAGAAACACGCTAGAGGCACACTAAGAATGTTTCTTGGCACGGGGGCTGCGATCATCTCCAGGTACCTCAGTGAGAGTTTGAGGTTATTGCTGTTTCAATGGTACTCGTATATGTGCGAATATTCACGTTGACAAGAGTCAAACTTACAAGAACAGCCATAGCAGTTCAACCGAAGCCTCGTTGCTCTTGATTTGATCTGTTCACAAATACAATAGCTCAGAAAAGCCACTCGATAAATATCAAGAGTCATGTACTTTGACTTATGAAGCTCTTCTGGCCCTGGCGCATCACTAAGCAAGGCTCCTTGTAAAGGAAAAAAATTCAACATGCGGAATTGGAGAAATGTGAACGGTACCCGTGCACAACTGAATGTCTCACTCATTGTACTTGTTACGAATGTATTCTTTTTAAGTTAATAGCCTTCATATGACTAATTATGACTCAATTGTTAATTCCATGATTAACACCGGCCAAGCGTTGTGCTAAACGTATACTGGTTCATGATGTAAAGATTTAAGGACGAACGACAATAAGTATATGGCAACTTTACTCAGATCCATGAATACCCTCACCCTTGTCAAGCGCATCGGGTAGCCCCGATCTGGGTCACCGCTCAGCTTTGTTTCTTGGTCGACAATATAAGCAATATATCAACAATCTCGGTTGGTCGCACAATGTCTTAGTTCTATTAACACGAGAGGCACCGGCACACGTGCCCATCAACATAATACTTTTTATAGCATTGTGAAGCTGTTCAAATCCATGTTAAAGTAGTACGAACCATACACGGAAACATGGGAAGGGGATGTATCAATCACAGCTGCTATTGTCCGCTTCTGGAACAGAACAAGAATTTTTCTCTTCCTCCATTTCGGAATTCTAGCCCAGGGCGGAGCTGCCGACCAAGCTTCGGTCGCCTCCAAGCCTGCTGAGGATATCAAAAATTCTTTCATCTTTAACCAGTGACGAGCGTGTCAACGGAAGTCATCAACTCCACATTTTAACAAAATGTGCTGCTATTCATTTCTGCTTTCCCTGTAGTAGAAAGAACTCCGTAACCGATTGAGTGCTTTTTGAGTATAATATGTAAGCATTACACACTATAGTGCGGCTCCATGTGTTGAAGGGATGGTCAAGTGCCGCTCAAGTCCTATTAAATGGGACCACCAGATAGACTAATATCAATAAGAGCTATTAAACTTTGAGAAGCACCCCATCAAAGACTAATACCAATACTCGGGTTTTTCTTTAATGGTTGGTCAGTCGGTCGTGGTGTGTTCATAGGTTGTGCTAAAGGAAGAAGAAGTGGGCTGCTAGCAGTGCTTTTGTATTGTGTGAGAATTAGGTTACTTCTTGAGCCCCTACATTTTGACCTTAAAGCTTCAGAGCGAGGGGAAAAGTCGGTATTAAACTTTAGAAATCGTGTAAAACCATCAAATTAATGGTTGATCAGTTCTAGTAACCAGTTAGCATCAGAAGATCCTTTCGTAGTTGTCGATCTTTCGTTTACATGCAGGAAACGGTTGTTCGTTTCAGTTACATAAAGCCTGTAAGGACATACATATCGGATTGCAGTCGGGTTTACTTCCATCATCACGCCTGGGTTTTTCATTTAGGTTGCTATTCTGGGATATCACAATGACAAATATGCAGTCCCACAGGCTTATATATCAACCCTCATACTTAGTCCTTGCCCAAAGCAACGTTATTCGAGATACACCCTGACCTATCGCAGGTGAAATACAATACAGTATTATGCATGCATAAATTGACCTTTTGAGGCCTTCTGCAAACCACATATACTATAGATTGAATTCCCTGGTCACGCAAGATATGACAAGGCTGGTCAGTTTTCAAATATCAATGTCGTATGCCTTAGAATCCGGCCTTTGTTATAACGAATGATACTCTGTACATTTCTTATTAGGAAGCCCATGCTACGAACCACCCAGCCTCACACGCTTCGCATTATTCTCTGACTGATTCTCCCTATTCTCCTCAGTCTCCAATGACGCGGCTGCCTCCTGCGTCTTCTCAAGCTCGTACAACCCCAGTCCCGTCACCAAATCTCAGGCATCGCCCATGTCCTCAAGGGATTCTTTCTTCCTGGTCCTGGATCTGAGATCAAAAAGTTTAGTCCACACAGCGTTTTTACTGCGGTCCGGCCCGAACTTTTCATGGAACGCGCCCAAAACGTCTTTTACTGTCAGAGTACAGTCCTCCAGAAATTGCTCTTCGTCTGCTGTCCAAGGACGATTCCTTACTGAAGGACCCCTTACGGCTGTCATGTTCCTCATCTTACCATCAATCGTTTTTTGGAACGACCAGTTCCGAACTGATCCCAAAATCGCTTGCACACCTCCTTCGGCTTAAGGCCTAAAGCCTTCCACTCTCGAATTCGGTCTTCCTCTTCTTCAGTAAAAGGTTGTTTTGATGTGCCACCGGCGGTGAAGCCTTTTTTCAAGGCTCTTCTCTTGCAACCTTGCGATGAGCGTTTGACACCAAATTTCTCCTCAAGCAAAACAGCAATCTCTTTCAGCGATTTCTGTTCCTCGCGCAGAGATTTGAGGTAGACGTCCTCTTCATCGGTCCAAGGCGCACCTTCACTCGGGACCGGTGAGCCTAACTTGTTTTCGGAAGCATAACCTCTGGGCCCCTTTTTCGTTCTGCCGGTGTCAAACCTTTCATTAAATGCGTCAAGGATCTCGTCCCAGGTCCCAAGTGTTTGTATAAGCTCGATCAGATACTCCCGTTCAGCAGTAGTCCAGGACGTACGCTTATGTTGGGCTGGCTTATACTCAGGAAACTTAACTTTTCTGATCCTTTCTTCTTTCTTGTCGAGGGAATATTCCCCACGATGGGGGAACTTTTTTGTGAATTTGTATATTCGAGTTTGCCTGTTGTCCCCTAACTCTAGGAGATATTCCAAATACTCACTTTCTTCGGCGCTCCACTTTGTCCCTTTGCGTTCGAGGATCTCCTCCTCTGTTGGTGAGTCCGCTGGTGGTGATTGGTCATGGGAAGGTCCCGAATCCGAATCAAGAGCAGTCAGCTTTTCTTTCGTCTCTGGCCGAGGCAGAATTCCTGGTGATACAAGACTTGCTGGGATATCTGTCCTAGAAAGAAGGTAGCACTGGGATTGAAATGTGTACATTGCCTTCTCCCAAGCCTAGGCGATCATCAGGCCATAAGTATCACAAAACCCATGTATGGCGATTCCAGGCATGCTCGCTCAAATCTTTACATCTATTTCCTTGAAGCGGCCTTGGTGAATCAAGAATTCTTTCACCCACACGGGTGACAAGTCTGGGTTCAACAAGGAATCGTCAGTCCGGCGCCCTTCGAAGCTATAGGGATGCCTAGTACTGGAAAGTGCGGTGTCTTTCAAGTCTTCATACAAGATTTTCTCGGCATTTTGAGCCTCGGGTGGTAAGGAACCACTTTCAATGAATTCCAGAACCCACTGGAACCGGTGCTTCAGACGATCAAGGTCATCGACCTTCCATGTCGCATCAAGCCCTCCAATGTAAAGGACTTTCCAAAATTGTGCATACGTCGCGTCGGCGCTTTGGAATGTGCTCTTGTGCCATTTACTCGTGATATGTTTCAGAACACGAAGACTCGAACATTTGTGCTGTGCTACTTCTGTTGGAGCTTCAATTGCGGGAGGGATTCCGAGGCATGAGGCATTGGCCTTTACCACCCCGTCACTTCCGGTCGCAACGAAATCGTTGGCAAAAGCCATTGTCTCCAAACGTACCCAATCGGAGGCCCAGACGTACCCTGGCTCTACTTCGGCTTCATCGACGTCTCGTTCATTTTCTGGGTTCAGCTGCGTGTATCTTATCGGCGCGAACAAAGGACACTCTTCACCTGCCAAGTCCTTCGATGGCTTGTAGGTCCAAGGTGGCAGATTATGTGTTTAGTTCGGTTCACGAAGGCGATCTTTGGATAATAACTAGTTATTAGAAACGCGCTGGATGCCACCGACAAGAATGTACTTGGCCGGGACCCTGTCCGCCAGTAGTTGCGCCCTTACTCTATGCCACAGCTCGATCAATCTGTCGCCAGACATTGCAGGTATGGATGTTGGGGGGGGGGGGGGGGGGGTTGATACTTATCCCATGCTCAATGAGGATTTGACTTCCGAAATATAACAAAACATCTCGAGTCCGTCGAAAAATATCTTGAGGCATGCGACGTTCCTTTACAATCAGCCGCTCAGGCGCCACTTCTGCCATCGTGTCAGTCAGTGCCAAAACCATATACATAACTCCACTTACCGTGAATACCTTCCCAAACATCTCTTTGCAGTAAACGCGACAAGTGAAATCGAAAAAAAAAACTCGATTAAAGAGACGCGGATCTGCTTCCACAAACCCCGTACGTCTAAGGAGCTCGCGTATATGCCATGATGTCTCCAGCCCATTTTCCAGGGCAGGGATATGGTAATAAAGATCATTGTCGTCCTGCGGATCTTGTACGAGGCCCTTTAGGAGCAAGTGGCATTTGATTTCGTAGGCAGTGGACCAAATAAATCGCCATTTACTCGCGCAGCATGAAAGGAGACCTGAGGTAGAGTCGGCCATAAGCATATCGTATGCAGATTTGACATCCTCTATGATTTTAGTGATACGGTAGTCACGAAGTTTCTCCACTAGAAATGCAGCAATGAAATAGAGGTGCTTAATCGTGTCGCCCATTTCTATTCGTGGGAACGGGAAGACTGTGAGGACTGAAATTTCCACTTTCGCAATCCCAGCATGCGCCAATCGATCATGCGCATGCAACGATCCTTTGATCTTTTCAGAGCTTGATTTCGTTTTTGAAATCTTGGTCCAATGTCCCGCTGCGCGTTGTCGTATGCCGACTGACCCATTCCCGTCGGGTCTCATGGACATGGCCTGTCCACAATAGCCACTGTGCTCTGAAAGGTCTGCAGTGTCGCTATCCTCGGGTACACCATGAAGAAAGTATATCCCAATCATATTGAGAATTCCTTTTCCATCCGGCACCAGTGTGTGACTTTCCAGAATATGAAACAGCGATCGCACATCGCGATGGCCCAATGCGGCCCTGCAACTAAAGGATCTGACGTGAGGGTGTAACAGGAAAGACAGTAAGGCGTTACGTATTTTCTCATCTGAGTTGGATTTCATCCAATCTAGCATGACACCGGTAAACAGTGATTTAGGAGACTTTGGATTTGTAGTTGAACCTGATGCGTCGAAGATGCGCTCGAAGATTGATAAAAACCAGCCATCATGCTGTTGAATCTTTTCCTGTAAAGACTGTGGTACTGTTACAGTGTCGTTAGCATGGATGGATTCATTGCAAAGGGAGATTGGGAGATTGTTGACAGCCACTTACAACTGTCTATTGTTGGTGGGGGACCGCACGTGTTTTCGATTTCTTTGATTAAAGTCTCGATGTCTGTGATTTTCATGGTCTTCAGTGGTGGCACTGTTGGCTCTTTAGAAGTGTTCTCAGCATCTAACGGTGCGCCGTCTTCGCCTTCCTCAAGAAGATGGGGGCTTGTTATTCCATTCACGAAATTCTCGTCATTGGCTAAATCTTCAATGAACTGATGGAATTCTCCTGCTTCGTTCAGTAACGGCAGTGGATGATGGCGTGCGACCTTCTGTCGCTTTGCGTTAGGTGCTGTACATGCTTCTTTTGAACGTTTCCCTTCACGAACTCGGTAGTCATCAAACGAAGAACCCCAAGATCCGCTGGCAGGTGCGTCAGCTTCCATCCTTGGGACTCGACGGACTCGGTAAAAGAAAACAGAGTCGGTATCCTGACTATATCAAGTTTGTCCTGAAGAGTCTAGTATCGCATGAGTGAAAAAGTGTGCTAGTAGGCAGGACGGGATATCCGAGTGTAAAAGAGTGAAGATAATCGTGTTGAATCTTGGAACCCTCGAAGAAGGACAGTTAAGGTGGGAATGTGCCGTACATACTAAGGCAGAAAGGTATGTGAATGTGATAAAAAGCCTGCATGGCAACATGCCACTGTCCTGCCACTGCCGGCCACTGTTGCCTATTATTGAATATACTGTCTACTACCAGACAGGTAACTACATGCCAGACTCTTTACTTACTAGTCTAGTAACTGACTAAAGTATTAAATAGTGCGTCTGCCGCTGAAATACAACTGCCGTAATTAATTGGTTAGGTAGTTGGTAAAATTTCTTCGTCATAATCCGAAGTGTAACTATTCCCAGTGAAATTCGGCGAGTGTAAATAACCCCAGTTGGATCTCCTACTGGTTTCTATACCGTTAAAAACTTAAAATGTCTACACGTTCGTGTTACATGAGTACTTGGGGAAGGTAATGTGTTTCTGCAACTGCTGTCCCGGTCGACTGACTGTGTTACGCTGATGGCCACGAGTCTTTCAACTTGTTCACCACACTAGAAACTGCGAACACTTACAGAAAGGACTGTATAGCAGCTTACTATCAGTAGCGGCGGAAGATCTTATGCTTCTCTTCCTGGCCATTATGCAACCCCTGGCTGTTACTGAAAGATGTTGCCCGCTTCTAGGGACTGGATATTCTTGCTAACCAGGTCTAGGTTCCATTGTGTGACCCATGGAAACACCAAAGAAGTCCACCCCCATCTTGAAATGCTTAGGGGCATGCAAAGTCTGGCACAACAGTCGTCCTCGATAAAGTTCGATTCTCACCTCGACGGTCTTGCCTCGTGACCTTAGATAACTGCTTTCCATATTCGATCACTCAGTTTTTACTCCGAATAGCAACCATGTCTTTCTGGTTACACCGATAGCATCCGCATGGAAACTGACAATCAATTTGCCCAGAACATATAAACATAAAAAAAAACAAGTGACCAAATTCCGCCTTTTGTACGTTGAATACGCGGTCAAGAAATTATTCTTTTGAGGCTAAAAACTCGGGCCTTATCCATAAACTGTTGTACACTTGTAATATCTTGCTGGGATTCTTTATACATGCCACCTGCGTGGTCTATCATTTTCTTGATTCGCAAACGCTCCTTAAGCCACCACGTCGATACCTATTGACTTTGCTTGAAAAATGACTGCTCTACAAAGACCCTCAAGAGACAGACCTGAGAGTCGGAGCTCAGACTGCTTGATCTTCGCGATCTCGTAAACGTGCTTCAAAGTGATGGTTCCAACAGTCTCGTGACCAGGATTGCTGGCACCCTTTCTTTTTCCCTTCTTCCCCAAGGGTGCTTCAACAGCGTTGAGGAGAAGCCATGATGTTTGTGGTGTTCGGACATCAAAGGTGAAAGATCGATCAGGACGGACGGTGACTCGGCAAGGAACTGGTGTACCGGTGATAATGTGTGCGGTTCGGGCGTTGAACTCCTAGTCACAAGTCAGCATATAATCGACATACAAGTTTCCTCATGCTCTGTCTGACCTTGCAAAAGTCCATCGACTTCACACCCTTGGAACCCAGAGCAGGACCGACAGGAGGACTGGGACTAGCCTGTCCAGCTCCCACGATCAACTTGACGATCTGGTCGACGCCTCCAGCACCTCGAGCTTTGGACATGACGGCGGTTGTGTTTGAAATTGAGGAGTATCGTGATGCGACGATTTTAGTGGTGTTTTGCGAGCTGAAGAAATTCGAGAACCACTTCGAAAAGCTTTGGTGTTCTGATTGGCCCGTGACGTGGTCATGATGCCCCACCGCCAGGTTGCTCCACTGATCAGACTTTCTTTTCCTCAACTCAACTACGCTCAGAAAAAAAAAAACTTGAGAGACGCATCTTCAACAACTCTTCTTTTCCTGCACGCGGGTTTGCGCAACAACCCTGACCTCGCTCAGCTCAGACAAGAGAACCTGAGGGTCGCGTCCTCGATACTCAGCCTTCTTGCTTTTCCACAACAACCTTGACTGCGCTTAGCTCACACAACAAAACTTGGGAATCTCATCCTCGATACAACCCTCTTCTTGTTCAGGCGGCTTTGCGCAACGTCTTGACTGTACCCAAATCAGAATAAAGAACTTGGGACTCTCATCTTCGACACTCAGCCACCTTATTCAAGCGGTTTTCCATACCAACAACAATGCCTTCCACAAACAACAAAGACAAGCCTTGGGACTTGGACGACATCGACAAATGGAAGGTCGAACCTTTCACAGCTAAAGACAACGTCGGCGGTCCATTTGCCGAGGAATCAAGCTTCATGACACTCTTCCCACGCTACAGAGAGTCTTATTTGAAGGAGGTATGGCCTCTGATTACTCGAGCACTTGAGAAGCTCGGTATTGCTTGCAGTCTAGACCTTATAGAAGGTGCCATGACGGTTAAGACAACTTTGCGTACGGCTGATCCTTCTGCAATTCTTAAGGCCAGGGACTTGATCAAACTGCTGGCAAGAAGCGTCCCTGCACCTCAAGCTATCAAGATTCTCGAGGATGGTATTGCCTGCGATGTCATCAAGATTCGTTCCTTGGTGGGTAGTAAAGAACGCTTTGTAAAACGCCGCCAGCGACTCCTTGGGCATAACGGTACAACTCTCAAGTAAGAATCCGGTATTTTCATCGCCAAGAAGTTTAGCTAACCACTTCAAAGGGCCCTTGAACTTTTAACAAAAACCTATATTCTCGTCCATGGAAACACAGTATCAGCCATGGGTCCCTACAAGGGACTGAAGGAGATTCGACGAGTCGTGGAGGACTGTATGGCTAACATTCACCCCATCTACCACATCAAGGAAGCTATGATAAAGCAAGAGCTTGCAAAGGATCCTGAACTTGCTAACGAGAGCTGGGATCGCTTCCTGCCCAACTTCAAGAAAAAGACACTCAGCCAGCGACGTGTGCCTCATAAGGTCAACGACAAGGCCAAGAAGGTCTACACACCATTCCCTCCAGCTCCTGAGAAGAGCAAAGTCGACAAACAGATCGAGTCTGGCGAGTACTTTTTGGGCAAGGTCGGCAAGGAGCGTGCTGCTCAGGAGGAGCGCAGGGAGAAGCAGAACAAGCGAAAGGAGGAGAAGATCAAGGAGCGCGAGGCCGACTTTGTTCCACCAGAGGAGAGTCGTCCCAAGAAGAAGCGTAAGAAGACGGAAGAGTAAGCAAGGGGAGCTTCCGACATTGCATATTGCATGGGTGGGCAACTGGTGTGAGTTGCGTCAATCTCATGTGCAAGCTCTCGAGGTGTATGATACCCTGAAAAATTACCTGGCGTTCTTGTTTCTATTTGAGGATTAATAGCTGAGAAAAACTGTTTTCGAATAGTTATGTCTAATATTTGTGATAAGGCATTACATCATATTTGTCAATCGTTCGTTTACAGCTTTGAAGATGCGTCGTTGCCAGAATCCCACTCAATCACTAGCTTTCCAAACTGCTTACCCTTATCCATATCTTGGAAGAGGTCATCAATGCCCTGGATGTTGTCTAATCCTTTGACCGTTCTGCTGACGATAGGCTGGATCTTCTTATCGTTTACAAACGCCACCATCTCCCGGAACTCCTTGCGAGATCCCATCGTGGATCCCTTCAGCTCAATGTTTTGTAGATTTGCAGACATAAGCCAGTCCATCTTTGGTGAAACAGTCATGCCATACTGAACAATTACTCCGCCGGCCTTGATCAACCGCACAGTTTTACTCACAATCTCACCCCCTGCGCCGTCAATGACAGCATCGATATATGGCCGGTCAGCTGGCAGTTGTGCTCGAAGCTCTTTATCCCATGCCTCATTCTTGTAAATGACTCCGCCCTGTGCGCCCATCTCCTTGGCCTTTGTGATCTTTGCTTCATCGCCGGATGTGACAAATACATTGCAGCCCTTTGCTACCGCGAACTGAAGTACTTGCAGCGCAACACCGCCTCCGATGCCTGTCAAAAGCACATTTGCGCCAGGAAAGGCAGCGTTGCTCTTGGTGACTAGCGCGCGCCAGCCCGTAAGACCAACAAGAGGTAGAGCTGCTCCTTCGGCAGGTGTGAGGTGCTCGGGAGCGGGTTCGACCTCTTGTTCTGACACTACGATGTAGTCCTGGGCAGTGCCGACTTCGGTGAGCTTGGAGCCACCAGTGACTGCGAACTTGCGGCTATCCTCTGGGGCGGCAGGATCTGAGTCCCAACCGCGCATTGGAGTGAGGATAACAGGCTTGTTTAGGAGTTCCTGGCGGGTGACATTGGGTCCGAGAGCGACGACAGTACCATAGCCGTCTGCCAGGATGGGGTTGGTGAATGAGATGGCTGGGTAGAGATGGCGACGCATGAAGAGATCACGGTGGTTGAGCGCAGCCGCCGAAAGTTTAACTAGAACTTCATTTGGGCCCGGCGTTGGTTTGGGCACTTCCTTGATATGAAGTCTATATACTGAATTAGTAACTGTGTTTGGATTTTAAGAGCAACTGTTCTGACGGATAGTAAACCTTGCCCGGCTTTGCGCCTTCGATGTGCTGTAGAGTGAGAGCTCGAGGCATAATTGCTGCTGTGATACTACCAATTTACTTGGAATTCAATGTGAAATGGGAAGAGGATTGCCGCTTGTAATGATTACTCGAAGCTGTTTTGATGTAAGAGGTAGTTGGAGCTAGAAAGTATGTACGAGATAGCCATCGAATAGCCATGGCCCCGCAGCGTAGACCTCGGCTGTTAGATCTAGCTATACAGAAGCACGGGTTCGATGATGCAAGAGCTTGGAAATCGTGCTTTTGATTAATAATATTCAGTATCTAGGTCAGTAGATCGTTTGGTAATTCCCGATGCCATTTTATTCTTTTTTTGAGGTATAGATATTTTGATGCTTCTGTGTGGTCAGCTAGCCAAACACATGGAGTTCAACACGGGGATCATGGGTAAAAACAACCCTGCGATTGGCAACGAAAGGGAATTACGCACTAAAACTTAACTTTATATCTACACCATGAGCTCGTAATATCATCCGAGCCTTTAAAATAACAGATAACTTTCATATACAACTTCAATCGCTCCTTATCATTGATGAACAACTTACCCTATACAAGAGTACAGAACATAGATTTCGTCTTAATGTGTAAACGCCAAGTAAAGCAGGCATTGGTTTTGGTCTGTTTCACGTCATCGATGCTCAAGCCAATTATATATTTGTTTTAACTTATAGATGCGTGGTCATAAACATATTGTATCACTCATTCCTGCGATCTCCCACATCAGAGTTTGGTAAGCTCCTATGGTATATAGCCAAGCACGGCCTAGCTAAGATGGAAGAGATGAACAAATCAATATATGAATTTTGAGGAGCATATCGTATTGTTTTTTTATCTTAGTAAGAATGTTTGTTAAACGGTTTGGATGGTCTAATTTGTCTTTGGAATTGTACCATCTCACACGTTAAGAGGTGTTGCATGTCGCCGCTGACCAACACTCCGAAAATCGGCGTCTAACAAATAGTCGTCACAATCATCAAGCAAGCAAACATCCACCCCCAAACCGTTTAGACACCAGGAGAATTTCCAAATGGCTGCGCTACTATCAGGCGCAGTATATGGTGCCTCTACGATAGCAGGAGGCGCGTATTTACCCTCAACAATCATCGATCAATTCAAGTTCCAGGATTGGCATCTGTTGCAAACCACTCTTGGTGCCGTTGCAAGCAGTGCGTAAGTAACCGTATTTCACATTCGACACCCAAACACATACTAATATACTGCAAAAAAGAATCATATACAGAATTGCTGAACATTTTGGCTACGTTAAGCTCAAGCCTAGAAGCTCTTCTCCCATTGGTTTATTTGGAAAGTATGATGGTAACGTCATAGGCGGATTTCTGCTTGGAGCTGGTATGGCTCTTTCAGGATCTTGCCCTGGGACATTGTTTGCACAAATTGGAGCCGGCTTGCGGACAGGTTTCCACGCCCTTGGCGGAGCTCTTGTTGGTGGTATTGCATACACTGGTTATGTCGCGCAGACAGCCAAGGCTCAAAGGGAAAAGGCAGATGTGAAACCTGAGACAGTTACTCTTGACGAGAACCTCGGCCTTTCCAAAGACACAACTACCGCTGTATTCGAATCTGCCTGCTTTAATGCAATTGCTGCTTCAGTCACCTACACCACTGGTTCGGACTGGTCGCTCTTCTCAGCGGGCGGCGGTCTGTTCATCGGACTTTCGCAACTCTTCTCCATTCTCACCCGTCGCTCTATGCTGGGCATCTCAGGTTCCTACGAAGAATTTGGTAACCATTTCTGGTGGCTTACACGAGGCACTTCTTGGCCCAGTAGCCGGCAGAACACATTGTTCGCTGCGGGCATGGCATCTGGTGCTTGGGTTCTTACCAAGATCTTTCCTTCCTTTGTACCCAGTGATATCGTTGAGGTCAACCCATGGTTTGCCGGAATCGGAGGTTTTATGATGGTTGTGGGCTCAAGATTAGCAGGAGGGTGCACTTCTGGGCATGGTATTAGCGGCCTGTCTTTGATGTCGACGTCAAGTCTGGTCACCATGGGTACTGCGTTTGCTGCGGGAAGTCTGGTTGCCCCTTTGGCACACTAGAAGAAAAGTTGGCATGTATCTACGTAATCCACAAAAGTCTGCCCATGGTGCAATTTATCAACTACAAAAGAACCCGAAAGTCCACAGTTGGGCAAAGCTTTTATTGGACATCTTCGTTGAGGTTCTAGATGGCATACATGGGTCTATTTGTCCTGTTTACCACATCCTATTCTAGCAGTGACTTCGATTTCAATCTTCATCTCTTCCTTCATCAATGCAGACTGTACCATGGTTGCAGCGGGACGAACCTCTCCAAACCACTTCTTCAGTACTGGCCAAGTCTTGGGAAAGTCATCTCGATCAGGAAGAATGTATTTAACACGAACGACGTCAGACACTGAAGCACCAGCGGACTCGAGAGCAGCTGCGATATTGTTCATGGTCTGGTCGGCTTGTTTAGCAACGTCGGGTGATATCTTTCCGGTTGTGTAATCATAGCTAACGCATATTAACATGTTTTCATTCACAAAGTGGAAGTATATAGTTACCCAGTAGTACCACTGACGAATACCCAGTCGCCAGTTGCGACAGCTCGTGAGTATCCGATTTGCTCTTCAAAGGTAGAGCCGGAGCTGATGTTCCGACGGGAAGTCATGATAAAAAGAGATTTGGCCCCGAGAGTTGTGTAACCAAGAAGATGGGGTTTGAAATGCCGAGGAAGAGGGAGAACAAAGGAGAGTAGAAGTAGGAAAGGTATTGTGATCGATTTGGTTGTTGTGAGTCACTTACACTATTCCAAATATCACCTTGACTGAGTGGAGTCGTTCGGTAAAGCCTCACTCTACGGATATGAAGCAGGACCAGTAGATATCGCATGCTATGAGATTGAAGAGATATAATTGCTGGCAATTTTTCGCTTACTCTTGTTCATAATTTGCTTGTTGAGCATGTTTTGAGAAAGTAAGTGGTGAGTGGAAATACCCAAAGCATTGATTCGTGCAACCAGCTGGTATCTGATTGATTTCATAACAATCGTAACGCTAGTTTATACGATAGTATACATATTTTACACCATGCATAGACATGCATCAACCGTCTTAGCCGGTAAGTTCCTTGACCATCTTGGACAACTCCTTCTTGTCAACATCCTTACCCTCAAGAGCACCAGACAATCGCTTCATGACATCTCCCATGATGGACTTGGCCTGAACACCAGCAGCCTTGGATCCCTCAACAGCATCTTGTACCATGGCCTTGAGCTGAGCCTCAGTCAAGCTCTCGACGCCGCTGTTGGCAATGTACTCGTTCAGCACCTTGATCTGATCCTCCTCCTTCTGAACGAGATCATCGCGGTTGGCGGCCTTGGCCTCCGCGGCAGCATCTTGAGAACCCTTTTGAATCTTGCGGATCAATGCGACGAGCTGAACATCGGTCTTGATGGGGGTTGATGTCTTGGAAGCGTTGAGGTTGGCAGACATGATAGCTCGAAGGACAGTCAGACGGGGGGTGTCCTTGGCGCGCATGGCAGTCTTGAGGTCAGCCTTGAGCTTGGAGAGCAGAGGAGCAGGCGCATCTTCGGTAGATGTTGAGTAGAAAAGGCAGACAGAGATTCGGTTGACGGGCTGACGGATAGTGGACTGAGACGTGCGCAGCGCCCGGAAAAGTTGCATAGAGTGTCTTGAAGCCATTTTGGAAGCTGATATCAAGAGTTCTGCTGAGATATTCGTTTGATGTAGGGCGTGCAGAGGCTGTTTCGTTTGGCAATATGATCTGAAGAGCTGGAGCTGGAAATCGGACGAGATGGGAGCTCAAAATTTCCCATGGCTGATGGCCCCAATTGACGATTGTGATTGGCGGGATGGACAGCTCCAGGGCATGTGCCAGTGCAGGACCCCAGACTGCTAGGGAACCCGTCTAGAACCTTAGCTAAATTCCCCGAAACTGTGATCCTACCCAGTTCCTGTCATATATGGGGAGTTATTGATAGAATACAGGGCATGACTGGACTGCTTGAGACGTTTCAAGATATCGAAGGCTGTTGGCCGTATTTCCGGGAGTTGGATGTAGACACCTACCAAGAGAACACATTTTACATTTTCGTTGAAATCTCACAGCAAGTAATAGCAACCATAATTTGTTCAACATTACACCTGCTTGCCCGCTACCCTAACTGAATGCTTCCACAATAATGCCTTCTTCCTTGATTGTTCAACACAGCTTGAGATAACGCTAAATCACCTGATCATTTCATGGTACGGCTAGGTACATACTCGCCTGTTCTTGAACAAGGATCGGGGATGATCCCGTTGATATTACATTCCACTAAGTTAGGTGTGTAGGATTACGCACTAGCTTTGGTGGAAGAGGAACAGACCAACGAGCGGCTTGAACATTGTTAACGCAGATCTATGATCAACTACCAAGGTATCTTCAGAAAAGCCCTAGACTAAACAATCAGCAAATGCTAGGGCTGGAAAACAGGTATAGGGGATACCCAGGAATGACCACCTCCTGCTTTGAAGCTACCTAACAAGTCACTGGTTGCGTTGTTGGTGGAGATGAATACATCGGCAGTTCAGCCAAAGGAGTTGACCGGGAAATGAGTACTGACCTTGCAGCCCAATGAGTGTTGGCTGCTAGATATATCCAAGTTTTGTTTGTATGCCGAGCATAAGGCACAAGTCCCTAGGTTGAATAAATGTCTCTTCATACCTGGATATTGGATTATCCTGTTTCTTCTCCCATCTTCCACCTATGTCTTAGCATTGCAGGGTCTCTCTGGCCAAGAGCCAAGGTTGCGGCCGTAAGTAACAAGTCTCTTACACATCGGTCCCAAGCTGTCGGTACCGAGTGTCCATTTACCAGTCGTTTACGACTCAAGTCACTCCTTAGGCCTTCATACACAACAAGGGATGGGCCGCCATTTCATGGATGTTGGAAGTTAAGGAGTTGACTCTTTTCTCCTTCTCTAGCCTGAGCACCTGCACTTTCCCTTCTCCGGCGCCTGCCCTCAAATTCTCACAGAATTTGTGTGCTTTTGCCTTGTTTGTCACCAATATATGGATTTTCATCCAATATCCCTCGATTATCCACTTGACAGCGCGCCACTGCCACTTGCCTTGCCAGCCAACAAAACTTTGTTTCAACGACATGGCAGTGTAACCTCCTATCGACACGGCTTCTTGCCAATACAAACATAACTGTCGTGTCACTTGTCAGAATAGAGAACAACTGCCCAAGGATTTGACCAACTTACAGAGGAAAGTATGCCTATAATCATCATCAAACCAACCAAGTCAGATCGCTAATCAAAAAGGCGGTCTCACAACACAAGAAATTCGAATCTTACCTTGAAAGCCGGGTTGCTTGCTTCGCTCCTCGCTTGGGCTACCAAAAGTTGGAAATCGGTGAAAGACATCCTATTCAAAGCTTAGTGGCACGGCATCCGTCAAGAGACTCCGGTCAACATACCCAAGAAATTGCGTGAAGGGGTACAGAGCCAACGAAGACAACAGCTGACTCACGTTATCCTTATTTGACACACCGATCTCATAATCTCGAGGAACTACTCATTAATCAGTTTCGAAATACACGAACAAGACACCATTCCATCATACTGCCCGACCAACCGCACATCGGTAATGTCATGAGTCTCGATTCGACTTCGGTAAAGCCAGCACTTCTCATCCAGCTTGCCATTTGCAATGGTGCTCGCGGGTCGTGGTGTGGCTCTTGACTTTCCAAGTATTGTCTTGACCACTGCGACAAAGCATGATCTACCTGGCATGGTCAAAATGAATAATCCAACAAGTCAAGGAGAATTCTCCACTTACCAGGGGTCAATGTGCCATTATCAGATTGGGCATTGAAATATATCTCGACAATCTGACACCAGCCACCAGGCTTCAAGACGCGGAAGATGTCTCGGACATAGCTTCTCCATCGATTTGCATGGATTCCTCCTGCTACCATCTGACTATGGACCAGATCAAAGTGGTTGGACTTGAATGTGAATCTACGGACAACGTTCGTCAGTGATCGTCAAATAAGCTGATGTCGAATAGCTTACCTCGCGTTCAAGTCATCAACCTGAAGCTCCATATTGTCAGGAGGGTTTTCTGGTATCATGTGTGGGCTTACATCGATGCCAAGAACCTGCACAAGACAACCAATCAGTCAAAGGTTTTCTCATTTTCGCCCCCTATACTCGATAACATAGGGGCCGAGTAATATAGTTCATGCCTCGCGAGATCAAACGCAACCCATGTCCTGGAGAGGCAGAAGAAGTGGCAGGTTACAAGCCATTTCTCAACAGTTGGATGTTGGGATGAAAATGACACCGAACTTCTCTTCTTTTTTGAATCCGCGTATAGCAACAGTTCACCAAAAAAAAAAAAAAAAAAGGCCCTCTGGAAATACACGGAGAACGTACCTCCGAATCAGGGTATTGTGTAGCGACTTCCATCGCCCAGTCTCCAGTACCACAACCGCAATCAAGCACTCTTCGCGGAGACCTGATAGGAGGGAATATAAGACGCCTGTCAAAAAGACCGCTGAGGACTCCATGCATCATCTCAAGACGCGAAACTTCGTCCTAACGAGATATATTATTTTCTGCTGAAGAACATGACATTGGAAGCGTCTTCACTCCTACCTCATCGATAGGCGCAAAATAAGTATCGTTTTTCAAGGAGTAATGTTGGTAAGAACGCCCACAATGCTCGACTATCTCAGTAAAGGTTTCGTCCAGAGGCACGGTACCATCTCTTTGCATAGGAACTTAGCAGAATTTCCATGTATAGGATCTTTGGCTGGCTTACTCGGCTTCCATCGTTTTCTGAACCCGACTCTCGGACCCGATGGTATGGGAAGTACAAGTGCGCTAATGGATGCTCAAAAGACGATAGCAGAGCTGGGCTCCTTTATCAAAAAAGGAATTTCAGACTACTATCGATCTTTGGGAAAACATGTGGTACCTAAAGCATGGCCCTAGTCCGACGTATAAGAGCCACCATAGTACCAGGATGTCAGGTCCGAAACGTGTTGCTACTATGATGGCCTTGCATCTAGCGGCCTTACAAACGTCAAGGGGCTTCTCGAAGATTGCGGAGATGATCTGGTGGACAGGCGAGACATGCGCCGGCAAATATGTGCTTCCTTTAAGCTTCAATGCCGATCTTCACGCCCCAGAACTCTGACTTGTTACTTGTGCTGAGCCAGGCAGGATTATAGTAAAGCGGGCTTACCATGGGGCTCCCTCCTTGTACCATTGATCATAGGAGCAAATACAAGGGTCCAGGGCGGATTCGACTGGGGCCTACCGGCATCTGGGCAAAACGGTGCAAGGCTGGCTTTTCTGCCTCTTGACGACACTCGGACGTTGAATTTGAAACCCCAATGGCCCATGATTGCTTGGACCACTGCGGCATGTTATTGGCCTGGGGCATGGAAATGACTCCCAGTGAGCAAACATGGAAATAACCAGCTATGAAGCCTCTGGTGGTCCCATCGCCATCCTACTCTATGGCTGCTTTGCTCGATGACACACGTTCCACTTGAAGTGGAGGGGCTGGACTGCCGCATGTTCGGATACGATTGCAGTCAACCACAATCGACTCCATGCAGATGCAGCTCCTGTAGAGCCAATTGCTGGACCCGTTTTGCGGCTTGATAGAATCTTCTCACCATCCAAAAAGTCAGGCACCCGGCTGTCGGGACTACTGCAGACCCCGTGTATGGCTTCAGACCATTATCCGCTATGGAGGGTGGCATCCACCAGCTTTGAACCATCTCATGCCAATGGTGAGGCTGTCCTACACCAACACTGGCAGCTGTGACCATAAGGCGAAGACGATGCTGAGGCGATAGCCCATCATGTGCGTAACAGCATTTCCGAAGGGAGGAAAAAGCAAGATCATAGTCACACAGAGAAAGCCTCTGGGTGCACAATCCAATGGAAGCCATGCTGATACCGAGGACGTGGGCGTGGGACCCCCTTAGGGAAACAGGCCCCTAAGCTTACCGTGCAACTATACTCAAGAGTTTGTTCGCTTTGCCAACGAATGGTCTACAAAACTCTGTTGGTTGCGTGTTATTATTGGCAAGGACAGTGAGCGAGCTCCCTTGCTGATATAACTTATTCCTCCCACAGAAGAAATCTTGGAATGCCAGGGTTTGTTGCGCAGATGCAACAGGAAGCCCACAGCCGGAGGACCTCCGTATCATCAAAAACACATTTCGACAGGCCTCAGCGATAATGAAAATGATCCACACTTGGAGCGCTAGAACTTCGAAAGCCAAACAAAGATAACCCTTGAACCAGGCTCCGAAAGATTCATCTCTTCACCGCTTGATGTGTCCACAACCAGAAAATTAAGAAGCTCGGCCAGGCGCAGAATATGCAAAGCGTGAATACAGGGGAGTCCTAGTGGTAGAGGTCCGCACGAAGGAGGTCTCTGTGGTCGCATAGATGCTGGCAATGGGCCGCTGAGTTGCATTGAGTTGTTTCCCGCGGCTGATGCGCACTTTGGACCCTCTTTGGTTGATCCTTTCTCTTGACCTGCTGTTATCATACGACCTGTCGAATTTGGCGCGGCGTGCCAACCGAGGGAGAACAGCAACCAATACCTCGTTGGCCTGATCTGTACTTGTGGACGGGCCGCTGCAGGTTGCCTTGGTGCAAGTGGCAAGATGGGGAACCAAAGTCATTGTCTAGCCCAATACGTTGAGAAAGGCCATTGAGAGACCATTGCTGATTCTACGAAAATACCACCGCGCGCTCATACAACCCATGACAGGGGTAATTGGACTTACCATATCTGGTGAGAGTTGAGGCGAACCATCAAATATTACAAGAGACTTGGAGACCGATGTGGGTACCGAGAGGACCCTCCCCTCCTCTGGCAGAGTGGAAGTGTTGAGGGAGGGAACATTCTTGTAAGTCTTGACCCGCATATGGTACTGTGCCCGTACCTTGACGGCTAAGGATTGCAGGTCGGCTGGTCACATGTAGGAGAGAAAAGTGACAAGAGAATCAATACGACCCAGTCCTCCAGCTTTCAAATTCGTGCGAAAAATCGAGAACACCGTGCGATTATGCCTATAGTGATGCCGGGCAGGCTATTGCAAGACCAAAAGCATCTCGATCATCCCACATAGACTGACTTGGACAAGTCTAGTGGCTGCTGGGACTACTAATAATGTACGGTATTAGGGGTATCCGCAGCCAGACTTTGAGGGCGGGTCGCCAGCATGGGAGTTTGTGGGGAGAGAAACCACCTTGTCAAGTCGCTTCAAAAGGTCTCAACTAAATGCCACCTCCTCTTGACGACGTGGTAAAGCATCACAAGGCGATCTTCTCCAGACGGATAAGCTCAACCGTGATGGACTTTTAGAAAAACGGAACAAAGACTCACAAGCGAGAACAGAGACACCTCGCAGCCATTTTAGCTTGCCCACCAATAAAGAAAGGTCAACACGCTATGCTAGAACTGCTACCACAAAGACAGGGGAGCCATGTTCGAGCCATAGTTTGCCGACCCAGACTCTCGGGATTTGACCAGAGAGCTGGGAAATGGTGGATTGTTGGTTGTTGGTAGTATAGTACGTACACTATATAGTACATCCCATAGAATCAAGACATGACACAGGATTTTTTTTGTCAATACAGTTGTTATACTGCAATATAGCCCTTTCTAAATATGCTTTAATCCAACACAGCCTATCCTGAAAAACGAGGGTTGTAATGAATGCTACCGAAATCATACACCAAGAATAGTTCAAGGTGCTGCCATAATATAACTTATTTTCAACCGTCATAATGCGTATGAACCCTCGTCTAGCAAATCCAAGGTAGAGCAAGAAAAAGCCAAGACTGAGACCACAATACTAGACTGCACTGTGCAGTAGCAATCATATTCTGGCTCTTGGCCCCGTGCCGTTTGCGCACATCACATCACGGCCTGCTGGTTGCCACTGATTCCTCATGCATGTCAGCTTGGATCCTCTGGCCGGCCTAGTTGCATGCGCCGTCGGTGTACTCGTTACCCTTCCTAGCCTTCCTCTTTCCAAGCGATACATAGTAAGAATGCATTGACTTCCACTGAGACACGCATATCAGATCAAGAGCATTGACCGCGTTGTCTCCCCGATGATCCCCTTACCAACCACTGTCATGCACATGAACCCAAACCAGTTAACGCCTGACAAAATATCCGAACAAACTGCTTATGTAGTAGAGGTTGATGCCGTGCAGATGTATCCTAATTACCCCTGGATGGGCAAGATTGAGATGACCCTGGCATGGAATGTAACGTCATGCCCTCAAGGGCCAGAGTAACTACGATATGATGTACAGCGGAGCCCGTCGTGGGTACCTAGCACCTGCAAAGTATCGCAAGACAATTGGTAGTTCACATCGTCAAGCAAACCAAGGCCAGCGTCTGCAACCAAAGTTTGAGGCCCTCACCAGCACTCAAAAACAGGGTTCCTACTCTTGACCGCTTCGAGTCGTTCAACAATGACCTTGCGTTGATTGCCCATCTGCCCCTCGGCCGCAGCATATCCAAGATCACCTTCGAGATCGTCTGTGTAGTTTTCATTGTCACCATAATACTGTTGTGCGATAGTGTTGCTATTGCGACGAGCAGCAGCGTTAGCAAACGAATATCTCCGTTGTTGCCGCGATGTATGCTGGCGTGCGGGTTCATACATGTTGAGTGTGCGGGCTGGTCCCTGGTAACTGTTCCTAACTCCAGCTGGCCGGGCGGCCGGACGCTCAGTCACGTCTCCACTATGTTGCTGCAGCCCTGTTGGTGCGAGGAAGTTGGGTTCACCTGAAGGTTGCTCGGCTGGTGACAGGGCCGTCTCTTCGGTCGGAGATGAGAGCTCGAACCGACCCGGGTGAGGCATATCCGCGGGCGCACTGGCGAGGCCAAGAAGGTCTTCGATTGGAGGGTTATTAGCAGGAGCTGAGCTCGCAATGTCGGCCTCGTCCATAGACTGACGAACGTGGGGGTTGCGACGGACTTCTGAGGAAGTATTGCGCATAGGAACTGCAACAGGTACATCGACCAGATCGTCCCAGACGCAAACTCGTGCTCTGCGAGTGAGTTCAAGAGGGCCATGGTCTGGAGTCTTGAGTGTCTCAACGACATTCCAGGCCTGGCCCTTCATGACGGCTATCTGCTTTGCAAACATGCGTTCCTGGAAATCACAATCCATCTGGAATACTCTCTTTAGCGAAAGCACTGTTTGCGTCCACCATGAGGTAGATGTTAGTAGAGGCAGGAAGTGATCCCTAGTCTTTTGAGAAAATGGCCGCCCAATAAGATCAACAGGCAGGAAGAGCCAGCCAAAAGGGAAACTGGATTGTAAGTCAGTATGCTCCTTGATGATATGTTCACTACTCCACGCTTACCTTCTCCAAGCATCAGGGTGCTTCCAGGGCCACGATAACGAGTTATCGATGGCTCCAACGGTGATGGCCGGCTCGTTTCCTACATGTTTTCGACTCGAAGCACTCATCGGTCTCTGTGTCTTGTAAGGGTATGAAGCCCTCGTAGCACGAGGTCCTTGTTGTGAAAGGTCGACAGGTCGAGGGCCCTCTTCCTCTGCGACTGGCTCCATGTTCAGTTGAATGGGATCAGACACTATTGAGGCTTTGCCTGTCTCCCAGTCGACTTTGATCATCCAGTTATCCAATCCTCGGTCTGTATTTCGCATTATGTAGTCGAGAATAACTAATTTTTCAAGTTCCTCTCGTAATGACTCTTTGAGGCTCTCAGTCCAAATGAAATTATCAGGACCCAAAAGATTTGCGCCTTGGGCAGCTTCTTCGTCGTCACTGTTGTATCCATCGTTTGGAGACGCGTTTCCTGAAGGGCGGCAGCTCTCAGTCCATCTCTTCTTCTTTTTGTTTTGATTGTCGTTTGTGCGAAAGCCTGACCAGTACTGATCAGGCCAAGGATGCTCTCGGAGGAAAACATTGGCGTCTTTGAACCCCTTGAGGAAAACTTGGAAACTGCCCGGCTTGGCAGGGAGAGGTGTCTTCTTGCGATGGAATTTGCGGCGATCCCAGAAGGGATAGTGAAAAGACTTGGAGGCAAGCCATACAACATCAGTGTACGGGACAAGGTGCGTTCTTAGTTGGCAATCGAGTACATATGCAGCTGCTTCGCTTACATACGAAAGGTTGGGAATAAGACTGCAAATGTGTTAGCAGCAGAATTCAGCCAGGGATCTGAGAAGTACATACCAAGCTCGTCCAAAGCAGCATGGAAAGAGGTTTCTGTGAATCCATTTGTTCCATTTGGGATTTCCTGCGGCATAAGGCTCCTCGTCTTTAGGTTTAAAAACACCCACGATCTTGCCGTCTGGATTTCGAGCAAAGTAACTGCCAGAACTGCCTTGCGAGATCATGCTGGGATGAACTTCCTGCCGAATAGCGCTTCGGACACTCTCTACAATGGTCTCAAACTCAGTCTTTGACATGACACCCTCGTGCGGGACAGCAGTGCTTTCGGCAGTTACGGGTCGAACACCCTCAGGAGGTTGAAAGACAGAATAGTGTATTTCAAGACGTTCCTCCTCGCCTTGCTGGTTCTTGCCCTTGCGCTTGAAGCGCGACGCAATCTCATCGGCCCAGCGCTCAAGCCGAGCATTGATGGCCTTCAGGTCGACACCAGCACTACTTCCTGAACGGTGACGGAATTTGGGTTGAGAAGATGAGGTCAGAGATTTGGGACTGGCCATGCCAGAACGATGGCGCGGTTGCGAAACAGGCCCATATCGCGGAGCGGCTGCGGGTTGGAGAGATGCGTATGATTGGGAGAGGGGATCCTCATCGGAGTCGTCGCTGAAGTCGTCGGCTTGTGCAAGGCGTTCATAGCCTGTTGTCGCGGGTCGCGAACGAGGCATATTGGTGATGGAAGGGATGTTATAAGGAGTGATTTTACAATGTCGAAAAATCCATCCCACGCTGTAGGGTACGTGGATTCGTGATGCCGAAAGTTACTGCGGATGTTCGTTATAGTTCTGTCGGTTAAAAACGCGTTTTGGTATGATTCGAAAGTGGCCGAAGAAAGATGTGATAGTAGACGGAAGTGGGAAGTAGATTGTGTACTTGTTCCAGAAGAAAAGGAGTAATATAGGTAGTTAGGTACTAAAGAAGGGAGAAAGAGTAATGAGAAGAAGAAGTAATTAGGACGAGAAGAAGAAGAAGAAACACGTCAACAGCAGGATATCGCGCTCTCGTTAGACAGTGACAACGAAAAGGAAGCCGGTTGCAGGATGACGATGGTGTCAGTTTGAAGTTGTCATGCTTTCAAGCTTGTGACAGGCCAAAAAGCTTTCCTCCACTTGACTGCAGCCCTCCGCGACTTGCGACTGGGGCCACCAGGCTTGATTGGTGGATACGTACCCCTGAGCCCCCTAAGAAAGCCCGGAACAGGAACTGGAAACCAAGACTAACGTTAGAAGGGGTAAAAACAACAACAACAATGGACGAACAAGGGAGACCTATTGGCTTTGGAACTGCTATTATTAGGCAATCAATTGGCTGATCTTTTCTTGAGGAACTTAACAGCTTCAAATATGAACAAATGCGGGCACGAGTTTATGCTTTTGAAATTGGCTTGTTTATGCCTTTCCTCTTTTCACACTCTATCGCACTAACAGATGGCAGAAGTCCTAAGCAGACCCTGTAAGTGGTCCTGGTGGTGCCTCCCGGCCCCGAAAACACCGGATGAGGACACGGAACAGACGGAGGACCGGACATTCGTGTCCGCTAAGAAGAACAGACCAACCACTGCCTAAACCTTTTCTAATGGTTGGCTCAGTTCGTTGCTATCGGTCATCAAGCAAACTTTATCATGAATAGATTGACAATCCCATCGTATGCTTTGCAATTCCCATTCCATTTCCTGTGTGGCAGCATAAGCGGATTCTTTCCGAGTTTTTCTTTTAGTCTGTTGCTTTTGACTTTGAGGCAACGTTTAGGATCATTCCGTTATGAAAGAGCGTTGGACAACACCAGACGAAGGAGTCTCGGCCTTTTGCGTTGCATTACACAGCAGATTCTACGTGTGCATTGCACTCGGAACAAGCCAAGGTTTAGATGCTGCTAGAAACGCATGGACAAAATCTACATTGTTTCCTTCGGATGAGTGAACGAACGGGAATGGGAATCTTCAAAGGGCACTACGAACCAACCAACCAAACCCAAGACAAGACTAAAGGATATACGGTACTGAGCCAGGGCTGAACCAACAAGGGTTGCATCTCAAGTGCCCTGGACGCTAACAAAATCCTCTGATCGCGTGCAACTATTTTGGAGGGACTGCAAATGCAGGCTGGCAAGTAAGTACCTAGGTAAGGAATCAAACAAGCATCCGACGCCAGAGGTTCGGCACATACATAGTATCATTGTCCGGCACAAAAGCTGCTGATGATGACGGTTACAAACCATTCAAAATTGAGTCAATTGTAGTTGTGGTGACCCTTTCTCTGTGCATGTTTCTCGAGAAGCAAGATGGATTGCTGATTTACAGGGGTTTTGTGTTTCTCAAAAGTTACCTTGTCTTTCAAACATGATTTACAGGCACAAAAGATACGATGAGCACGTTTCGTGGAGGCTGATACGTTAGCTTCTGCGTCATAATATGCATCGTCATGTTTCGTCAGCTCTAGTTTGGTTAGGATCGTCTGAAGATCAAGAGTCGTTATTTGTCTGGGGTAGGCTTGCTGGCTTGTCCAAAGTCCAAGCCTCTTCATACCAACTCTGAGTCTGGGGGCGGCTTTTTCTTTTGCTAATGAACCTGTCTTGAAGGTTTTGCCACGGACAGAGCCAAGACAAGACAGTCGTGGTTGTAGTCATACTGAGGGACAGTGTAGCATAGATGTGGCTGTCCAACGGCCCCCTCCGTGTAGCAGCGCGGGGAAAGATGAAATGGGATGGGATGTGTTGAGTTGTATTGGATGGTAGAGACCTTGACGCCTGGTGAGATGCTGCTATTCAAGATTCGATCCTGTGTTGGGAGGCTAAGGAAACAGAGTTCAGCGCCGGCAGAGAGCCGATCAATTTGCCTTTCCATAACGGATATCGTTCGTACAGTATCTTTTATCTATTGATAGCATGGATGATATTGAAGGGTATGGCAGTAACAGATAAACAACAACCACATTCAGGGGATCAATCAGAGTAGGGTATATTTGTCCAACAAGAAAGCGAGCAACTCACTAGAGGTGGGTGAAATATGAGCAGTGACCATGCCATCCATCATCTGATTGAACAAACAAACATGAGATGAGACGCTTCAAATAAAACAAAAACTGCCTAGAACTGTTGCTTCTAAAGGCAATGGAAGGCATGGATCGATCCATGTCAAGCAGGCATAGACCCCATCTATCTCCCCCGGGATGTCAATGCCGCACACGCACCCCTCCACTAACTTCCTACCTGGAACTAGGTAGCCTAGCATCCACCAGGTATTCTACACCTCCACCATCTCCCTGTAAGGTCACCTAGTGTCATGGAGTCTCCTCAGTCTCTCCCTTCAAGGTTTCAATCCCTTGGCCTACCTGGACTACCACTGCCGTATCCATTCCCAGTTGTTTTGTTCCCCTTTTTGTTTGACCTTTGTCCTGTCCTGTCTTGCCATAACTATTTATATAAATGCCGAGCCAGGCCCTCCACTTGCTCGTCCTCTTGGATAACTTCAATCCAAAAAAAATACCTGAGCTTGAACTTACATGTTACGGTGCCACTGCCACGTCTACTACCAGCCGTTGCTCAAGTGATCGCAGATCCAAGAAGATTCCTTGCTGAACTTTACTTCTGATCTGCTCGTTTAAACCTTTCGGCTACCTTTTTATTTGTTATTGTTGCTCTTCTTCTTCTCTGTTCTGGCTATAAATTACTTGCCTTGTGGTTTCACAACGACTTAACTGCCATCTATCATATCTTTCTCATCCCAGTCTTGCCAAAGAACAAAAGCACAACATGACTGCTCGAGTCGCACCTGGCTCCTCATCCTACACAGAGCCATCTACCACCATGTCCCCAGCTGCCGATCACGATGTCCTCCGAGGCCGTAAGAGAGAGCGAAGCATGACCCGCGGCAGCGTTCGCACATTCCGAGCCGCACCAGCAGACGAGTCGAGCAACCTCCGAGGCCGCTCTCGTCGACGTGCTGCTTCTCCAGCTCTCAGCTACACATCTCGCCCCTCCTCGCCTAGAAGAGTACCTTCTCCAACTCGACGCCGTCTTCTCCATGCTCGTCTTCGAAGAGAGCACTGCCCTTCTCGTGTTGCGTCCCCCGTTGAGCAGCAGCTGCAGCAGCAGCATCGACCTATTCGTCGAAGGCAGCGAACCCGGAGCCAGAGCCGGGGTCCTCGGTTGGAGATGGAGCTCGGCTCCCAACAGCCCACTGATGGCTTTTCTGGACTGCGGAACGAGGTCCGAGCCTCGTCTTCTGACACGGTCGACGAAGTCAAGTCGGATGCTTAACTAAAATCGATAATACGCCTACTTTGGATGTCCATGTTCCACTTTGGATTCTGGCATCCTTCCTTGCCCCACGATCAGATGTATGAAGACGAAAACCGGAAACCAGGCCGATACCCATATACTTAATCCCTGTTGTACGATGACTGGATGTCTATTTTTTTCTTTTTCCTTTTACGTTGCTTTGAGAGCTGGTTATCTCGTACCTATAAGATTGTGTCTGATATTGAATTGGCTGCATATGGAGTTTTTATTTGTCATCAAGAAATTGAGATCTCTTGACTTTGCTTCGCTTCGCTTTGCTTTGCTTTACTTTTCGTATCTAACGATGAACAAGACGGTGTTGGGGGGAATTGGATGAGATATCCTACCATGTAAGATGTGGTTCAAAGAGAAAGAGATATATACCCTGAATTATTTCATCCAATCAATCAATGATGAACTCGTCAAATATGATACTGTTAAGGCAGTTTATTTTGTGATCCTTTCGACATTCATGTTATTGAATACACCAGCTTACGACAGCTTTATCAGGCTATAGGGAAGTAGTAACAGACCAATCAGTAAATGCCTTACTTCTTAACTGATTGTAAAATAATTTCGTATCTTCTGCATAGATACCTACCTACCTGTAAAGGAAGTGACCGCTCTTGCAAATATGACTGTCAGGAAAATTATAGGCAAAATCGATGATGTTAGGAATATGAGGCGAAACTGTCGGCTCCGCTATATCATCCCAAATGGAGCTCTATGATTGGTCAGACACTACCCTAAGCACTTTTTGACAGTGGGTATGGACTGATGTTAACGACAACCATCTCTGTTGGAGGTTCCAGCCCAACTCAGCTTTTTTTTCTCTCTGTTGGACCGGAGCACTTGGTGTCTTGAGGTATTCTTGTATTCTTTTGAATATCCTCTCTCTCCCCTCTACGATTTCCCCGTGTATGTCTAGTATTGCGCTCATTCATTATCCAATCGCCATTCCCTGCAGCTCGATCTCTGTCCGTTGATCTCGACCTATTTGCTTGCCACCAAGCATGACCACTTACATCCTCGACTTTACAGCCTAATTCACTTCCGTCGCCTGGTACAAATGATTGAACGAACAGTCGCGGCTTTAGAGTCGCGCAGTCTTCATCGAATAATCCACAGGTCCTCGAATCCATCTCGAAAGCTGCATGCAGGGTTCTGGCAACATGGCGCTGCTGCTATCGACCTCGCTGGCTCTTTTCCCGGCTCAGTAAGGACCGTCGACGCTGCAACCCCAGAACCAGAAACAAAGCAACGGCAAGCAAATCTGTTTGCATCTGTTTTGATGCTCGATTTTCTGTACCCGACCTCAACTCTACCTCTCCTACGCCGCCTATATCATGACCTACCCAATCCTCAATATGCGCAGCGCACAGCAATCGTTCCCAGTAGACGAGCTTACTCTTCGATAACATCTCCACCTCCGCCTCCAGATAAAAAAACAGCAACAGATCGAGCCGCGTGGCCTGACAATGACTTAACCCTCAACGAGCCCCAACCCGAGGGGGGCACGAGTATACAAGTTGGGACCGAGACTGTAATTCCAAACAAAGGCCAGACAGACTTGCAGTTGCTCCAGAGAATTATGAATACAAAAGGGCGTCACTTTCAGCAAGCTTGGGATTTATACTCTGGAATGGACAACGATGAACGACGCGATGTGCGCGGCGCTCTGGTCAGCTATCTCTCCCAATCCCACAGCATTGTCGAGACAGGACGAGCCCTCTCACTCTTTCGCCAAATCCCCCCGACCGACTGGAGTAATCAACTACTGTATTCGGGAATCCTTCTTCTTTTGCGATCCGGGGACCTACCAGGGGCCGTGGAGGCTTTCAAAACTGGACTCAAGTCTGGCGGGTTGAACCATGGTCTCGAGTTTCTGATGGCTGACACCATCAACTCTAGAAATTGGCTAGTAGCTCTAGATGTTTGGACTTCATATTACAAGAGCGAGGCAAAAAGAAATCCCCGTGCAAGGCCAAATCTAGAACGATTGGTACAGCTTGGGACCCTTACTCAAAAAGGAGACCTCTACTTCGCCTTCAGGGCTTACTTAGTTGACGAAGGTAAAGACCAATTCAAAAGTATCCAGAAGGACGTGGTTGCCAAGAGAGCTCTCTCTGCCTTACGGAGATTTTTTGCCACTTTGGCTCTCCGAGAGCCATGTCGCCCGGACCAAGCGAAGATTATTCTCGAGGCTCTTGGCGACAACCATGAGTACAACACATATTTGAATACCATGTTTAATCGTTGGTATGATAAATTAGAAGATAGATACACCATGGAACAGCTTCCCGCCATTTACCAGAATCAACGGAAATTGCCAGATGCATCACCCGCTATGCCTGTGTACCGCGGCCTGTTCAAGGTAAATTTTCCTAAAAATAGGGCCAGACTGGAAGAATTACACCATGACTGGGTCCGGTTCAAAGGCGGCTTGAACCAATGGGGCTACGAAAAGTTTCTCAAGTACTACGCATCAAGAGGCGACGTGCCATCGGTTAAGGGGCTCTGGGCTCAGTTCACAAAAGCGTACCCAGAGCTACTTAGGGAATCCCGAGGATTCAACAGTTTAGTCAACGTCTATGCTCAAGTAGGAGACGTTGAGGGTGTTAAGAAAGTGCTCAAAACAATGGTTGAGGAGTATAATGTTCAGCCGGATCTTGACCACTGGAACATGCTGCTCAAGGCTTACATGAGAACCAATGACTATGACGGCGTTTTGGACCTATTCGATCAAATCTCGAGCCAACACGAGCCAGACTCGTATACGTATGCCCACGTCATGGCAATGAGCTCCAAGAAGGGTGATCTGGATACAACTCTGGAGTATTTCACCAAGTCTCAAGAAGCCGGTGTGCCCATCACAAAGGAAATGGGATTGTCTTTGGTAGTGGCTTACGGTCGAAATGGTCAACTTCTTGAGGCAGAAAGCTTGTGTATCGAGATGACCCACCGCAAGATTGCTTCCCAAGCCATCTGGAACCAGCTCCTCAACTTCAACGGCGTTGAGGGAAAGATTGATAAGGTGTATGAGTTACTCCGGCGTATGAAGGAACTTAGAGTTGAATGGGATGATGAGACATATCAATTTCTTCTCCAAGCTCTCGTCAGGGTCAACAGGATTCACCCTGCATACCATCTCTTGCAGCGCGCTGTCAACGAACGCTTGTTTCTGGTCACTCCAGAACATTATGCTATCGTCATGGCTACGGGTGCGCGTCTCGGAGAAGCCCAACTCGTGGAGAATCTCTTCCACCAGCTTCAGAAATCAGAGTTGCCTGTGACTTTCAGCGCTTTGGTTGCTTTGGTCACTTCTGCCGCCAAAAAGAAGCCTGGCGCTGACCGAACGAGGGGATTGGCAAATGAATTCGTCGAGTACTTCCGCCAGGCGGCCGAGGCTGCCAAGTCGGGCAAACCCCCGTCTGAAGATTTCGCAGATGCAACCAACGTCGCGGACCTCAAGCTCTCAACTCCCGAGATCGGCCGAGCAATTGCCCTACTTGTCGAACTTCGAGAATTCGGCTCAGTTGAAGAGCTGATGGGCTTGTTTGTTCAGATCTTTCCTCAATATCAGGCCGGACAACGATTCCCGCCTGAGATAATGTCTGCTTTAATGCATGCACATTACGCGGACCAAAATTACGACAAGGTTCTGGAACTTTGGGAGAAGACATGGCAAGATGTTTACGATTCCAGCCGGAAACGCTCAGGCGATGGTATTGCTGGTGGTACTGAATACGATTTGTGCCGTGTCGTAGATGTAATGGCAAGGGCATATGCAGAGAAGGAAGATGTAAAAGGCTTGAGCGACACTATCGACAAGGTCATTGCAGCAGGCTTCAAGCTCACTCGGCCAAACTGGGTAATCATCATTCGCAGCCTCTCTGAGCTGGGCAGGTGGGAGCGCGCGATGGACTGGTGCGAGACACTCTTAATGCCTGGTTGGGATGGCTGGGCCTACAAACGTGACATTCCAGCAAAGAGGCGAAACACTCGAATGTTGCAACCACCCCACAAACTCGTCTTGCGTCTGCAGCAAAAATGGCTGGAGATGCGCAAGATGGCGGCTTGGGCTCCAGATGTCTCCCGTGTCGTCTCTATGGTAGAGGAGAAATACCCTCGGCTATACCACGCCTTTACCACCTCAGAGATTGACTCTATGCCTACCAAGTACTCTGTCAATGGCAAAGAGATTTCAGCCGGTGAGCTCGACGGTGTACTGCAGGGTCTACCTTATCAGTCACTACTGAAGGTGAAGGAGAACATGAAGCGAGAACTGGAAAAGGAAAAGAAGCGTGAGAGAAGCCTGGGAACACCCAAAGACACTATGGACAAGGCAGAGTGGAAGCGAATGTTGCACGACAAGGTTCATAGATACTCCAAGATGTGGTTCTCTGCGCGCAAGAGGGCCTACGATGAACAGTTGACCAACCTGCGAGGATTCGAATCCACGGCAAACATCAGTATTGAAGCAACAGACATGGCACAGGAGGACGCAGACCATCAATCAACTCGTGAGCAATTTGCTTACTGGAACGAGTTTTGGGATCGCTATGACCAGCGCCGCCATGGCGACACGAGGGGGAAGCCGGCCCGTCCTTCAGGATTCCACAGAAAGAATCCTTTGGAAGTGCAAAAGATAAGAGAGTGGCGGAATAACAACCGCTCAGGGCGCAACACTGATGATGAATGAAGATGTACACTACCAGAATATGTATAAGCAGTTCTCTCTCAAGATCCCTTACAGTCACATGCATGATAGACGTTATATTATGACTCAACTATTTTACAACTGTGTCTCAAAACCAACACCTTGTGATCTCGATGTTCTGTGAACTATGTCGTCACCCAAGCAAAGAGGTTCATGTTCGATGTAGATATTCAATTGCTTATCTCAACTTTGGCTATTGATTACATACCCAACCTGGTACCGAGATACTCCAAACACCATCAAAGCATTTTAACTCCTTGCCCAAGCCCAAATAATGTGTTCGGCCCAGCCTGATAAATAACAGCAACGCCTTTCAGAGCAGTCGATGCTCTGGTCTATGTCCCAACATGAAAATATCTAACAGTGTAAAAATAGTGCCGTGCCATGACGGTGTTTATGTACAGTAAAGCATGTTCACCGTGATTGGTGAAATGTGTAACAGCTTTGTCTAGGGAGACATGCCATCCCGACGAGGTGTTTCCGGGGGTGTAGGCTGCTTGACCCCTAGTGAACGCAAGCGCTGAGAGAGTAAACCCTCCGCACCGCCTAGTGAACCCGATCTATTAAGAGCAAAGGCATTGCCGCCATATCCCGGCTCACCTTTGTTGAGTTTCTCATAGAGCGCGGGCCCCACTGACTGATCATTATTCGAATCCTTGGTCGAAGGACGACTAGCCGGAGACTCGCCAGGATAACGGCCATCGTTGCCAGGAGCAGCAGTAGTGTTTGTGCTGTTGCTGATATCGCTGCTTGTTCGAGCATGAGCAGAAATATAGAAGGGAATTGGATCCACAGGTAAAGTATTGCCACCAGCAGAGCCTCCAGAAGGAGAATCGTTAACGCGGAACATATTGCCCATAATGTCGAGATTGTGAGATGAGCCTTGGAAGAAGCCCACGCTTCGTCTGCGCGACGCCTTGTCCACGGCTAGCATAGCAGCGGGACCAGACTGCGTAGGTAAGGGCGGATGCATCACGCGAATAGGTTTATAAGGCGTATATCGAGGCTCCGGCCACGTCGTCTCGTTTCTGAGTTTTTCCTTGCCATCGGGGACACGATTTGCAAAGACAATCCGGATGCTCTTGTAAAGATAATATCGACCTTTGGCAGGACAGCAAATGTGAAGGTGAGCAAGATATCTCAGAATAGGACGGCCATCTGTGTTTGCCTCGGCCGTGGCAGGGGCGTTGTCGATGATGGGCCCAGCTGAGTAGCTGCGCTGGCGCACGAACGTCTTTGTTCCTGGCTCCATGCCTGTCAGATCATAGGGGATCAGAAATAGTTTGACGGCAGTCTTGTTTGGATTTTTGATGATGATCTGAATTTGTCCCTTTTCTGGAAGTCGATAGCTTCCACCTGGAGGGGCTTTTGCAAATCCAGATCCGGATCGGCGACTGGCCCGGGAGTTTCGACGTGAGATATGCTCAGGGGCCTGATTCTCGAGGCTAATATCCATCATGTCTTCTGTGGGTCGCCTTTCTGCGCGGCTCTGTGCTTTCTTCTTTGCTCGATGTTCATCATCTGGGTTAGAAAGTCCATTCTCAAGGTCGATTTGACCGACATACGGGCTCGGGCCATCATCCGCATTTGAACGTCCATGTGATGTGTTGCTGTAGCTGTAGTATACAGCTGGGAATGAGAGGCTGACATGTCGTGGACACTTCAAGCTGGACTTGCATTTGCCCTTACCCAGAACGCCGATTTGTGCGACAAAATCCAGTGGCTTAGAAGGAGTCGTAGACATGCGGCCGCGAAGAATACTCTCTTCGTAAGAGCCAACCATGGATGCATGCTGCAGTGGCGATGCCTCTGCTGCTACAGATGACCTGCGCGGTCGAAGAAGTGCTGGTGTTGGTGGCGATGCGCCGGGTTGCATAAAGCTTGGAGTTGAAGTCAATGATCTTCGAGGTTGGTGTGCCTGATATGGAAATGCTTCTCGGCGATAGGAAGATACTCGTTGAGGCAGTGTGTATTTCGGCGAGGAAGACATCCATAGTGATGAAGCTGTAGACTGTGGCATGTAGTGGCTCGTCCCAACGTATCCGATGAAACTAAATGGATCTCTTGGCAAAGACATGTCGTGCTCTTCGGAGCTCTGAGCTTGTACTAGAGGACTGGTAGGCGGCTTGTATACAAAGCTGGAGGACAAAGACGAAGACAAAGGTGAGTTCGTGAATCGGAAACTCTCGGCACTTGCTGGAAAGGGAACTCCTTTATCGTGCTGGAACGGCGTATAATGTCGAGGAGGAGAAGTTGCGATCCATGGAGTTTCTGCTGGTACAGGACATCGACCATTATGCGCTCTAGCGGCTGTTGTAGTACGGTCCTTGGCTGCTGCTTCCTCCTCGGAGAAGTTACCGCTGTGTAGTGCCGATCTCGGTCTCTCGATATTGAGGCCATCGCGCAATCTGTTGTCGAAATCGGAGTGAGAATCGTTCTTTTCGGGCGTTATTTGGGCAGGTGCAAGCAACATCGAAGGCTCGGCGGGTGTCTGAGGGTGCTTTGACTCGATATCGGAAGTTTGGTGGTGAATGACAGACTCAAGCTGCAAACAAAGTGTTAGCAAAGAAGACTTGCGTAAAAAAAACATATAATAGGAGCATACATGTTGATGTGGGATCCATATTGGAGGAGATTGTGCTCTCTTGAGTCTTTCGATTAATGAAGCTCGATCCGATATTGCGTTCTCGGCACCTTCGACCTTTTGGGGAGTTTTAGACCGTAGAGGACTGTCCGGGACGGGTCCTTCACATAATTCAGTTCGGATGCTTTCTTCTGAAAGGCGTCTCAGTCCAGAAGAAGGCACGTTAATCGGGGATGGCTCGATAGGTTCAGGTTCGGGTTCGTGATTGTCTAAATCGGCTTGGAAGATAGGCATGATGGCGATGTTTGGAAGCTGTGACAGCAGCCGCGTAGTTTCTGAATAAGATCCGTCATGAACACGCAATGATAAAAGAGTCAAAAGGTGGTGGTTTTTATAAGATAATTGTCATTAATGCAGGTGTTGGTTGCCGATATTGAGGCTGGGGTGCCTTGCAGATCAGATCAAATCAATTTATTGTACTGTAAAAGCCGACCAGGATATTGAAGCTGGTACAGCCAAGTTGGATGGAGTGGATATGATAGATATATCATGCCATGCAAGCCATACATAAGAAATGTCTAGCACGGCGTGGGTCAACAAGGTGGTCGAGAAAAAGCGAATCTGAATCTGGGGAATCTGGGATCGTGGGACGTCATCCACCGATATGACGACAGTTAAAACAACGACGATGGAGAGTCTAGTCGGTCCCGTCTTCCCCAGGAGAGGCCAAAAGAGTGCAATGAGGACAAGAAAACAGGATGAGAAAGGAGAGAAACAAAGCTTTAGTAAAGTAGAAGCAAGAAATGATCACGCGATTCGCAGTTGGAGGTAAGTTGTAAGAGGAAGGGAGGCGGGCAGAAACGGCAGGTCCAGTAAATGATACGACAGGATATGAATTCGGGCCATCACCAACTGGGGCCGATGGCGGTGAAAATGGACTATAGGTCCTTCTCAAACAAGCCCGGTTAGGTACCTTAGGTAGTTTAGTAGTTGGCAGGTAGCCTAAAGCTGGACAGTGTATTTAGACAGAGACAGTAATTCTCTGCGCCCAAGAGTAGTAGTACTCATACATCCAACCTGGTGACAACAATATTCTCATTGTCTCCAACATCAAAAACTCGCGGTGTATTCTGCATTCCCTACGTGACTAGACATGACAGTACATACAGTCATGTGGAGTCAACATCCCTGGCCCCAGATATGCCACGGCCTACTAATGACGTTTCTGGTTTGGTCTAGGATGAGGCATCTCAAGTGAACTCCATTTTGCAACTCACAAGACACGGCAAAAGAGGAAACCTTTTACAGCGCTAATGCTAAGCTACAGTCAGAGACCAGTCGTCCCTTGCGGATACCTGACGATTAGCGCGGCTGGGAATGAACCCTGATATACAGTGGGCGGACATTTTGCTTCTGCTGTGCCGTGATGCAGTCTTGACGTGTAAGTTGAGAAAAGAAGCAAGCTGAACCAGGAACGACCAATAACTAACAGTCATGGCACGGATACTGTGCCTCTGTTAAACATCAACAGCTGTTCAACTATACATGGATGGACCTTTATTTGTGTGACATGGCAATGCATCCTTGACCCGAAAGAGTTGTACCGGCAGTTTCTCAAGCAGCCCAACTCAAGATCCGGCTCAACCGCTTGACGAAGAAAGGCAGAGGTAATAGTACCGAGTTTGGTAGTCAAAGACCAAACTGATGCTTTTGTCTTGTCTGGTAGAAATAAAGTGCCAGCAGTCTTGGAATCGGATTACAGTATATCTCCACTATAATTACCGTCCAGCCAGGTCTGTAGAAGGTGAAGCGGGCTCTAACTTACATTGGATGCTCACCGAGGATAAAGTGGATCCATAAGTTCCTTTCTAATTCTCATCATCAACAACTACAACTCTCATAGAGAACTTTCAAAATCATACCCCAACATGGCTGCTAAACACGAAAAGGAGGGCGCCGGTGCCGCCCCAGAAGCCCAGAAGCCTAAACACGGCTTCAGAGTCGGTCCAGAGAATTTACCAGACGGTCCTTGGCGAAGAAAAGGTTTGTCGCATTGTCTTGTTTTTCACCTTGGCAAAATTTTCATTTACGTCGCATACTTACACTTTATCGCACAGTTACCAAAGTCAAGAAGGAGCTGATTCACAAGGCAAAGGTCAAGAAGGCTTATGCAAAGATCAAGGCTCGTGAACAAGAGAATGCGCAACCAGCAAAGACAAGCGAGCCTGCTCAGGATGAGGCTCCAGTAGAGGGCGCTGGCAAGGCAGAGAAACCGGAAGATGAGGGTGAGAAAATGCATCCTACGCGGCATCTCATGCTGGCAGACGAGGCAAAGGCCCAGGAAAACTCAGCCGACGAGCCTACTAGTGATGGCAATAGACGGCGCACTCGACGACCTGGCTACTACGACAAGCAACTTGGCAAGGCGGCACAACTTCGCCAGGAGCAAGAGGCACGGGAAGCTGAGTTTCAGCGCAGACGTGAAGAGCGCGAACAAAAGATGGCCGAGAGGGACCGGTACAAGAGGGCCATGGCCAAAACTCGGGATCGCAATGGCAACAAGAAACTTGGCAGGGAGAGTTCGTTACTGCTCGACAAGGTCAGAAAGATGGTCGTTGAGAAGAAGTAAAGAGGCTAAGCGACATGGTCCGGTTTGGCTTGCGTATGAAAGAGAATGGGAGGGCGTTCGAGAGATTTTGTTATTGGGTTAGACAAAAGTTGACACACAAGTTTGATACCAAACGGCCGCCGTAATCACATCAATTCAAGGCCAAATTGTTAATTAAGTTTACACTGTCCATGATCATCATGATATGAGACGTGTCAGTGGCAGTAATTGTCACAAGTTTTGTGCTCACGAGAAATATCTGTAAGCGCCGCGATAAGTCTGAGATCCCGTTTCAAGATGCTTCATATGAGGCGTTTGCATTTGCCATATTGGTTTTAGTTTGAGTAACTTGTATCAATTCAGTACATTTTGTGACAGCATGCTCATGTAAGTCTCGTTAAATTGGGACAAAGCCCTTCGATGTTGACGTCTAACTTTTACCAGCTCATATGAAGTATCATGCAGAGGCAACCACTGCTACACGCCCGTAACTTAATCTACTCACCTGCCCAGCATTTACTGCCATGGCCCCAATGCGGGCCGTGTTGCGAGTATCTTGAACTTGAAGATATCAAGCATCGTGTTATAACCCTCGATCGGGTAATTCATTGATATCTTTGCCAGACACTCCGTTGGGAAGTTCATCTCAAAAACGAGGTTTTGAATAAAAAGCTTGTCATGCTTAGTGCATATAAAAGTGATCATATAGCCTGCTACTATGAAGCCTGGCTGCAGGTGTTACATTCATGGCATCCGATTTAAAGATCCAGTATAAGTTGCAGGCGCGCTTGCTCGTGGCAGATCAGGGGAACAAGGCATCAAGGGCTGATACTTGTCAAACTGCCGCTGGTTAAAAGGCTCAAACATGAAACTTGGTGACATCGGCTGAACAGCCTTAAGAGGTCAGGTGTTGTATCGATCTGCGTGTGCCAGGTTCATCCACAATTGGGGAAATAGCCGCAAAGGGAAATAGTAACGGGAAAGAAAAGAAGAAAAGAAAAGAAAACAGAGCTCCATGTTCTGTATAAAAAAAAATAAAAAAAAAGACAACTTGAAACAGGCAGAGACGATGGAGTTGGAGTTTCAAGATATGCCTCGCTGACTGTCAAAGGAAGTGATCACCTCAGTGTAATAAAAAAAGACGGAGCCCGAGGTGGCGCGATCATCTGGCTGAGTGAGCTCGTCTACAAAAAGCAAGGCTGTGTACAGACAGTATCGTGATGGTTGCAAGAGATACGAGCTCACGGCTGGCTAGTTAAGTGTGCTATTTGGTTTGACTATAAGCTGACATAGGCAGTAGTGATAGTGACATTCGACAAGGAAGCGTAGTCAATTTCAGCCCATAGGCTGGTTTCCAAATACTACTCTGCACATAAAACGTGCTGACAAGTTAAAGATCAGACCGTTTGATGCTCATATTCGAGGGAAATTGAAGTTCCAGGGACGTGGTCGTGACAAGCTCCAGTGGAAGCCATCGGGACCCCTGCTTTCGAAACCGATCCATGCAGCCATGTCCACCAGACTATGCCCCTTTCTCGCACTTGCATTGAATATCTTTTCAGGGTCGTTGGTTTCATGATGAACAAACCATCGGCCAACTTGAAGAAGAGGAAATACGCAGTGAATGTCAGGGTACAGAACATCGGGATCTGGGTCTTGGACAGATAGGGTTGCTTTTCAAATGGAGATAAAGACAAAGCAGGTGCATCGATAGTCAGATGTTATACGGCGTTCTACCGAAGCAAGGGAGAAGATCCTCTCCTACCTATCCATCCACGTTTCATGATGTGCGTTTCGTCAATGCATTGTGAGTCGGCAAAATATACGTACAGAAACCCAACCAATCTGTCTGAAACAGCGGAACAGGAAGCACACAATACGTACAACTTTTCTTTTGTCCCTTCTGTACCGGTAGCTTACCGACTTTTCGATTTTCCATGCATCTCTTTGCTTCTGCCTGTCGTTGATCTTCAATTAGGAATTAAAAAGCAAAGCGATTAGAGACACACATACATATGCACTGAACCTAATTTATATGGCTGCTTGCATCTGGTTCCATCGTGTTAGGCTGGTGTCCGTCTGGTGGACAAGAGTTTGTACAACTGTCTAGTACTGCATGGTAGAAATTGGTAATTGATGGCCCTGAAGCTCTCCTGTGAGGTTGGATTGCCACTGGGTGAGTCTGTGTTGGACTTCATTCCTCTGCATCACGATCCCAGGCCCAACCTCTGAGTTCCCATCCCTTCCTCTGGCAACTCACCTGGAATCGCTACATTTGCAATGGCAATGTTCATTGCGTATTGCATCTCTGCAAAAGCAATGTCTCGTCAGTGATCTTATCCCCCTCCAGGCGCGGGGTCTGAGCTGCCATCGGATCGACGCTGCAAAGAAGAAGCTCGATCCCCTCCATATTACCAAAGTACCTACTGTACCTGTCCGTGACCCAGCCGCGGCCGCCACAAGCGCCTCTTTTGCTGCATTGCATTACATTGCATTGCCTGTTCCTGTTCTTCCAACACGAATATCAAGAATTGTACCTTTCTTTGATCAAAGCTTGACTTGACCTGATTTATCTTGTGCGTCCCCTGCAGCCTCTACATACTACTCAAGGCTGCCCCTTTGACTTTGCGTCTAGCGGCATGCACCAGCCAGGCGTCAGGTTTGTCTGTTTCTTTTAAGTGCATTG